AGACTTCCCCAATTATGTTCACAATATTTTCAACTACAGTTTTGGGAAGATTTTTTTTGACATTTTAAATAAAAATTTTGACCACATTAAAGGAACAAAAAATGGGAAGTTGAAAGTAGAGGTATTTTCCTTTTTTTACCATTAATTGGACACTTTTAAAATATTTTTAGAAAATTTAAAATAAGGGTTTAACCATACAGAAAAAAAGCAAAAATTTGGGTAAACCTATTATGTAACTTTTTTTAAATTAAAAAATCTAAAAAATTTATGCCCTGTTTTTAAAAATTAAAAATAAGCAGTTAGTCAACGTTTTTTCCCGGATCAAGTCAATTACTCGGGGCAAAATTTATAAAAAATCATAAATATCAAAAATTGTTTTTATAAAACCCAAACTTTTTAGGAGGGCATTTAAAAAAATTCCTTAAAAATATTATATAAAAACACCACATGAAACTTAAACCCCACGTTGTTTAACAATTGTAGAGTTTAACATTGCGTTCGCGATATTTTTTAAAATTTTAAAAATGTTGTTTGTAAACGTTTTATTTTTTCCCAAAGACTTTAAAATAAATACAATTTTGTTTTCAGAAAATGGGCAAAGTCCCCCTCCCCCGTGTTTTCCCCCTACCCCTTCCCCTAAATAGTATAAGAAAATAAGTTAATTTTTATTCAAGGCCAGTTTTTCCCGTTTCCCCAAAATATTTTCCGGAAAAAATAAAAATAAAATTTTGATGATCCATTAAAAAAAACCAACAAAAAATTCTTAGTGTAAATCGGGTTGAAACTTATTATTTTTTTATTTTTAATTATTTAAACAAAACGGGGAAAAAAGGGCGAAAAATTTATACCCGGGAAATAAATTTTCTTAAAGTTAATTTTTTTAAAATTAATAAAAAATATTACAAAAGAAAAATAGGGAAAATTTTAATTTTCAAGGGGGGGGGTATTTTCCCCGGGAAAATAAACAATGACCTTACCTTTTTTTTAAATAAATTCAATAATAAAGTGATGGGGGTTTACGTTTTCAAAAAAAAAAAACAAAAAAACCTTAAACCTCACTACAGATATGTGTGGGGACCCCCCGGGGCATAATAGCATGCCCTTTAAAGTAAAATTTTTGTTCCTTTTTTTTTCGACTTTGTTGGGTATCAAAAATTTAGAGTCATAATAAATTTTTCATTTTAAATTAATACGAGTATTTTTTACTGAACGAAACTGCCTTTTTTAAAATAAAAATGCTTTTAAATTTGTTGTGTGCAAAATTTGAATTAATATTAGTTATTGGGCGTTTTTTTAAATTTTATATAAACGTTGCCTTAGCTGGCTGGGGTTTGCATTTTGCAAAAAAAATTGGTTTTAAAAAGGGGGAATAAAAACTGTCAAAACTCTAAAAAAAATAAAAAAAATATAAAAAAAACTGTATATCTAATTTTCCCCAGAGAAACTTGTATGTGAAGGGCCCAACTTTCAAAAAAGGTTTCACTGACATTGATAGATAAAGGAAGTGTTTCATGCGGATGTCCTCTTTTAAAGCCCGGTGGGGGGGAACCTTCTTAGACAACCCCAAAGGTAACTTAACCGTCACGTGTTTTTAATAAAAAAAACCTTTGCACACGTGATAAAATAAAACCTAAAAATTTTCCGGAATTTTTGGGTAAAAAACAACAACAAAAACAAAAAACAAGCAAAGACAATTTTGATATAAACATAATGAAAAAAGGAAAAATGTTTTTTTTGAACAATGCGGCGCCTTGTGTGTTTTTTTTCTCAGTTTTTTTTTTCAAAAAAGAAACAAACAAAAAAACAATGTCGTTATTTATTTATTTTTTTATCTTTTATTTTGGAAAACAAAAATTAAAAAATTATTTTATTGGTAATACTGCTTTTGCAATATTACATTTCTCTCTAATTTCTTTTTCTAAAATTGTACAGGATCTTTTCCGTTTTGGGGCCCTTTTAAAAAATTTTTGGGAACCCCGAAATAGTCATAAGAAAACAGGAAATTTTAGCCCCAAAACGTCCCCAAAAAACTTTGCGTTCCCCTAAATCTCGCAAAAGGACGGGAGGCGTTCTTTTAAAAAAAGTTTTAGGAAAGGGGGTATTTTGCCGAAAAATTTTAGAGCCCCCAAATGATTTTCCCCTTTATTTTAAAAGGAAATGCTTTTTGTTCAAAACAGCTTTTTTTTCCCAAGGTTTATTTACGTTGTTTTTGTTTGCGTGCAACAAAGGGCGTTTTGGGCGGTGTAGGGTATGGGGGTTTTTTGTGTCGCCGGCCCCAGGCAAAATTTTGTGTATATGGTTTTTTGGTTTGAAAACAAAGGTGTATGTATATGGTGTATTGCGTGCACAAAAGGCGTATTTTTTTGTCTTTGGTATGCGTGCCAATTTAAGGCAATATATATTTTTTTTGGGTATGCGTGGCACTGGGGCGAAATGTATTTGTGGTGTATGCGTGCACCCAAAAGGCGTTTTTATGTATTTGGTTTGGTGTATTGCGTGAAACTAAATGGCGTATGTATTAATTTGTGGTGTTAATGCCTGTGATATAGGGGGGGCTTTATGTATTTGTGGTGTATGCTTTGCAACTAAAGGCGTATGTATTCTGGTGAAATGCCTGTGCTAAGGCGTATATTTTGTGGTGCTATGGGCGTGCACTAAGCGCTTTTATATATATATTTGGTGTATGCGTGCACTAGAGGCGTAAATTTTGGGGTTTGGTATGCGTGCAAGTAAGGCGTATATATATTTGTGGTGTAATGCGGTTTCCCCACGTAAGAGCGATATATCTTTTTGGTGTAATTGGCGGGCGCTAAAGGCGTAGAATGTATTTTGGTGGTGTATGCGTGCACTAAAGGGGCGTATGTATTTGTGGTGTATGCGTGCACTAAGGCGTTATGTATGCGGTGCATGCCTTTGTAAGGTATGTATTTGTGGTGTATGCGTGCACTAAGCGTATGGCGTATGTATTTGTGCGTGTATGCGCGTGCACTAAGGCGTATGTACTATGCAGTGCACTAAGGCGTATGTGGTGTTATGCGTGTACTAAGGCTAATGCGTGCCTTAGGTGTATGTATTTGTGGTGTATGCGTGCCTAAGGCGTATGTATTTGTGGTGTAAGGCATATGTATTTGTGGTGTATATAAGGCGTATTTGTGGTGTATGCGTGCTCTAAGGCGTATATATTTGTGGTGTATGCGTGCACTAAGGCGTATGTATTTGTGGTGTATGCGTGCACTAAGGGCGTATGTAATTGTGGTGTATGCGTGCACTAAGGCGTATGTATTTGTGGTGTATGGCGTGCACTAAGGTGTATGTATTTGTGGTGTATGCGTGCTCTAAGGCGTATATATTTGTGGTGTATGCGTGCACTGGGGCGTATGTATTTGTGGTGTATGCGTGCCCTAAGGCGTATGTATTTGTGGTGTATGCCTGCGCTAAGGCGTATATATTTGTGGTGTATGCGTGCACTTAGGCGTATGTATATGTGGTGTATGCGTGCACTAAGGCGTATGTATTTGTGGTGTATGCCTGCGCTAAGGCGTATATATTTGTGGTGTATGCGTGCACTAAGGCGTATGTATTTGTGGTGTTTACGTGCACTAAGGCGTATATATTTGTGGTGTATGCGTGCACTAAGGCGTATGTATTTGTGGTGTATGCGTGCACTAAGGCGTATATATATGTGGTGTATGACTGCACTAAGGCGTATGTATTTGTGGTGCATGCCTGTGCTAAGGCGTATGTTTATGTGGTGTATGCGTGCTCTAAGGCGTATGTATTTGTGGTGTATGCGTGCACTAAGGCGTATGTATATGTGGTGTATGTGTGCGGTAAGGCGTATGTATTTGTGGTGTATGCGTGCATTAAGACGTATATATATGTGGTATGTGCGTGTGTGCGCTGTGACGCATGAGTATGTGGTGTGTGCGTGGTCTCAAGCGTTCGTACCTGTCTATCTCTTGTAATTGTTAATATATAAGACATAATGTGCTGTTGTCAGCATACTGTGAATTACAAACATAAAGATTGATTGATATCTGGGTCAAAAGGGAACCTTATTTTCTAATGAGTGAAAATCTATAGTGCTCTAACAATGACAAAAATGTTTTATAATAAGCCTTACTGATATTAAACAGACATATTTATGTTTGATATTTTAACCTGATTTGTGTCTGTGTTGTGTATATACAAACTGTATTTATCTTTCATTCACCAGGACTTATCAATCGTGTATCATCGGAACTAGACGATGATGACGTAAAACATTATCCCAGGACAAAAAAGAAGTCCGGGGAGTAAATGTTTTTGTGTTTTTTTCGACGATACGGAATGGGGCAGTCCCGGGGCTTTGGTCTTAAATCGGAACCTAGGGCAGGGTTTTTAATTTAAAAAATAGCCGAAACGCCGTTTTAAGGGAATTTTTGGCTTACTTGTTAAAAGTTTTGGGGGAAACCCGGAAAACCCCGGGTTCTTTTGTATAAATATCTCTTGATCAAAGGGGGGGTTTTTTCTATATAACAAGAAAAAATGCCACATTTTAAATAGTATACGTTGTCGGAAACAAACGACGAGAATTATATCAAATCTTCAAAAAAAAACCTGAAAATTAAGCATTTGTCTATTGTAAAGAATGAATCCATTTTAAATAACAGTACTAATCTATGTTTCTATCATAATGATTAACCCTTTTTTTTTTAACAAATTCCGACATTAAGTCTTATCTATTTTAAAGAACGGTAACTATGTATGTAACATTTACAAAGAGCAATAACTGTAAATGAATTATTTACAAAGAACGGCAACTATGTATGAAACATTTGCACAATCTCCACGCAGTAATCTCCCCTTTATTCTTCGGCATAGTTATTGTACTGATCAATGAAAAAAACCGCTGTGAGGAGTTTGACAAAGAACGTCAATTTTGCATGAAATATTTACAAAGAACGGTAACTATTGTTGACACATTTACAAAGAACGGTAACTTTATATTTTCAGACAATGATTTCCACTTTATCATTAACAACATTCGCTGTGGACAAATCTTTGATTCAAAACCGACTACAACTTGCATTCATCATCACTCTTACAGGAGTCACATTCAAGATGGTGTCAAACCAGAGTCTTCCTAAAATACCCTACCTGACACATCTGGTGAGTTCTCGAAAGTTTATTTCTTTACACCATTTCTCAAAATTCTAATACCAGTTACCCTAAGTATTCCTATATCTATGTTTCTTTTTTTATCAGATGGTAATAGGGCAATACAATAAAAACTATATTCCTTTTTTATATCTTTCGTATGAAATTTCATAAGATTTGAAAATTCAGCGTGTCGATGAAATTTATTGATTTCTTGATGAAAATACTATAATTAAAGTCAATGTGGTCGTATTATTGCAAGATCAAAAAAAAAAAAAAAAACGTTTAGAAAATAAATGTTTTATTACCTCCCTTTATTTACACGAAATGTTAAATTTAAAAACGTTTCGAAAATAATTTTTTTATTACCTCCCTTTATTTACATGAAATAAATTTAAAAATAATGCTTTTTGGAAACTACACTATTGATAAATCTTCATTTGAGCATCATATTTATGTTTTAAAACCATAAAAAAATGTGTTACAGGATCTTTAAAAATAAAATAAAGATTTGCTATTTCAGGATCGTTTTATCATTGGGAGTATGGTATATAACTGGCTGGTATGTGTTTGGCACGCGGTACTGTCACAATATGAAGGTAAAAGTAACCAAGGTGACATGGACAAAATCGCGTTCTTTGTTCTGATTGGTCTACTAGGATTCTTCCATCTTGTCTTTTGGCTAGTAGTTCTTATAAAGGTAAGTTAAAGTGTTTGTATAAAATCTGGCGGACTTTAATTATCAATAGTTCATATAACAACCAAGGATAGTTAATTTATATAACCACCAGAGATAGTAAGTTAATATAACCACCAGAGATAGCAAGTTAATATAACCACCAGAGATAGTAAGTTAATATAACAACCAGAAAGATAGTAAGTTAATATCGTGACGCGGCTAATTAGCTATTTTTTGTTATTCAGAGAATATACCAGGAGTTCAAACTGAAGGACAGAGAATCCGTTTATCAGGTATATCAATTATCTTTATATCTACTTTGTACACTTTATTTAGGAAATATATGAGCCGCGTCACGACAAAACCAACATAATGGTTTTGCGACCAGCATGGATCCAGACCAGCCTGCGCATCCGCGCAGTCAGATCAGGATCCATGCTGTTCGCTTACAAACCCTATAACAAGTATAGAGAAACTGATAGCGAAAAGCATGGATCCTGATCAGACTGCGCGGAGGCGCAGGCTAGTCTGGATCCATGCTGGTCGCAAACGCACTATGTTGGTTTTGTCGTGACGCGGCTCATATATCAATTTTGGGTGCATTGTTGTAGAATAATATACGTCTCGGGAATATAATCATGAAGGCCGATATGCCGATACTTATGTACAGAGATAATTGCTTAACGTTCGCATAATATAAGAATGTTCGTTTACGTATACATTGTAGATTAAACTGGTAGTTTTGTATCAAACGTTGGGTTATTTTATCATGTGCGGATAGATATAAAAAGAAGATAATAGTTCATAATGCATCTTTTTATTTTCACAACCTATCATTTAACATTTAAACTATTTAAAGACTTGTTCATAAGATAACGTATAATTCTGCTCATTTTATTCATATATTTAACAGGAAAAGGCACTTAGATTAATGGGCTCCTCGTGGAAGAGTGAAAGAATCAACCGTAGAAATAGAATTACCAGAAAAAATAAAATAGACGCGGGAGGCAATTTTGTTTGAAGGTGTTACATGTTCGTAGTGATTCCTTCCCTTTGATGGTGTGACGTGATTAAAATTGTTTGAAAGGGTTATTGTAAATCTGTGATATTTTTTATGAAATTTTCTCCAACTTTTTGTTAATTATTAATTTTGTTTACTATACTCTTTTTCTTTATAAAAGTAAACAACAACAAAAAATGTTGTTGTTACATGTGTTACATTGCGTCTGTAAGGCTTGCTGAAAATGTGATATAAATTGGGATCTCTGTTTTGAATTTGTCATCCGGGTATTTTTAGGTTTAGAAGCGAAGTTTCGCTATCGCGACCTCTAGATTTATATTCGGACTACGTTACCAACGCACCATTTCGCCCAGTTGTCCCCTTTCATCCATTATTTAGTTTGAACAGAGTTTAATTTAGTTCGATATTGAACGAAGCTTTAAGCTCACAGACACACCTTCAAGCCCGTTTCTGAAACCCACCAGTACTAAGCAATGAGTGTACAGTTTCTTGCTAAAGGAAAGAAAGGCCTGCCCCTGACGGGGTAAGAACCTTCTCGGCTGGAGATCCTTAGATAGCTAAACTGACATCTATAAATTGTAAAAAAGAAAACCCAATAAAACTGAGATATTTGATTTTTTGCAATACTTTTACAATAATTTATTTCATATGTTTTATATATTTGATATATTATATATATGGGTTAATATGTAAACATATCTTCTTTTTTAATATATTTATATACTTTATTTTATGTTTATCATTAATATAGTAACATATTTTGTCTTCTACATGTTTTAGATCGGATATAGCCTGGGTTCCAGTCTGTCGATTTTTATGTGCTTCTATTGGCACTATCAAAACCAGAGATGTTGTGTTATCTATGACGATCGAGTATGAAATAGCGCGTATGTTATGAATAAGCAAAAAAAATATCAACGCCTGAATCTCAGGCTAGATCGGATACTATTCGATATGTTATAATATCGCATGGCGAATGATATACATTGTATTAATTTAATAAATATTCTAAAGCTGCAAAAATTAAATTCAGTTTTTTTTTTATATTTTACACTGACAAATGTAAACAAGAACCGGTTGAACCGGATGATGCTCCCCGAGAAGGTTCTGGACACAGGAAAGTATAAAATACAAAGTTTCATGTTGATATCTCTAATAGTTTTAAAGTTATGTCCCGGACAAAAGTCAAAAAGTAAAAATGAACAAAGGACAATAACTTCAAAATAAGGCAAGGCATAGTAATGATTCTTAAGCACTGAACTTCTACCCAATGAGACATATCTACCTACAAAGTTTCATGTTGATTTAAGAGTTATGTCCTGGACAAAGTTCAAAGTGTGAAAATAAACAAAGGGGAATGATTAAAAAAAATAGGCAAGGCAGAGTTACAGTTCTTATGCACTGCACACCTACTCAATCGAGATTTATCTACCTACAAAGTTTCATGTTGATATATCTTACAGTTTAAGAGTTATGTCCTGGACAAAGTTCAAAGTGTAAAAATAAACAAAGGAGAATAATTAAAAAATTAGGCAAAGCAGAGTAACGGTTCTTGTGCAATGCAAACCTACTCAATGAGATCTATCTACCTACAAAGTTTCATGTTGATACCTCTTATACATTTAGAGTTATGTCCCGGACAAAGTTCAAAGATTAGAAATAAACAAAGGGGGATAATTCAAAAATTAGGGAAGGCAGAGTTACGGTTCTTATACACTGCACACCTACCAAACGAGATCTATCTGCCTACAAAGTTTCATGTTGATACCTCTTATACTTTTAGAGTTATGTCCCGGACAAAGTTCAAAGTGTAAAATAAACAAAGGGGGATAATTAAAAAATTAGGGAAGGCAGAGTTACGATTCTTATACACTGCACACCTACCAAACGAGATCTATCTACCTACAAAGTTTCATGTTGATACCTCTTATACTTTTAGAGTTATGTCCCGGACAAAGTTCAAAGTGTAAAATAAACAAAGGGGGATAATTCAAGAATTAGGCCAGGCAGAGTTACGGTTCTTGTGCACTGCACACCTACTTAATGAGATCTATCTACCTACAAAGTTTCATGTTGATACCTGTTATACTTTTAGAGGAATGTCCCAGACAAAGTTCAAAGTGTGAAAATAAACAAAGGGGAATAATTAAAAAATTAGGCAAGGCAGAGTTACGGTTCTTGTGCACTGCACACCTACTCAATGAGATCTATCTACCTACAAAGTTTCATGTTTATACCTCTTATACTTTTAGAGTTATTTCCCGGACAAAGTTCAAAGTGTAAAATAAACAAAGGGTGATAATTCAAAAATTAGGCAAGACAGAGTTACGATTCTTGTGCACTGCACACCTACTCAATGAGATCTATCTACCTACAAAGTTTCATATTGATACCTCTTGTTGTTTCAAAGTTATGTCCTGGACAAAGTTCAAAGATTAAAAATAAACAAAGGGGGATAATTCAAAAATTAGGCAAGGCAGAGTTACGGTTCTTGTGCACTGCACACCTACTCAATGAGATCTATCTACCTACAAAGTTTCATGTTGCTACCTCTTGTTGTTTCAAAGTTATGTCCCGGACAAGAAAAGCGGACAGACGGACGGACGGACGGACAGACGGACGGACGGACAAGGCGGCGACTATATGCTCCCCCGAAATTTTTTCGGGGAGCATAAAAAATAGTGACAGTGATGGTAGTGTTATTTGTGATAATGATAGCTGTAGATACTGTTAGTGTTGATGTCAGTGGTGATAATGTTGTTTGTTGGTACTGTTATAGTGGTAGTGCTGATAATCATTATCATATTGGCGTCCGCGCCGAAGCGCGACACTTTTTATGGAATTAAATCAGATTTTGTGATAGGGCAATTACAACTTCTCGGGCCTTTTCGTCGGTCAGAATAGCCGATCATTCCGATTGGTATGAGGATGTTTGATAATCAAAAATGAAGTGTCGCGATATGTACAATGAATAGCGAACTGGAGAATTTCGCAATGCAAACATATTCAAATGAAATTATCTTATCTGTCTATTTATCGCGCTCTTCGGTTTTTTTATTAATAATTTTGTAGCACACAGCGGATTATTATTCTCTACCTATAAATAAAATGATGACCTAACAATGTGAAAGTCAGAAAGTCTATTTATAGAAGTAGTTTTAGTTTAACGAAACGATCATTCGTATAGCGCTATGGTAATAAATAACGAACTGAAGAATTTTGCAGTAAATGATTCAGAAATGTAAACATATGCAATCTTTATAAATCCATAGAAGAAATCGAAGTTAGCCATTTTTACGAATTTGTCATATCATAGTATTATCATTTTGAAATTGTCTTTTCCGTAGGTTCTTTCCGGTTTTCCGGTTTTCTTTCATACGGCCCTGATTGCACTTATGACATTTTTACAGTGAATATTTAAATAGCCCTAGATCATAACTTTAAATGTCGCTTTCATTTTGACGTTGTGCAGCAGTTAACAGGTCTAGCAGTAGTATACTATAACACCTATTCGCTGTTCAAGTCTCTTTAGCTAAAATCTACCCTGATTTCCTGAATTTTTGCTGTTCTAAATTTTGTTTGAATGCAATCGATGGAAGTATGAATTGAATGTTAATGTGCCGAATATTGTGACAGTTTAACAACAGAAACTTTCGTCTGCAATTTTAACATGTAAACAGGGATAGGAATGTAAACACTGGTGGGTCGGACGAGGTTTTTTTGAAGTAATTCATTAAAATAGAAGATTGCCCTACCAATAAATCAATTAACAGACTTATTTTTCATTTTGACCATTATGTTGTATGTTCCAAAGAAAATAACACATGAACTTAAAATTTTATTAAATAACCAATATTAATGATAATATCCAAAAATACCCCATGTATAGTATAAATATACTTATACCATATAGGGGGTGTATATTTTGGATATTATAGACCTGTATATTTTGGACGTTATCGTTAATATTGATAGAATTTCAAGTTCCTATGGAAGAAACATTTAATTTTCTAATCTCTAGCATGCCTACCAAAGTTCATGACGAACAATGTCTTCCGTCCGCCCATCCATAAATATTATACAATTCTGGTAAAAACCAATTACCATTGAAAAGTTTATAAGAATATCTGGTCATCAGATGTCTACTAGTTCATCGTCACTTGCTGCATTTCTTGCGTGGACGCTCTTTGATGCTTTGCATCAATGTTTTTCTTGTATGTTGATACTGTAACAGTAAAGTAGTAGTGGTGATAGTTTTAGCTCTGTAGATTATACTAGATACTGTGGAATAAATAAATAAAACTATGAATATTATATATGCAGATTCTTTTATTTTCAGATATAGCAGTTTCTAAAGCAAGAGTTTCAAAATATTCAATCAATTTTTACTTAAATATCCATACATGCCAGATACAATGTATGTCTACTTCTTGTTCATTATAGTAATAACGTTTTTTCTCCCTCTCTTTTGTTAAGTAAGTTTTCATTCGTTTAATCAAACCATTATTGGGCTCACTACATGTACACCGTTTACTTTTTAACAGGAGAGGAATTAATCATACGTTTCTCTTTCATATAAACAGTATATAATAACACATAGACTTGTATTGTATTGTTTGATTTTATTAATCTGTCAATTGCGAACTGTTTACACGGTCAATGCACACAATATATTAATCTTCGATAAGTGATCGGAAAACTTCGTGAGATGTACTCATCTATGAAATAGCTATACTGACCGTTATGTAGCGCAATAAGGTAAAATACCGGTTTATAACTTACGTTTGTCAATGCTTTTTTCTTATTTATATTTTCCACATTATTGAAGGTATGATACATTTTTTTAAGTTGTTCTTTTTTATGTTTTGCACTTATTTTGGCAAAGACATTACCCATTTTAAATAGCATGGGTTAAAAATTAAAATTAAAATCAATTAATGTCATTTCAATGCCGTAAAATTCAATACAAACAAACAAATATGTGGTTCTAAGTTGTTCCATGTCCGTTTAGACTATTTTGCAAGCCATATTCATCAAAATAAAGAAAGAATTGGTATAAAAACAATTGCAAAAGTATGGATCGAACCATGGACCTCTAATATACGAGGTAATCACTCAACCGACTGTGCTATTGCGGGTATAACCAGAACATAAATATTCAGATAGTGTGACTTTTCAAAACATTAGTCATATACTCCAAATTAATTCTCGTAATCTATACGGACAGAACCGAAGTGGTATCGAATATTAGATGAGTGCTATAATGTATTCATAATTGACAGGTCAATAAAATCAACTATTATATTGTTTGATTTTATTAACCTGTCAATTCCATACTGATTATACGGTCAATGCACAGAATATATTAATATCCGATAAATGTTCGGTTAATTCCGTGAGATGTACGCAGTAAGATGTTATTAAATTCTTCGTGTTTCTATGAAGTAGTTACACAGACCGTTATAGCGAAATAGGGTAAGCTGCGGGTATATATTAATATCTAAATGCCCCATGTGTTATAAGATCGAGACAGACCCAGCAAACAAAAGACGTTGTACCAACGTTGTACTGACGTTAGACCCTGACGTTGGGTAAACGTTGGCAGAAGGTTGGATTTGAAAGTTTTTTAGACGTCAGAAACCGACGTCTATACAACGTCATAAAATGACCTTTATCCAACCTTTTCTGACCATAATCCAACCGTTTCTGACCATTATCTGACCATAATCCAACCTTTTCTGACCATTATTTGGACATAATCAAACCTTTTTCTGACCATAATCCAACCTTTTCTGACCATTATCTGACCATATGCCAACCTTATCTGACCAAATTTTCTAACCATGATTTAACCTCATTCAAAACTTTTGGAATATGATTTTTTTTTCATTTTAAAGCTCTTTAATAGGGTTAAAAATAAGCATTCTTATGATTTTAGCAATTTATTTTATACTCGGAATCACAAGTACAAAACAAGAAATGTGGTACTATATAACAAATGCAAGATTTACATAATATTTTTTGAAATTATTTAACTTGACGGTATGTACTTTAATAACGCTTCATGTATTAATTAAGCATGTTAAACAAAATCCTTCTTGAATATTAACACTGACATTTTATATAGCAAACATCCATGCATGTGTTTTTTCTTATATCACCACTGAACTGATCACTCTGATTTTGGGATTTTTCAATCATCAATCCAACTCACTAAATGTATATTTGTCTTTGTATTTTATAACTGAATCTAGATCTGAATGTTAAATGGAACACTATTCTGAATATTTTGTTATAATAAATAGCAATGTTCATGTATCTTCATTAGTATTCTAGCTTCTTTCGTCCTCCTCCACTATGTCGATCTGGGGCATACTTTAAGCGTATCATTACCGTCTCCAACCTGTGATCTCATCACACTTTCTGAAATAAAAAAAAAATAATCAGTTACAAGTGCAAGAAATAAATCACTTTTACATATTATAATTAAACGAAATTCTAACAAAACTCTCCAACTACTTAAAAAGATACATGCACTTATTATTTTTAATTTAGTTTAAACCATGTAGTTTCGTGTACCTTACTACCTACTGTATATATCTATTAATTTTGATAAAAATGGCTTCGTGAAGAATTTCATTATAAAATCAAGGGTAATATAAGATCACTGTATTTTCTATAATATTTTGAAATATACCTGTCACAAAATCTTGGTAGGTTTTCATTTTTCTTTTCCTCTAAATATTTTCATCTTCCTCATGAACTTTTGACACATGTTGAATTATCATAATTTTCACAATCTGAAAGACGAAATATAATCGTTTTAGAATTTAACCATGTGGTGAAAGGATGTTTGTCTAATACAATAGGCAAAATCAAATTACTATTAATCTTAGTTAACTCATAAGCGCATGAAAAACTGATATAACAAATAACAAATTAATTCTACTCCCGCAAAAATTGATATTGTTATTTTTTATATTCAAAGTACTTTGTACAAATTTAATGCTCATACAACATCAAAGAAATTCACATGTTACTGTCATTTTTATAGATATCATCTCTGCCCAGCATGATCTGGTCTGCTAAGAGTACGTATATAGGACAGACTGGCTTAGTGTTAAAACGTTTTATGATACGAGCATACAACTTGTTGATAAGCAGGCTAATTAACAAACTATTACTTTTATTGATTTATAACTATGATAATGTGTTTTCTGATTGATAATATGTTGTTTGATTACATTAATAAAAAGATAGCTAGTCAAATACAATGTGCTTTCAGATATATCTTACAAAAGTCGTATCATTTACATGTATCAAATGCCATGAATCATTATCATAATATAAGAAACACATGGTATGCTTACAGTATGGGTAAAGTACTACAATTAACAACGAGTAGTTTAACAACTACACAGATATCAAAATCAAACTGCATCTGATACATGTGTAAATGACTGGCCCCTCATATAAGTGAAATTCATGTTGATGTGGAAACAAAAATATTTATCTCGCGAAATCACGTGACATTAAGTTTTACCAGTCAAACATTTCAATGATCAAATAACCATCGAATCCATGCAAACATGCGGTAAATTAGCATTGAAAAACAATATATAATGTTTGCCTACCTTTTTCTTTTGTTTGGAATATACAACTTTGTCTGTCAACCCGTCGTTTTTTTGTCCGCCAATACAATTGAATTTCAAATCCGATAAGTCGCAAATTCGAATTTACTAAATTATTTACCACTATAAAATGAAGCCCTCAAAAATGATAACAACTTCATTGTAAATTATATAAACACTTCTTAGACTAATTCGAGGAGATAAGATATTATTTAAACGAAAATAGAGCAAATATATTTCATACTGATCTGCGACTATCCGTTTACAGAGCGCCACCTATCGAATATCGTACGTTAGCCACCCACGTGATACTGTTGTTTTGATGGAGAAAATAAATATATAATGTTCCCTTTCTAAACTTAAACTTAAAATTCTCGCTGTTTATGCTTTCATTTATATATATATATATATATATATATTGGTTTCATAAATTAAATTTACCTATTGTCAGATTACCGACCAAAACCCGACGTCGAGTCGACGTCAAAATGCAACGTCTGTTAGACGTCGGGGATTCAACGTCGATTTGACGTTGTATGAAGGTCACCGACGTCGCGACCAAAATTCAACGTTGATCCAACGTTGGGTCAACGTCGGGTGTTTGCTGGGGAGTATGTCCATTTCTTTTCTTATTCATAACTATTTTCAACATTTTCAAAGTTATGGTTGTTCTTTCTGTTTTAATATGCTTTGCATTTTTCGGTAAATACTATACTTGTTTAAGAGTTTATATTCAAAATTCATCTGAATTAAATTCAATAAATGTCATTTCAGTGCCGTAAAATACGAGGGTTGTCCAAAAAATTTGTGCACTGCAGTTATTGTCGTGAGAGTTATTAATAAAAACAAATGAATTATATATCACTTGAAAGAGAAATTTGTCTCAAATAAGAAAACAAAAGAAAAAGCCGAGTAACCGGCGTGTCGTGTAAAAGAATGGTCATTGAGTTACCTTTGTAACGTAATACCGGCGCAAGACAAAAAAATGGGTTAGTTCATCACTGTAATTGTATTGTTTGTTGCTTGTAAATATAAAGTGGTATTTGCTTTTTATGTTATAATTTGTTTTACTGTCAATAGAGGAATGATTAATGAAAAGTATTGTGTAGTTTTTATTGTTTTTTATGCAACGTACATTTAGCATATTCCACCAGTGCAGGAATATATTGGACAACCCTCGTCACATGCGCCGGCATTACGGACGGACGTCTGCCTGACTGGTTGTCATCGTCTACCGACTCTCTTTCTCTTCCACAGAGCGTTTGAGCCATTTAAAAATCAGCCTTGGTGACACTGAACTTGTCCCGCTTGCCCTTTTAAGTTCTTTGTAGGTATCTGTTGGTGATTTACCAATATTTGCACCAAATTTAATGATCGTCCGTATTTCCAGACGTTTAGCGACTGACATTTTCACGTAATTACAGTATTGATGACCGCACACAAATGTTTGTTTACGACTGTTTCAATAGGGCAAATGACGCCATATTTTCTAGTGACGTTAGGAATACGTACACACACTTTTCCCTGAATTTTAACGTTAATATGTAGTGTTAAAAAATACTGTGATGCATCAAAGTAATGAACTAACCCAATTTTTTGTCGTGCGCCGGTATTACGTTACCAAGGTAACTGTATGACGATTCGTTTTCAGAACATGCTGGTAACATGTTTTTTTCTTTTGTTTTCTTATTTAAGATATATCTCCCCTTCAGGTGATATATAATTAATGTTTTTCTATCAATAACTCACACGACAATAACTGCAGTGCACGAATTTTTTGGACAACCCTCGTACAATACAAAATGGGACAATTCAATGTTTCTACTTTGTTTCATATCCGTGTAGACAAACGCTTGACAATTTTCATTTAAATATACTTAAATATAAAGAAAGAATAAGCCTACAAAGAATTTAAAAAGAATGGATCGAACTTCGGACCTCTCATACATTAGGTAATCACTTAACCAACTGTGCTATTGCGGATGTTACGAGAATCCACATTAAGCTAGTGGAAGTTTTCAAAATGTTACTTATATACTCCATATTAATTATCGTAACATAAACGGACAAACCCGAAGTTGGATCGAATATTTAAATGAGTGCTATAATGTATTCATAATTGACAGGTCAATAATGTCAGACTATAACAGTAGAATTATCTTCCCGAGTAGGTAAATATCGTTAGCTGTGTCGTTAACGTTATTTTTTTTAGTTTTTTACTGTGAAAAAGTACTATTACCTACACAACAGTACAAATTTTTAGTTACATGGTACACATGAACGAACAGTAAAAATAATTCCCATTTGGGAAACAAACACACACAAAAAACTCTTTTTCTGGATTTTAAAAGTTCACACATGTTTCCTCATGCTGATTTTCTGCACTTATATTTTGGTATATAATGTTTTTTCCAACTGCACCAAAATAAAAAGATAAATAAATGGATGGATGGATGGATGGATGGATGGATGGATGGATGGACGGACGGACGAAAAACGAACGAAAAATAAACAAATAAAAAAAATAAATAAAAATTAAACAAAACAAAAACAAAAATACATGTAAACTATAAGTAAATAAAACAATAAGTAAATAAAACAATATAATGAAAAATAAAAATACGTAAACAAGAATAATAAATAAATAAATAAATAAATAAATAAATAAATAAATAAATAAATAAATAAATAAATAAATAAAATAAATTAAATAAAAAACTAAACCAAAAAAGTCAACAACAAAAAGAAAACAATAAAAATTAGACAAAACAAAAAATAAATGTAACATGTAAACGCCTCTAAACAAAATTTTATGAATTTGACACGAGGAAAATTTTATTAGCGAAATGAGGAAAATTTGTAGAGCTACAAAAAAATAAGTAGATGAATAAACAAAAAGATAAATTTTATAAATAAATAAATAAATGAACAAATAAAATAAATTAAAATAAAATAAATAAAAAATGAAGATAAAATATTAACAAAACAGCAACAATAAAAATTATACAAAAATCAAAAATATATAGATTAATGAATAAATGAAAATAGATAAACAAAAATTAAATATAATTCATAAACAACAAGAAAACCAACAAATAAAGCATGCCGTTTATGTCAATAATTAACGTGATCTCTTTTTGACCTCATTTATTTGGAGACTGCGCGAGACTGGTTTAAGTGTATCTACTTGAAACACGAAACCAGTCGCTGTATCTTAATTTAATTTGTTTACAGACAAGGTATGAAGAACTGGCACGTAGCATGCGGCTAAAAGTTTTTAGGTGATATAGATCACATGTGGTACTTACAATATCTACACTTTTCTTAGATTTTCAGGTTGCAAACGGTTGTTTGTCATATATTCATCTACCACATGCTGTATAATATAATGTATAACACCATAAAGGTGGACTAGCTAATCCTTGCCAAACTCATAATTGAAATATTGCAAAGAAAACATTTAAAAAGTTACCAACTTATTCATATTTAGAATAAAGGTACATGTATTTCATTTTGTCCGGGACGTATGGTTGCTGATTTGTGTCATTCGTGTTTTCGCCCCGCGACCCCGCCAAGCGAAAACTCGAGAATTAACAAGTAAAATGCCATGTATATAAAACTATTAAAAGGTCACGATTATTCAATGGAAAGCGACGTTACGACTTTCAAAAAAAATCTATCGGAAGTAGTATTTTCTCGCGCATGCGCAATCTGCGTAGGGCTAAAAGAGCATCGCTCTACAAAGTGGCTCCCGAAATATCCGCTCGTGTATAAGTTTATCTAAATGTTAAGTGACTATCACTGTATAATTTGTTATCGTTGTCCTGCGCAAAATAGTTTTTACTCTCTCAATCTGTAGGAACATGTAAAAACGTTTGAAAGGAATAAAAAAATATGTATTCTATATTGTTTCAATGCGTTGCGTTTATTCTGGCAGCGGCGGTAACCGGACAGCATGTCGGGATGGAAAACACGGACAACACCGGCAACTCGGACACGCCGGTGTATAACGGGGAGGAAATTATACTGCCCATGTGTCGGAACTTTCTTCCATATAACTGGACGAAACTCCCGAACCAGTTCGGACATGACACACAAGTTGAAGTGTACAGGTTAGAAATATTAATAAAATCTTATTAATTTTTCAAAACAAGACAAACTTTCGTAAACATAGTTTTGTTTAGATCATTTGTTAGTATTTTAATTAGAAATCAGAAGATGTTAATTCTTTGAGCACACAGGCAGCTCTTATTAGCCAAGGTTAAGTATGGAAAACGGAAAAAGAAACTTGACTTTTTCACTAGTTTTGACAGTCGTTTCACCTATACAACAAACATTGTCACTAACGAACCAGAACATTACATAAATGAATGGTTTTTTTTGTCTGGTAAAGAATAATATTTTTATATGACAATAATGAGATTTGTTGTTTTAAGTTATTAGTATATATATATAGTGATTTAGTATTTTGCAAGGAGGTCAAAATACTACTTTATTAACTAACATTTTGCTACTTTAATAGCAATTCTTTTAAATTTATCGCTACTTTATTCGGGTTACAAGCACTATACGTGCTCTGGAACCATTATCAAAATGTTATAAATTCATGTTTGCATTTTCTGCACGCCTCCAGAGGTGCCAAAATATTTATAGGAAATAAATATTGCGAAAAATGTACTAAAATTTTAAGAAAGGTAACACATTCAAGATCCAAGTTATGTTATGTAAGATTTAAGACTGATTTTGCAGTATTTTATCATCTTATTTCTACTGCGTACTGACGCGGTAAGGATTGTTCATGCATAGATTGACAACTTTTTGGTAATTTTCTGGGATTGCAGGTGTCGATTGCAATATGTAAATTTCTATTTTTGTTCACCTCACACTATTTTACTTTCAAATACATTTCTAAAATTTTCATGAAAATAAACATGAATCTGGAGGCGTGCTGCTGTGACAAGTAAAATGTAAAAAAAATTGTTTCTGATCAGACTGCGCGGATGCGCAGGCTGGTCTTGATCCATGCTGGTCGCAAACTTTTAATGTTGGGTTTGACGTGACGCGGCTCATATATGGTCCAGACTACTCATTTATTATGTACACTCACTATTATTTTAGGCATATAGAGCATCAATGGGCGTACATGGATTATGGTTGCTCTAACAATTTCCGGCAGTTTGTCTGTTCGCTCTACTTACCAAAGTATGATCCTGTCACACAGACTGTAGCCGGGCCTTGTAAAGAAATGTGTAGCAAAGCCAGGAACAGGTGCAAGAAAACAATGAGGGAAACTAGGTCAAGATGGCCACGAATCTTCCGGTAAATATATGTCTTTTAATTAAATTGATTTCAAGTTTAAATCTAGATCTGCATGTGTAGAAAATAAATGTATTTAGGGAACATATAAAAATCAAAGCACAGAAGGCGCTGAATTTGTTTGGGTCTCAGAATGTAAGAAAGTGCCACCAATGCTTTCCAGCGTTTTAATTGTAGTAAATTGGCTATAAGACTAAATGCAACACTGATATTTAATCCAATGTTTATTTGACTTAAACAATTTGAGAAAAAAAATGAGTTGCCTTTACTGGGATTTGAACTCCAGACCTCGCGCTTCCTAAGCGAGCACGAAAACCCTTCAGCCACAGTGAATTTTTATGTGAAGGCCTGAAGAAAAATAAGGGCTTGTAACGACTTTAACTGTTGTTTAACACAGATGTAAATAATCCTGGAGCTTACTTTAAGCATATATATTAATAAAGAATCAAAGGTCTGCAAGTTTTGTGGTATTTTCTGATCTTTGCAATCTTAATCGTACTGTATATCTGTATGTATTTTCCTGTATAAGTTTATTTTTATGTATTATAATTCATTTTGCAAGGCATCAGAGTTTGATAAATACGGAATTCTGCATAACTAGAGTTGCATCAAAAAAAACATTTATGTTCATTTTTTTACGACAGCCACACTTTATCCTTGCATATCATGGCTACTTTCTTAACAAAGACACTTAAAAAAAAATTAAAAAAAAAGTTTCTTCGACTGGGATTTGAACTCCAGACCTCTCACTCACCAAGCGAGCGCGTTACCCCTGCACCACGGAGAAGTTATACTAACAAGGACTGAATAAAATCAAGTCATTCTAAATTTAGAACTTCCATTGCATTTCGGGTTTGTTTCCTTATTAATTTCGAGGTATTTTGTTCAAGATAAACATGTTGTTTAAAATTGATGTAAATAATTTAGCGAAAATCTTCTCGCACAAACAGTCCGACATGTAGAATCTATATATTCCACTACTCGGTTTGTGTAGTATTCGGTAATCGACATCGCTAAAAATAGTATTTTCATTGATAAAATCATATTCATCCGCGTAATTTGTGATTGTGAATTTATTGACAATTGTATGAGCCAACGCTATTTCTAAACTTTGAATTCGTTGTAATTTGTTGGATACTTGTAACAAAATAAAAATATTTCTTTCTTTTAAATCGCTAGTTTTAAGCTGTTTTGAGAACTACTTGTTGTTAGGTTTGTCTTAAACTTCTGTGTCAGAGATTGAATGTCCGCTTTGTATTTACTTATTTTCGATCAGAAAATTCAATAAAACAATATTAGAAATCTTCGACCATTCGGAAATTATTTTGCTTGAAAATTAATGCGCCTGTCTTTGAGTCATCTTTACGCAGTGATCTCCCCTGAATTTTTCGGCGTTAGTTTACATATAAAGGGAAGTAACCGCTTCAAAAAAGTGGACTACTTTCGGCATTTGCAATTAACAGTATTAGACTCTGAAATTTCGCTACCACTATTTGATTGGTCTGACGACCCAAACAAATAAAAACAATAGTGCGTATTGTTATATTTACATATTGTTATACCACAGGAACTTGAAATTCTATCAATATTAATGATAATATCCAAAATACACCCCCTATACAGTATAAATAAACATATACTGTATAGGGGGTGTATTTTGGATATTATCATTAAATTAATATTGATAGAATTTCAAGTTCCTGTGGTTATTCTTACATATTGTTAAACTTACATTTTGTTATACATGTACTTACATATTGCTATACTTTCATTTTGTAATATTTACATATTGCCATATTACATATTTGCATAATCATTCTTATATTTCCAGATGTAACCAGCTTCCGAGTAAAAGAAATGACGACGTTTGCTTACGACCAGTTCGAGAATCGCGCGTGGAGCTTCAACACACCTACTGCGTAGACAACGTCATTCCTATGTGTATTAGTCTTAACAGTCTTGGCTCGCTGCCAAACTTTTTTCTGCAACGAAGTCTCGGAGAAATCACGACGGAAATGAGATTTTACGAGGATCTGGTTTCGACCAATTGCAACGCAAACCTTCAGTTCTTCCTGTGTGGCACGTACCTGCCCCTCTGTGTGCCGAACATTACTCCATTCGCAATACCTTGTCGAGAACTTTGTGATGAGATCAAACGGGACTGCTCCACACATTTTGATTTCATCTACCAGGGTCTGCCCTGGCCAAATAAGCTGCAGTGTCACCGATACACGCCCTCTAACGATACATCACGATATTGCGCTATGCCGGGCGATTTCTAACTCTATTGATACATCACGATATTGTGGTATGCCGGGCGATTTCTAAAAATGAATCCAAAGTAAAACAACGGAAATATATTACGTAATTCTGTAAATATGAATCTCTGATTATACAGGGACCTCTTTCTACAACCAGAACGTTAGCATTGTCAATTGTAAAAGTCAATGATGTCGAAAGACAAAGTACAATAGATTATTAATCTGAATGCATCCCTTACCAAAGTAAACTCATAATTTGCATATGATAAAATCAGATGAAAAGGCGAACTTTTAAAGTTTTTTAGGCGTATGTTTAAAGCTCCTTTTGGAAGCTTATTTGGATTAAGCGTTTTTGTAAAAAAAGATTGAAGCAGCAAGTATCCAGATTAATGCTAATTTTTTTTTAATATTGTGAAGTGAACAAAGAAAGTAATTTACACTTTGCAAACAGCACTTACAATCAACGATAATTACCAAAAAAGAGGTCAAAATACATAAATAAATACCTCTTACTGCGTTAGTAACGCAATAGATTTATAGTGATTCATACTGCAAATGAACTTAACATATAATTAATCAAATATTGAATCTTTTAACTTTTCTAAAGATCATAATACACTTTTCTAAAGATCGAATTTCTTGAAATATTTGGGCTCATCTGGAGGCGTGCAGCTTTAATTCATTAAGTACACACAAACTTGATACCCCACCTTATAAATAAAACGTATCGTATTTCTTTTACTGCACCTCTGAATACAATTATAGTCAAAATAAAAGGGGGAAAATCACATTTACAAATTAATAATAACAGTTGTACCACAAATCACGAAATGGACTCTATTTCGAGAAATGAGATTTAAATGTTTTGTGCCATAAAGATATACTTTCCAATTTATTTTTGGACGGACTTATAATCGTATTTTATTACTCATGTACCACAATAAAGTATCTATAGATAATATAAGTTAATTTCTTGTCTTTATTTCCTGTACTGTAAATCGTAATTTAGATCAGTTTGAACGCCCAAATTGTAAATGTTGCAGGCTCGGTCAAGTCCGCTGTCTGGGTTCGAGGTAAGAAATTATTCTTTTGTGAGCTCTTCCATGAATATCAGGATTTTCGTTGGTCAGTGTATATTTTAAAGGAACTCCACTGAGGTTTGTAAGCCTGAAAACATAAAAATTTAATTTTTCCCATAGATTAGCATGAGCACTTAAAACAAAAATATAAATAAATTATAATTAAGAAATACATTGAAAATCATATGTTTGTGCTATTCTCAGTTCGATTTGACTGAAAAGCGTTTAAACGCTTTTCAATTTTGGGTAATTTTTCCCTATTTTAATAATTATTCTGGAAAAACAGAGCGAGCTAATGATCTGAAATTTTGAACATAGGTTATTAGTATAGGTCTACATCAGATGGAGTAATAATCTCAAAAAATTATTTCCACTCCGTCATGTCAAAAACCGTCAGTAAAGTCCTTTAAACAGGTATCTGACCAATGAAATACCTGAGATCTGAGTTTCTGATAACCTCGGACCCTAGACTCACCACTACCGGTGTTATATGAGGGAATGTTTTTACGTATTATTAGTTATTAAGATTTTTGACAGGTTATATGGTACTATATAACCGGTTGTTAGGAAATATACATATTGTAAACAACCGTTTATATACGGTCATATAACATGTCAGAAATATTCATAACGAATTTATAATACAGCAAGCATCTATTTTTAGAGAAAATAGTGAGATTTTTTCATAAATTGACAGCAGCCGTGTTTATAAAACTATATAAACGTTACGATTATCCAAGGAAAAGCCACGTTACAGGCGTGCAGTATTATAAAGTTCAAGATAAAGATCGAAGTTCCGGATAACCTCGGACCCTAGACCTAAGGTAAGACACCAATCCTTATCCGAAGACTGACGGGAAAAGGGCCGAGTAGTTGCGATTGGGTAAGACACCTCGCAAGTATCTCTCTCTAGTCCTGCTTTCTAGTCATATTTTGATGACAGATAAACAATTCTTTATTTTAAAATTTTAAAGGCCCATTATGCACTAACAAAGTTCTATGCTCCTGCGTTTATGAATAAATTATGCAAATGAGCCGCCATGTTGGAGTTTCGGTAAGCGTGTTGGAAATTGCTACCTGTTCATTTTGAAAGCTCGTCCTAACTAACAGTTTCATTGAATGTAGGAAAACTTGGTTTTGTTTGATTGCATATTGAATGATAGGTATTACAAAATAAATATAATGAAAATCGATCAATAAATAATTGTATACGAGCGTTATAAAGTCAATTTAACTCATCAGAATAATAAAGTTCTGTTGCAAGGTATCGGTAAAAGACTGATTTTTTCCCCGTTTTTGAAATTTATTTGAACACGGAGACAATTTTTCTCAAACAGGTTTATGAATATACTTTATGTTGTAACAGAGTTTACCGTGTGTCCATTCCTTATTTAAATTGTCTGAGAAGTTAAATCTGTTTAATTGTTTACATGTAAATGTGTACCGTCATTTTGACCGACTGGAATAAAAACTACCATGACGATGATAATACCGGATATGTAATGGAAATTATGACGTGTAGTGCAAAGTTTTGGACATTGCAATTAAAATTAACACTTATGTTGACTCAAACTGTTCCTTGTCAGCAAAATTGAAACCGAAAGTAGTGGTTGTTCTAGAATTTAATCGAATAAAATGGGTGGGATTTAACCACCGCGCATGCCCTGTGCGAACGTATTGTTTACATCCGGTCGTAGCATAGGGTAAGAGTGCAAACTTTGTTAGTGTTATGTCTCAGAAATGTTTAAATGTTGCTTCCCTAAAACTTTTTTTTTAAACATTGACATTTAAATTCAATATGTTTGCTTCATTTGCTCTGTTGGCAATTGGTATGATTATAGTAAATTAATATTTTGTATGGATGTCAATTATTACACATTCAGCGCTACTGTCTTTAAATAGTTCTTAAACATGTAATATGCCATTAATCCATTGTTAAAACATTATCAAACTTATGTTTGACCTTCCAAATGAATTTTTTTTTAAATGTGGATTGAACTTTACTGAGGTTTAAAAGCATAAAACACGAAATTTAGATTTCATACATAGATATCTGTGTGCTTCAAATAGAAAGATGCGCGAACAGATAATTTAGAAATATACTCAGAAATAAATGGAAAATTATATTTTTGTACTATTCTTAGCCCAATTTGAGTGAAAAGTGTTGAAACGCTTTTCAATTTTGGATCATTTTTTACAAAAACAGTAACTATTCCGGAAAAACGGACTGAGCGAATAGTCTGAAATTTTCCACACAAGTTATAGGCATAGATCTACGTTAAATTGAAAATTTGTGCTGAAAAATTATACCCAGTCCTGTCATGTCAAAAGACCTCAGTGGAGTCCCTTTAATGTGCCGTTGTAGGAAAAAGTGACGTTATATTGACATTTTAGTATAAATGAACTTATATTAAGCCTCGCACACGTACTCATTACATTGCTCACAATATTCTGTATAGTAAGGATAATTCAAGGATATACACCTTATGCCCTGAATCGCCGATCAAAAATAAAACAACGAAAAAGTGTTTTCTTTTATATAATTGCACATTTATATTCATTGCACTTAAATGTAATACAATCACATACAATGTATTTATTTCTTTAAAAAATACTGTCTCTTATACAACGTCTGTTTGAAATGTTATAGAGATAATTATGTTCATCACCTTTGTTTAAAAATAGAAACAAGGAACTTGTCTTTACAGACTATACTAGACAAATATCATCGTCTTATGAACGTGGGATAAACCAAGTTGATTGATAAACCAATAGAAGAAGAAGAAGAAAAGAAGAAGAAGAAGAAGAAGTAAACTATTATAAACTGTTATCTTTATCAAACCAAAATAAATCGTCACAAGTTCCCGAACACCTTTAACGTTTGTATGAGAGCAATTCTTGTTTTCTTTTCACAACACATGACGTCAAATTCTGTTCTTTATTCTTCGTATTCTATACAACGCGGTGTTCGAGCATAAATTATATTATATATTTTTAACAGTATTTAACAAAATTTTAAAGCAAATTCAACTAATTAATGTTCCCTGCACGACTTCATGCTATTCTCGTGAAATCTGAAATACAGAATAAAAATAAATGCATGTATATATGTATATATACATACATGTACATGTGTATGTGCACATATAAGAGAATGATACATTGTTTCCTATTTCTTATTATATTTGGTATCTAAAAAGATTGTTCTCATTATTTAAGTAAACTTAGACGTTTTAGTTACTTGTCCGAAAGACCGGTAGGGCCATTTCAATTTCATGAATTCCCGATTAAATCTTCATGAATTCACAATTTATACTTCGTGAATTCCCTTTTTCAACATACGGAATTCACGAATTCACGATTTCAGCTTCGTGAATTCATGACTTCAAAACCACGAATTCACGATTTCAACTTCATGAATTCACGATTTCAATTTCGCGAATTCGTGATTTCAATTTCATGAATTCACAATTTCAACTTCATGAATTCACGATTTCAACTTCATGAATTCACGATTTCAACTTCATGAATTCCCGATTTCAACTTCACGAATTCAACTTCGTGAATTCCCGATTTCAACGTCATGAATTCACGATTTCAACATCATGAAGTTGAAATCGTAAATTCATGAAGTTAAAATCGTGAATTCATGAAGTTAAAAATCATGAATTCATGAAGTTGTTATCGGGAATGCATGAAGTTGAAATGTCCCCACCGGTCTTTCGTAAACTTGTCATCTGTAGACACGATAACATACTACGTCTTCACGAAGTATATTCATAGACATGTCACCAAATGTAGCCGGAAATAATCCCCTATATTGATATTGACTTTGACTTATTTAACGAATAAAGGATTTAACGAATAAAGGATTTTGCGAATGAAGGATTTAATGAATAAAGGATTTAACGAATAAAGGATTTAACGAATAAAGGATTTAATGAATAAAGGATTTAACGAATAAAGGATTTTATGAATAAAGGATTTAACGAATCAAGGATTTTGCGAATGAAGGATTTAATTAATAAAGGAATAAATGAATAAAGGATTTAATGAATAAAGGATTTAATGAATAAAGGATTTAATAAATAAAGGATTTAACGAAAAAAGGATTTAATGAATAAAGAAATAAATGAATAAAGGAGTTAATGAATAAAGGAATAAATGAATAAAGGATTTAATGAATAAAGGATTTAATGAATAAAGGAATAAATGAATAAAGGATTTAATGAATAAATGAATAAAGGATTAAATGAATAAAGGATTGTATGAATAAAGGACTTTATGAATAAAGTATATCATCAAATGAGTCCATTGAACAAAACAAAACTTTCTCGTATAAACTTACATGAATTATTTAAAGAAAAAGTATGCGAACACGATGCCCATGCCAGCTCCAAGAATAGGCATTGATATTCCAACTCCCGCCATAGGTCCTGAAATAATATGTGAATAATTATTGTCCATCAAACTATGTTGTATTATATTGCATATAAAGTGAATGGGTAATAAAATATAAATAATTGTAATAACTTTACAACTTTAAACGAAACGCAATCGTCTGACAAAAGAAGATGAATTATTTTATAAATCACATATAAAACAGACCACATTTAGAAGATATAGCAATGTTAGAGGTAAGTTAGTAAAGTAAGTGGTGGATTTAAGAAGAAGGTGGTGGATTTAAAAAAAGGAAGTCGTGGAAAAGGTAAGTGGTAGATTAAAAAAGTAAGTTGTGGATTAGAAATGTAAGTAGTGGGGAATTTAAAATGTAAGTGGTGGATTTAAAAAGTAAGTGGGTATTCAAAATGTAAGTGGTGGATTTAGAATGTAAGTGAAACATTTGAAAAGTAGGTGGTAGATTTAAAAAGTAATTGGTAGATTTAAAAAGTAAGAGGTGAACTTAAAAAGTGGTGGATTAAAAAAGTAAATGGTGGATTTAAAAAGAAAGTTGTAGATTTAAAAAGTTAATGGTATATTTGTATTTAAAGTGAGTGGTTGGTATAAAGAGATAAATGTAAAAAAATACTTTTTAACATGAAAAATATATTGGAAGATAGGATAAGTGAGTGAAAAAATGAAGTGACAAATATAAAACAAAATCAGTAGTGTATATGGTTAGGAAAAGTAAGTAATGAATATGTTTAAGTAAGTAGCCTAACTTACCGGCACCGTAGCCTGCTTGTTTTTGATTCTGTACCGTGGTTGTCACATTCGTATATGTGATCTCTATAATACTGTTAGACTTAGCTATCAGTGGCTTTACCTATAATATACAAATATGTTATACTATAATACTGTTAGACTTAGCTATCAGTGGCTTTACCTATAATATACAAATATGTTATACTATAATACTGTTAGACTTAGCTATCAGTGGCTTTACATATAATATACAAATATGTTATACTATAATACTGTTAGACTTAGCTATCAGTAGCTTTACCTATAATATACAAATATGTTATACTATAATACTGTTAGACTTAACTATTAGTGGCTTTACCTATAATATACAAATATGTTATACTATAATACTGTTAGACTTAGCTATCAGTAGCTTTACCTATAATATACAAATATGTTATACTATAATACTGTTAGACTTAGCTATCAGTGGCTTTACCTATAATATACAAATATGTTATTCTATAATACTGTTAGACTTAGCTATCAGTGGCTTTACCTATAATATACAAATATGTTACACTATAATACTGTTAGACTTAGCTATCAGTGGCTTTACCTATAATATACAAATATGTTATACTATAATACTGTTAGACTTAGCTATCAGTGGCTTTACCTATAATATACAAATATGTTATACTATAATACTGTTAGACTTAGCTATCAGTGGCTTTACCTATAATATACAAATATGTTATACTATAATACTGTTAGACTTAGCTATCAGTGGCTTTACCTATAATATACAAATATGTTATACTATAATACTGTTAGACTTAGCTATCAGTGGCTTTACCTATAATATACAAATATGTTATACTATAAAATCAAAGCACAGAAGGCGCTGAATTTGTTTGGGTCTTTTAATGCAAGAAAGTTGAAGGTTGTGAGATTATAAACCAATTTGTTTTTGTATAATGCCAGCAATGCTGTTTCCAGTGTTAGTTATAACTGTAGTAAATTGGCTAATAAGGCTAATTGCAACACTGATATTCAATTCAATGTTTATTTGGCTTAAATAATTTAAAAAAAAAAAACACAACAACTTGAGTTGCCTTAACTGGGATTTGAACCACAGACCACTCGCTTCCTAAACGAGCGTGTAACCCCTGGACCACTGGGAGGTTATAAAGCAAACCACATTATTCTAAATTAGGGTTTGTAATCCTTATTAATTTCGAGATATTTTGTTTACGATAAACCTGTTGTTTATCACAGATGTATATAATCATGGAGCTTAATATAAGCATGTATATCTGTGAAATAATTCTCACATGAATATAATATTTCACTACTCTTTGTGTAATACGTCTGGATTATCGGATGCTTAATTTATAGGACCGTTACTTATGGTAGAAATTGATTATCGATCGTCGACTGCCTAAATTCGTCTCTGTCCTATAGTCAACTTTATTTTTTCAGAAAGTCTTAATAACAAATGTTCATTTAGGCAATCCCAATAATCCAAAGCTTTACGGAAATAGCCGAGCAATTTTCATTGATTAAAATGATATTAATCCGCTAAACAAAATTATTTGAATATATTACCGGTAATTTGCAGAAATGTTAAAGAATTACATAATGTTAGAAATCTTCGCCCAATCGGGAACTATTTTTTCTTCCCAGAAAAGGTTTGAAAATTAATGCGTCTGTCATTGGTCAATCTTTACACAGTGATCTCCCCTTAATTGTTCGGCGTTAGTGTACTTATAAAGGGATATTCTTATAAAAGTAACCGCTTCGTGGAGTTCCTGACGGACTACTTGCGGATTTTTCAAATAAGCATATCAGGGTCTTATATTTCGCTACCATTATTTGTTGGGTCTGACGACCCAAACAAATAAAAACTAAACTTAGACTTAGCTTTCATTTATATTTAATGTTTATAATGTAGAGCTCTGCTATAAACTTTTATAAAGAATTTCTATGGGATCAAATAAACATATTTGAATTTTCATTTGAGTGGACAAAATAGCTTATTATATCTCACGTTTGTAAAAGCAGCGCCACCTAGTGTCACGATGAATTGGTTACTTTGTATTGTACTAGCCAGGGTGTTGGCAGCAAATTCAAGAGGAACCTCTTTATAGCTCGTCGCTTTTTTCACATCACCTATGCTCGGAGCAACGTCTAATAATTCAAAAGTTACCACGATATCACCTGCTACAAAAACCTGAAATAAGTAAGCAAATCGATATTTTTTTTTAAATTAAAATATGATCGCAAAAAGTAATTTATCATTAGTTTAATTGTTAAATATGTGCATGTATATTTGAACCCCTGACCCTGATAGGTTGTGAAAGACTATAATTCATATAATCAATTTAAAAAAACAATACAAAAAGAATGCACTGCCTTAAACAACATTGCCAATTTCAATTTCAATTTTATTTATTGCGCTCAGATCATGCAAACATGACAACATGACGTACAACATGCCACAATGCAAATAGAGCCCGATTCCTACTTGAGATATCCTTCGGCAAAAAGGCCTCACCGACACTCGTGATATGATGCCCTAAAGAGACTTCAGATCACTCAGTCAATTTTACACCCTTTCTCACAAAAAACAGCCTTGTCGCCTTCATGCTAATTCTATATACAGTCACACACAGTCAATAGATAGATACGTCAATGTTCTGTATTTTTAAACCTTTTTTCGTAAAAATTAAATGTAATAAAAAATGTAATAATGTAAAATGTAATAATGTAAATAAAAATGTAATAATTGTTCGACATTTTAATTCACAATCTACATATAAAATCAACGTTTTGTTAACTGTAGATTTGCTACACGAATTGAGAGCTCATATTTCACGTGTGTAAAAGTTACCTGTAGATTTGCTACACGAATTGGAGTGAGTCCTGTTGCCGACATGATAGCTTGAAGAATATAATACTTGAACTGTTCCATACTGGTACTGATCTTCGCCTTCACGACGTCTGTCACTGAAACATTAAAACCAGTCCCCGTATTTTAGGTGAACATTCAAAACAAGTCTGTTTTTAAACATTTTGCAGGCTAATGTAAAGACTTGTGGACTACTCTCAATATATATACTAAACATAAACCGTCCAAAGAGGATATATCTTCAGCAAAATTCAAAAATTGTTTATCTCCTCTTATAGTATTATTCACTTGATTTTTTCGGGGTTCATGGAGTTTTAGAACGGTTTTGCATTTAAGCCAATTGAATATTGGGTTGAATAATAAACCGGTGATGGGGTGGGCGCGGTGCTAGGCGGCTTTGGAGATGTCTTGTGTTCCATTATTTCTCTCAAAAGAAACAATAAAACCATGCCAATGTACGGTGTCCTATTTCGTCCACTAAATTTTGCTAGTAACACGCGATGATTATCGCCTGTATAGGGCATAATTTAGAATTTAATTTCGCATGTATTAAATTTCGCTGATCTCTCAAGCGATAATTTACCCCCTTTTCTATAGACCATTGACACTCATGCTAGCGAAATTTAATATTTTCGCGTCGATAATTGTCGCCTAAGTTTTCGTATGTTGTGCGTTCGTCGTGCAATAATTATTGCATTGAAGAGTACTAATTATCGCATGAGAGACTAGTGAATAAAGGACACCGTACTTGTGACTTTTTTATTTAATATTTGAATACATTAGAGTGAACCCCCTTGCCCCCGTTTGAGTTACCTGTCAATGAGAACTGGAACTTTCGTCGTTGTCCAAACTGATAACAGCCACTGATGTCAAATTTGAGTAAATCTGGTTTAGTTTTCTTAAAGTTATAGAGATTATATTGATAATATTGCCCACTCTGAAATGAAAAAAAAAGAGCATTTACTTAAAGTTATAGAGATTATATTGATAATATTGCCACTCTGAAATGAAAAAAAAAGAGCATTTACTTAAAGTTATAGAGATTATATTGATAATATTGCCCACTCTGAAATGAAAAAAAAGAGCATTTACTTAAAGTTATAGAGATTATATTGATAATATTGCCCACTCTGAAATGAAAAAAAAGAGCATTTACTTAAAGTTATAGAGATTATATTGATAATATTGCCCACTCTGAAATGAAAAAAAAGAGCATTTACTTAAAGTTATAGAGATTATATTGATAATATTGCCACTCTGAAATGAAAAAAAAAAGAGCATTTACTTAAAGTTATAGAGATTATATTGATAATATTGCCCACTCTAAAATGAAAAAAAAAAGAGCATTTACTTAAAGTTATAGAGATTATATTGATAATATTGCCCACTCTGAAATGAAAAAAAAGAGCATTTACTTAAAGTTATAGAGATTATATTGATAATATTGCCACTCTGAAATGAAAAAAAAAGAGCATTTACTTAAAGTTATAGAGATTATATTGATAATATTGCCCACTCTAAAATGAAAAAAAAAAGAGCATTTACTTAAAGTTATAGAGATTATATTGATAATATTGCCCACTCTGAAATGAAAAAAAGAGCATTTACTTTAATCTTCATTGTTTCCATATTGAAATAAAAAAAAGTTTGTCAGTGATAATATTGTCAACATTTGAACAAAATATATTTCAAATATTTTCTGGACAATTTTAATTCTATACAATAATATTTATACAATGTGACAGTGTGCACCCTCAAACAAACGAGAGTAGAGAATGAAGCCATGGACTCGCGGCATGGCCGAGTGGTTAACGAATTGGACAAGTAATTTAAGGATTTCCGACCGCGTGGGTTCTAACCCTGTCAGGTACAAGCCCTTGTTTCATTTAGCAAGAAAATTTACACACATTGCTCAGTACTGGTTGGTTCCAGGAACGGTTTCGAGAGTGTTTCAATAAGCTTATAGCTTCAAGCACAATCAAACTAAAATAAATTTGTAAAAACTAAACAAAGGAGAACATATATTGTCTTTGAAGACACTGTGAGTTCTGAAATAAAGCATACACATATAAGTATAACAATTTATTTTTTGTTATAATGATATTTTGTATTTCGACTACTGAGCGATAATAAAGCATTGATACATAAGTCGTTCACGGGACATAGGATACGGTGTATAGCGAAAGTGCGTGACCTGTATATCATTCGTCTTTAGTTTTTAGTTTATACAAATTTATTTTAGTTCTATTGTGCACGAACCTTAAAGCTTATTGAAACACTCTCGAATCCGTTCCTGGAACCAACTAATACTAAGCAATGGGTGTATTTCTTGCTCATTCACCACAACAGCTTGTTTCTGACGGGCTCTGAACCCACGCGGCTAGCAATCCTTAGATTACTAGTCAGAAGCGTTAACCACTGGCCACGCCTCCACTCTTAATGTAAAACTATATTGGTTTTCTCACTACACATGCAGGGTATTTTTCTACCCGTCTGTCCCTGCAAAATGGGTTTTTTTTATCGCTAAGTATATGACGTTAATATTTTGTTGGCTGATTTGTATCATTCGGGTTTTCACCTCGCCAAAAGTCGAGAATTAACAAGTTACAATGAAGGGGGTGCGACCCAACTTATAGCGTGTTTCGCTCCGGGCTCCCGCCATTTTGACTTGTTAATTCTAGACTTTTCGCTTGGTGGGGTCGCGGGGCGAAAACATGAATGGCAGAAATCAGCCACCATAGTTTAATATCATTAAATTTAACAATTTTAAAGTATAAATGAGAAGAACTTACAAGTGGAAACGAGATCCTCATCTGTATAGGTATGTTTCCAGATTCTGGCCCAGCATTCACTTCCGTCCATTGTGTCTAAAACATCAGACAAGACAAGACAAGTTTATTATTCAAATCCCTAGGCTGAAAAGCTCATGAGTACAAGCCAAGCATAATATCATGACAGACAGTGATATGTAAGTGAATATACTGAACAGAGTATAAAGCATGTGTCAAGTGCGAAAATTATAACATGAAAGCTATTTCTCTTCTTTTAATAGGTAAAATTTTATTTATTAGTGTATTCAACATCTATAATTTCGCAACATCATTTTTTTCACGGTTATGGCATATTTCCTTGTGACCTATTATAAGAATTGGCCAAAAACTGACATATTATAGTCACACACCTAAATTTTACTAAGTTTTTGTGCAAAGTAGTAAAAATTTGTAGATTTTAACGTTAAGCAGTACAAGATTTTACTGATTTCGGCAAAACGCCAAAATAGTCCAATAAAATGTGTGCATATGTCTGAAACAATCATGTTCTTTTTAACGTTCTTGTTTGTTGAAAAAATTACTTTTAATTAAAAAAGTTAAGTTTTAGTATCTTCAATTGAGCAATATAACATATAGAAGTTTTAACTGCATAAAACATACATGAAAAAATGTAACACTATTTATCGCGATTAAATGATAACAAAACTGTTTTCAAAATGGCAGAAGTATGACCATTAAATCTGATTTTGATTGACCATGTTGTTGTTTTCTTGTGTCATACAGGAGAAAATATCTAAATATTACATCTTATGATATGTTTTGTATAGTAAGACTAAGTTCATTATTTGTTTCCCTCTTGTTTCAAAGCGTTAAGTACTGTGAAAAATAAGAGGAGCACAGTATATTAGGTTTAAACATTAATTTATCCCAGAACATACAATATACATGATATACATTTATATGTGTATTCATATATACGCTGTAGTTAAGGATAAGAATAAGAACTGATTTAAGAAATCGGCAAATGAAATTCCATTTGAATGAATGAATGAATGAATGAATGAATGAATGAATGAATGAATGAATGAATGAATGAAAGAATGAATGAATGAATGAATGAATGAATGAATGAATGAATGAATGAATGAATGAATGAATGAATGAATGAATGAATGAATGAATGAATGAATGAATGAATGAATGAATGAATGAATGAATGAATGAATGAATGAATGAATGAATGAATGAACGAACGAACGAACGAACGAACAAACAAACGAACAAATTAATGAATGAAGTATTGGCTGAAAATTGGTAATGGAAATAACAACAAGAAAGGAGTAGGGGAAAATGCTAAGAACGTAGGTGCTTTGCTCAACTGAGCGACTAACCACAGTTTGAAGGCTAAGATAATCTAAAATGAACATAAAATTATTTTAATATAATATAGCTTATTTTTTATCATTCGTTCTCAATGATATTTCACCGTATCTTGATTTAGCCAATTTACTAGATAGAGACGATGTTTCGAGCATTTTGAACTAAGTGATTTGCCTTAGACATTCCAGGACGCAAACCCATGCAGTCAGACCAGGCTCGATACCGTTGGCGGCTCATTTTTTTTATTTAAATCATGGAGCTAAATATACGATACATAGAGACTAGCGGGATAGCCCGATTATCACCGAAGCGCGAAAGGGATTGTGGGTCTGAATCGGACTCTCGTCTATTTTCGAAGTTTCCTATCCGTTGTTTATATATCTGTGTTCAAATTGACTGTTTAAAACTCAAAGCAGGACAAAAACGCACTACACCTTTACCATGTATACAGCTAACCCTCAGTTATACTATAGCTAACCCTCAGTTATACTAGCTAACCCTCAGTTATAACAACTAACAGGCAGTTACTCACCGTTGCGAAGTACCATTCCCACGTGGAGTTGGTCGGGTATGTAAATGGATAATCTGTTCTCTGTGCAACCCATGTGTCACAATCTACTCCGCGGTTGTTTTTCTAAACATACAACAGAATGATATAAAATAAAAATGTGACACAATAGCACGAAAGATTTTAATTAATTATATGATGTATTGCATTATTCATTGCATATTTATTGATTCAAACTTGTTTTAAAGCAGTATGCCGTCTAGATTAATGCTTATTTTCGTGACAATTTTTAAAAATGTATTTGAAAGATAAAATATTTTGAAGTGAACAAAGAAAATAATTTACACATTGCAAACAGCACTTACAATCCTCTTTAATTACCAAAATGAGGTCAAAATAAGCAAAATAGCCCTTAATTTATTAGTGACGCAGCAGAAGTATGGTGATAAATACTGCAAAATCGATCCTTAATCACAAATAACATGTAAAATATTACACGAATCTTAAGTCTTTATTACTTTTTCATAGAATCCTAGTACATTTATTTTCAAGTTTAATTTTCATGAAATTTCTAAGTTCATATGGAGGTATGCGGCTTTAAGTCGATGGTCGATAATAAAGACAGCTTGCCCCAGCACCTTATTGGACATAGATGTACTCTCCAGCCCATTTCTTGTAAACAATCATCACTTGATGCTGGCTGGCGAAGTGAGAGCTCCAGCAGGTCGACAGGCATATTGATTTGTATTTCATCCAGACGAATACTAAACCTACTTATTGCATTTTTTTATGTTTTCCGTGCCTTAAACCTATTTTATTGTTTTACTACACAGCTAGATTAAGATATATAGGAAAATTGTAATTGTTATGAGTTATCTAATACCTATCATTTATGTTTATCTTTTCGGAATGAGGCGGGACCCGACTATGTCGAGAAGGCCTATTCATGTTACCATTACGTTATCTCCTTTTACGAACTTAACTGGGCTTGGCCTCGATTACGTAATGGCTGTATAGATAAGGTAATGTTGAAAGGTTAATTGTAATGCACAAAGTCATTGACTGAAATATTTGCTTTGTTTTTGCCAATATTATACGAATATGCATTTACTCAATCAAAGAGAAGCAACTGGTCATATTACTTCGTTAGTTAAGGAAGGGAGACAACCTCAACAAAAAAACACTTAAGATAGCATGAGGTAACACAAGTTATGATTTAAGTAAATAAGTAGGATGGCCGCATAAAGTAAGGTTAGTTCCAGATCAGCAATAATGTTCAGTTGATATTTCAAACATAGATAAATAATATTTGAGTTTCACAATGCAAACGGAATCATGTTGTTAAATATTTTGTTAAATAAATGAGCCGTGTCATGACAAAACCAACATAATGGATTCGCAACCAGCATATCTTCAGACCAGCCTTCGCATCCGTGCAGTCTGATCAGGATCCATGCTGTTCGTTATCAGTTTCTCTACTTGTAATAGGGTTGGTAAGCGAACAGCATGGATCCTGATCATACTGCGCAGATGCGCAGGCTGGTCTGGATCCATGCTGGTCGCAAACCCATTATGTTCGTTTTGTCGTCGTGACGCGGCTTAAATAAATGCACTTACCACTCCTTCGTATGAGGCACTTTTCACGTCGAAATAGAAAAACTCTCTAGAATTACGTATCCTAACTGTGTTTGGACCGCTAGACCGGTCGTCAAAGTCTGAACCTTCGATAGGGCGGTAACTACAGTTACCACGTGCCCGGTCTGTGACGTAAGCAACTCCTATGCAAAAAAAATAATGATTTCTTCTTTAGACATAGATACTTTTAGTATTTAAATACATGATGTTTAAACTTACATAACAGGGTAAAAACTTACTTTAAATCCTTGTAATTACAAAAAAGAGTAAATATGTATGTAGCTCTTTAAGTTCACCTATGAAGGCCGCTGAACTTAAATCAAACCATAAAGTGACATTTAAAGCGGCCTTCAGCTTTAATTTTTGTTGGAGAAAAATAAACTCTATGTTGTTTCAAACTTAGTATTTTAGTTATTTTATTTTGGAAAGGTGCATCATCAGCAGCGTTTCAAGAGCTTTTTAGCGCGTCTGTGACGTTGATTCTAAAAATAGAAAATCGGGAAACAAATCGTCTGCATATAGAGAACGGATCATAGAGGTATCGAGGAGGTTCCTTATTGTTTATGTATTCTATCGGTGGCAAGTTTAATTTTCCACTTTAATTCCTTTGATTTGACAATTATATGAAGCCATTTATCTAAAAATAACATATAAATTTAACCTTTAGAAAAGCTTAAAGCAGCTTTAAAACTGTGTTGCAGCCTTTGGGAATTAATTAAGGCATAATTGGGAGATTGTTCTTCGTTCCACTGCATAACAAGAAAAGCATTGATGCAAAGCATCAAAGGGCGTCCAAGCAAGAAATGCAGCAGGTGAAGATGAACTAGTAGACATATGTTGACAAAATATTCTTATAATCTTTTAATGGTTAATTGGTTTTTACCAGAATTGTATATCACTTATGAATGAACGGACGAAAGACATTGCTCAATATGGCATGCTAGAGATTAGAATATTACTTGTTATTTCTTTATGATTGTGATTATTAATAGCAACGGATATACATGTATACAATCATTAAAAGTCCATATGTGTAACGCATGATCAACACCACACTTGTGTAATTGTCCCTTATTATGTTGCTATTAGCGAAGATCCCCTCTTAAGGTATCTGTTCACACTTAGTAAAAATATGACACTGGTTATATTACAATGTTGATCATGTTGAGCATAATTGTTTATTATACAATAATTGTAATATCTATTTTAATAAAAAATACAGATTTTATGAATATTGTTTTCTTTTCTTTGTTTTTTTTTGTGTTTAATGTGCTATTTTAATACTGAGTTTTTACGTTTACTACTCTTTTCTTTATTAAAATTGTAAAATAAATTTTAAGAATTCAATTGTCATATTGACCAGCGATTATGAGTCACAACTTAACTGGAAAAAGTCAGTAAATTATGGTTAACCTTTCGATATATTATATTGATTATTTTTTTACCATGTACATGTATATTTGTATTTTTCTTTATCAGTTTTTTAAATTATCAATCAATTGAATAATTCATAAAATCTAATTTGTAACTTTGAATAATTCCTCGGCATCTTTACTAAACACGAATAACATATTAAATGAAATGTTTCAAAGTTGATAGTGTCATATTAATACCATAAAAATGTACCTTTTTTCAATTATTGTACATATTTATTGTTTTTATCTCATGTAGATAAAATGAAACATGCTATATTTTTTTTTTTTTTTTTTTTTGGTTTTTTTTTTCGAATTGTATGTTTATGTATAACAATAAACAATAAATTAGAGAGTTGATCTGTGTTTATCAATAATTGTAACCAAACTAAGTGACAAACATTCATTTTTGAAAAAAGCTTACTTATCTGTAAAATATTTGTTCTGTTCTGTAACGATATCAAACATCAACTCCATAACCCGGAGAGACCGGATACTATTCGCCGGTCACTAGTTAATCCCGGTCAAAATAGACCGGGAGAGACCGGGAATTACCGATAGGAGTACATCCCTCTATAAATAGATTTCCAGACTTTCATAATGTTTAGGCAATCAACTAATCATTCTATTTACAACTTTCAGATACATGTACATCAATAACATACCATAATAACCCACTGTGTACTATAAAATGATGAATAAAAAACCCCGAAGAGCGCGATTTATTGACGGAAAAGGTTTATTTCATTTGAAAATGTTTGCACAGTTCGCTATTCATCGTACATATCGCAACATTTCATTTTTAACTAATAATCAAGCACCCACATACCGATCGGAATGATCGGCTTTTATTATGACCGACTAAAAGGCTCGAGAAGTTGCTGCCGCCCTTTCACAAAATCTGATTTCATTCAATAAAGGGCGCCGCGCTTCGGCGCGGACGCCAATAACTACAATTTGATAGAAATTTGATAGCTACCTGTATGAAAGTCGTGTATTTCTATGAGATCGTTTAGACCGTATGGTGAGCTATCACCTGTCTGGGGAATATATTCATACATTACAAGCTTCTGTGAGTAGAAAAATGTCTCCTGAAAATTGTATTTAAACGAAAAGATGTGAAAAAGAATGGCAATTTTTAATGAAAATGTATTCAAATTACAGAACTAGGCTGTCAAATGTAATATCTTGCAAATGGTGAAAATATAACCGAACTGATATGATATAACCGAACTGATACTATGATATTACAGAACTGTTACTATGATATTTAACCGAACTGATACTATGATATTACCGAACTGATACGATGATATTACCGAACTGATACTATGATATTACCGAACCGATATAACTGGTACTATAATATTACCGAACTGACAGTATGATATTTCCGAACTGATACTATGATATTTAACCGATACTACAATATTGCCAAACTGATACTATGATATTACGAACTATGCACACACATCTGTTCCAAACTTTATTTATGTGCAATTTCGAAATATGAAAAACAGACACATTTAGATATTATCTTACTCTCTTGTTAATGTATGCATATTAAAATGTTTTATCCTTATCCTGTAGTATATGCAACTTATATTGTGATAACTGAGGTACATACTAGGTATGCACATATTAGAGGTGTTCTGCCTTCAACGTGTATATAGAAAACGCAATAGCGGTGTCTTACCTTCATAAAAGAAAGCCTAAGATTTACAGTGTCGAGTATTTCCGTTGTGAAGGAGAAAGCGTCGCTAGGGACAACAGGAAATTGACGCACCATCTTCCGCCCTGGACACTGCACGCCGGCTGGTGTCTAAAATTACAATTATTTAATTGATATTTAATCTAAATGTTTCTAAATTTACCCATGCTTTTAAACTTTCGTACACTCGTATATTTGTTCATACATGTTGCTCAAGAATGAGACATGTTATATTGCATTACTACAAGTATAAGATATGTTATATTTCGTCACTTCACGAATCAAATATGTTTTATATCAAACCTAAAAGAATGAGATATGTTTTATACCATCACTACAAGAATGAGATATGTTTTATACCATCACTACAAGAATGAGATATGTTTTCTACTATCAAACAAGAGTAATATCAAATTAAGATAGAGCCACTTATTTAATGTAGATCGACAAACTTACCTCAAAAACACTGTTCTCATCTGAGCTTAAATATGGCCGGAAATCAAAGAAGTTATAATAGTGCTCGAATAAATGTTTGCCTTCCGGATGACTCTTGGTTACTTTGTAAGATATTCCTTTCACGTGCGCCATGACTGGTACCCGCACCCCAACAGCGGAGTTCCATGAGTTTTGTGCTGGTAATAAGATGAGAATTGATTAACTTAAAGATATTTGAGCCGCGTCACGACAAAATCAACATTGCGACCAGCATGGATACAGACCAGCCTGCGCATCCTCGCAGTCTGATCAGGATCTACTTGTTATAGGGTTTGTAAGCGAACAGCATGGAAACTGATCAGACTGCGCGGATACGCAGGCTGGTCTGGATCCATGCTGGTCGCAAACCCATTGTGTTTTTTTTTTCGTGACGCGGCTCATTTACCTTTGTTTCTTGGATATTTTAACACAATTTTGTACTAAAGTTTTCAAGTAGCAGACGGATATTTTGTAATTAAGCAATTCATACGCTAAAGTAAAAAAAAAAACTTGCCTTGTAGTAATGACTTAAAAACGTAATTTCCTATCACGTTAACATACATACAAATTTACAAAAACACACATATATTATGTAGATGTCATTTATCTATTATGAACAAATGACGTAAAAAGTTCACTTATTGTTATCAATAAAAACATATATTTAAAACAAGACTTTAAACCAGGAAACGTCTAGAATAAACAAGGGTGCCATAGTCACAAAATACGCCCGTTTACGAAAAAGCTTTATATGGAGATGGGGGCATTATGGATAAGTGTTATCTAGCAAGCAAGTTTTTATTCTTGGCACTGTGTTGTTAAATGAACCTTAAAACAAATCAATAGGGAAGATATGCACAGAATGTGTGACCTTGACCTTGGTCGCAGGGACCTGAATTTTATGCACGGCACTCAGCCTCACAATGATGAACATTCGTGCCAAATTATATTGAAATCCCTCTATGCATGTAGAAGTTTTGCTCCAGACAAGTGTTTTTCTATGAGCTCTAACTGTGACCTTCACCTTTGACCTAGAGACTTGGTTTATGTGCAGGGCACTACGTCTCATGGTGGTGAACAATTCTATAAAAGTAACATTAAAATTCCTCCATGCATGTAGAAAATATGCTCCGGACAACATCTGGATATTTAATCATCTCCAGTGACCTTGACCTTGCAAATATTAACCTAAATTAAATGTGTAACACCTGTAGTCATGATAGTTACCATTTGTGCTACAATCCATCAATAAATGATGACTAAATGGTCCCTATAACCATCTTTAAATTTTTATCTGAACTTTGACCTCTATGTGTAACCTTGACTTTGGTCGCAGGGATCTGAATTTTGCATGCGACACTCAGCCTCACAATGGTGAACATTTGTGCCAAGTTATATTGAAAACCCCCTATGAATGTAGAAGTTTTGCTCCAGACAAGCGTTTTTCAATGAGCTCTAAGTGTGACCTTGACCTTTGACCTGGAGACCTGGATCATGCATGGAGCAATACATATCATGGTGGTGAACATTTCCATAAAGTATTATAAAAATTCTTCCATACATGTAGGAGATATGCTCCAGACAAAATCTGGATATTTCACCATCTTAAGTGACCTTGACCTTGCATATATTGACCTAAAGTACATGTGTCACAGCCGTAGTCATTATAATGACCATTTGTGTTACAATCCCTCAATAAATGATGATTAAATCGTCCCTATACACATCTTCATATTTTTATCTTTTTTTAAACGGGCGTATAAAAAGTACATGTAATTTAATAACTAAAAAATTCTGATTTAAGATTTTATTCTAGGGAAATACATTTCATTACAATTCTTAATCTTTGCATGAGCTTAACTGATATTTACTTGAAAATTAAAATATAATTAAATTTCTATGAGAAAGTATTTACATTTGATAAGGTAATTACTGTATGATCTTTATGAACAAATACCAAGTCTACAGAACACCATAGTTATCACAGTTAAGAATCTTGACCAATGAATGAAACATGTGTAAATAAATGTTACATTCTTTAGAACATACTCAAGTCCAAGAAAGAGGATTATTTCATGCCCTTTGATTAAATTCTATTTTTAGAATTGAAAGTGAAAATAGATCAAGGGGAGTAATTGTGTAAGTCATTTATGAACAAAGTAATAACTTTGTTGTCTCCCTTTGATTAAATTCTATTTACAAAAATCTGGATATTTTCATCATCTTTAGTGACCTTGACCTTGTATATATTGACCTAAATTATATGTATCACAGCCATAGTCTTGATAATGACCATTTGTGTTACAATCCCTCAAAAAATGATGACTAAATGGTCCATATACACATCTTCATATTTTTATCTGAACTTTGACCTCTATGTGGGACCTTGACCTTGGCCGCAAGGACCTGAATCTTGCACGCGACACTCCGCCTCACAATGGTGAACATTTGTGCCAAGTAATATTGAAATCCCTCTATACATGTGGAAGTTTTGCTCCGGACAAGCATTTTTCAATGAGCTCTAAGTGTGACCTTGACCTTTGACCTAGAGACCTGGTTCATGTGCGAGACACTGCTCCTCATAGTGGTGAACATTTATATGAAGTTTCATTAAAATCCCTCCATACATGTAGGAGATATGCTCCGGACAAAATTGACGACACCCGCCCGCCCGCCCGCCAGGGGCGTTCCCATAATACGTCCCGTTTTTCAAACGGGCGTATAAAAAGAAATAATATAGTTAAAGTACCCAGGGGACAACCTGACAATATCGTACATATCTACGGTTATATGGACAACCTTACAGTATCCTACATATCTACGGTTATATGGATAACATTACAGTATCCTACATATCTACGGTTATATGGACAACCTTACAGTATCGTACATATCTGCGATTATACAGACAACCATTACAGTATCGTACATATCTACGGTTATATGGACAACCTTACAGTATCGTACATATCTACTGTTATATGGACAACCTTACAGAATCGTAAATATAACCTGAGCCGCTAGACAACAAGCATCACTTTTTAGAGACAAAAGCTAGATTTCTTCATGAATCGACAACAGCCGTGTATATAAAACTATATAAACGTCACGATTATCCAATGAAAAGCGACGTTACAAACATGCAGTATAATAATATCGTACATATCTACGGTTATATGGACAACCTTACAGTATCGTACATATCTACGGTTATATGGACAACCTTACAATATCGTACATATCTACGGTTATATGGACAACCTTACAGTATCGTACATATCTACGGTTATATGGACAACCTTACAGTATCGTACATATCTACGGTTATGTGGACAACCTTACAGTATCCCACATATCCACGGTTATATGGACATCATTACAGTATTCTACATATCTCCCGTTATATGGACAATCTAAGAATCTTAAATAGTATCCTACATATCTAAGTTTTGAGGACAAACTTACCAGTAAAGTAAATATACCGTTATATGGGACAAACCTACAAGTAAAGTATATATACCGTTATATGGGACAAACCTACCATTAAAGTGCATGGCTGCGGTCATAAGAGAGAAGAAAACGCTTTACTCTAAAGTAACGTTATAATATAATACATAAATGAAAGTCAGGAATTATAAGAAGAAAAACTTACCAGTAAAATACCAGTCTACTATCATAGTTGCATCAAAATGATCCCAGTATTGGCATGACCTCCACCAGTCAACCTGAATGTCTCGAACAACTGTACGTCCCATGTATACCTTAACAAATACATATATAAAACCAAACAATAAGCATGCATATCGTATATGTTTAGTAAATGATATTACTGTATTAACGAATAATTACCGCATTGAATCAATACTAACATCATGCGCATGCGTATACCTTACTTCTTTAAGAACAACTTAACTTATTAACTCTATATCTTACATTATATGGGCAAGGATAGAGCATGACTTTATGTATGAATATCTTACATCATAGACAAGTTTAAGAATTTTCTGCATTGTATAACGTATAAATTTGTTACCTCATTTATTCCTTGTCCCCCGAAATGTAGAGCTCCCGCCGCACTAAAGATATGTCCTTCACCACCAGGTGCGTTTTTATTATAACCAAATAAAAATCTTTGTTCGGAATTCTGCATGCTTTGTACAAAACATCGACCAGGCATTGAATCTATGCACGTGAGAATCGAGAGATATTATTTTATACTAAACTATTAAAATTTCAAAAATATCGTCGTCATGTCAGTAGTAACTCAATATGTCTGTAGACCCATGTTATGTCAGTAGCCACACGTCATGCCAGTAGTCACCCGTTATGTCTGTAGTCACACGTTATGCCTGTAGCCATATGTTATGTCAGTAACCACACGTCATGTCAGTAGTCACACGTTATGTCAGTAGTCACACATCATGTCAGTATACATACGTCATGTCAGAAGCCACACGTGATGTCAGTAGCCACCCGTTGTGCTGTAGTCACACGTTATGTCAGTAAACACCCGTTATGTCAGAAGTCGTACGTCATGTCAGTAGTCACCCGTTATGTCAGTAGTCACACATCATGTCAATAGACATACGTCATGTCAGAAGCCACACGTAATGTCAGTAGCCACACGTTATGTCAGTAGTCACACGTTATGTCTGTAACCACACGTTATGTCAGTAGCCAGGCGTTATGTCTGTAGCCACACGTTATGTCTGTAGTCACACGTTATGTCAGTACTAGTCACACGTTATGTCTGTAGCCACACGTTTTGTCAGTAGCCAGACGTTATGTCAGTAGCCACACGTTATGTCAGTTGTCACACGTTATGTCAGTACTAGTCACACGTTATGTCTGTAGCCACACGTTTTGTCAGTAGTCACACGTTATGTCAGTAGCCCAACGGTATATCATTAGCCACACGTCATGTCAGTAGCAACGAATCAGTAGTCACATATTATCATTGAGATTTCGCACGTCATGTATCATTAGTCACACGTAAAATGTTACGTCATGTCAGTAGACACCCTTCACTTGTCACGTCATGTCAGCAAACAAACATATAGTCATAGTTACACTTGTTTGATTACGTTTAAAATGAACTGAAAATTCCATTCCGAAATAGAACACACTATTTCCTACAAAAATCATTCACTTAAACGAAGAGGAAATTTGAAATAATATATAAATATAATAAATAGATAAATAAATAAATAAATAAATAAATAAATAAATTAATTAATTAATTAATTAATTAATTAATTAATTAATTAATTAATTAATTTATTTATTTATTTATTTATTTATCTATCTATCTATCTACATGTATTTATTTATTATTTATCAATAAAGAGAAAGTGACCCACCAGGTGCGTCAGGATAAAATCCTATAAATTCGTTGGTTCCATAATTAAACCAAGCATTCAGCCGAAAACTTTCGTCCGTCTGACTCAAATACCCACGATTGTTGACGTCATCAAAATACTCGTGGACGAGCTCCGTTTTATTCATATTTTTGAACACTATCTCAACCCTGGTATGGAATTGGTTAGTTATGTTTGGTCGTTTAACTACCGGCGCTGAAACAATATATTTTCATAATATAAATATTATTACGCGATGTATAACGCCTTCATATTCACACGGGGCTAATTGCAACTATCAAAGTCCATGCGCGCAAGAATACAGTTCGGTGCCATTTTAAAAAATATTAAAAAAAAATTTTCGTAAAAGAAAATGATAAAAATTAAAACAAATTTTGGGCATTTATTGGGAAGAAAATCCGTTAACATTTTTAATTTTTTTTTCCCACTAAAAGGTTTTTGGTTCTTTAAATTAAAACCAAAATCTGCCTTTTTCCCTCAGGGATTTGAAACGGGCGTCAGATAAAACCAAAATTTTGGGGGCGGTTGGGGACCAACATTTTATTTTCCCGACCAGCCTGCCATTCCCCGGCAGTCCCGAATTTAGGGGTCTCATTTCTGTTCGCTTACCAACTCTTTTTACAAGTAGAGAAACTGATAGCGAACAGCAGGATCCCGATTAGACTTTCGCGGTTGGGGCAAGGGGTGGTCTGGATCCAGCTGGTTCGGAAAACGCATTAAGTTGGGTTTTTTGGTTGTTGGGCTTAAATTTTTACTTTTTAAACGGAAAACTGAATTTTATAATGTTTAAATTATGTTTTCAGAGAAATCTTAGATGTTTTCTAACCTGAAAAAAGTAGCGATACATGTAAAATAAATTGACATAAAATTAGAAAAATGTAAACACAGTAGTCTTTTGACTTCCATACCAAAATACTAATTCACTATAACTGCACTTATTGCCTACAGGCAACAGATAAAAAAGATGATTTAGGTAATTGGCCAATGAGATACTTTTTGGATACTTTTATGAGGACAACCAAAATTAAAAAGCTTTTGAGAAATGTAAATAAAAGCATTTTTGAGGCATAATGGGCCTTTTATTTTAATCTATAATTTGATTTTAACTCAGAAATCAATACCACTTTTCTGCTTGAGAAGTAAAAACGTCTGTTTACTTATGTTTAAACAATGGATTTAAATAAAACATTTTAGATGCTATAGTATACTTGATATCATCGGAAGTATGTAATGCTGAATATGTAAACAATGAGTTCATTTATAAAAAAAAATTATTTTTTGGCTAACTATGCCTTAAACTAAAAGACCTCTCTAAACATGCAAGGATTTATTTACAAAATCTTCTGATATTTTCATGTAAATAATAAAATAAATTCTTGAATAAAGAATTGCGCACGAAGTTGATAATATGTGTTTTCCAGCACCTTCTGACAAAAAAGGGCAAATTTTAAGTACTTTTAAGAAATTTTAGGGAATTTATTGGAAATAAACATCAAGACAACCTAAATAAATGAATTCACCGATGAACCGCCTTTTAACTGCCCTCTCTGAATAAGCTAAAACCTACATTTTAAGGGCATATTTTTTAATGAAATTTTATTTTTAAATTTTTATAGGGGATTTTATTTTTAAAAAAAGATAAAAAGGAAATTAACAGAAACCAAAAAAGGGTATTTTTTTGGAAGGGGAAAGGAAATTTTTTGTAACCCCGCGCCGGGTTTTTACGGTTTTTAAAAAAAAATTTTAATTTGTAAATTTTCGTTATGAAAGTTTTTAACATATTTTAAAAAACCCACATCAAAAACCCCCTTAAAATTTTAATTTTCATTTTTTTTTTTATCTTTCGTCCCAAAAGAATTTTTTTTTCAATTTTTTGAAATTTTTTTTAATTCAGTAAACAAACTTTTACCCGGTTTTTACCCAAATATAGAAACTATTCATGTATATACAGTTATCTTATCACCAAATATTATCCCCAGTGATAACGCTATATTGTATCCGTCTAAATCATACATTTTCATCCACATTATATGTGTAAAACGAAAAGTTATCTATAAACGCGGAACGGGAATTCTTTTTTTTTTTCTATTCGTTTTTTTAAAACGTTTACTCACTTTTCCGTTTAACCCGTTTTTTGGAGTATAATTGATTTAATTATATACTTTAAGTTATCGAGTGGACAGACTACGTCACTCTAATATAGTTATGCTAAAATTACCATTAATTAGAAACAGTCACTTTACTTTTCTTTATCCAATTAAGATGGGACAACTCAAATTATCATCTTTAATTTATTCAAAATGAAATTGAATACATTATGAGAAGAACATCATTTCCCTATTTTGACTATACATATTTCTAACAATACTGATACTTTGATGTCACCTCATTGACTAGATGAACATAAAAATTGAATACAACACAAAAATGACAATGGTAACACCATTAGCATAATGCTTGTTTTAACTTGTAGACGATAGCCGATGACAGTGGAATCCATTATTATAAAAAATAATGTTAACTAACTCACAGATGACAGCATTATCCCTTATGACTAATTTATAATTTACTGACAAACACTTGACAGCATTATCCATTATGACTAGTATTTGATTAACTGACAAACAGTTGACAGCGGAATCCATTATTATAAAATAGTTTATTTAGTGACAGATGACAGCAAAATATATTCTGGTCAAATTTACTTTCTGACAAATGACAGCGGAATCCATTATGATAGAAGTTACTTACTGACAGATGACAATTGAATCTATTATGATAAAATTAACTTACTGACACATCACAACAAAAATGTATTTATGATGTAATTAACTTACTGACAGATGACAGCGGGAGTTCATTATTATAGAATTTACTTACTGACAGATGACAGCGGAAATCCTTCATTGTTATAGAATTTACTTACTGACAGATGACGGTGGTAATCTATTATTATAGAATTTACTTACTGACAGATGACAGCGGTTATCCATTATTATAGAATTTACTTACTGACAGATGACGGTGGAAATCCTTCATTATTATAGAATTTACTTACTGACAGATGACAGTGGAAATCCTTCATTATTATAGAATTTACTTACTGACAGATGACAGCGGGAATCCATTATTATTATAGAATTTACTTACTGACAGATGACAGCGGGAATCCTTCATTATTATAGAATTTACTTACTGACAGATGACAGCGGGAATCCATTATTATAGAATTTATTTACTGACAGCGGAAATATATTAACTTACTGACAGATGACGGCGGTATAGTTGAACAGATACTGGAATCTTTGCCATGTGGCGTCTGAGAAACAGCTAACGTTATTAAAGTTGCCAGGGCAACTAGCTGTCTATAATACATCATGTTTGTCCCTATTATCTGTAAACATAAAATAACACAAATATATTGTTATGTTCTGTACTATGAGCTTTGCTATTCCTAAAGTAATATATCAGTGGCTTTCCTTATTATGCCCCGGTTACATATTCACGGATAATGCCACGGAAGAGCTACGGTCTAATCGCTCACGGATCACTACGGAAATGTGAAATTTCGTGGTCCGCTACGGTTCCAGTACGGACACACAACGGTATGAGTACGGAGTCCGACGGATTTTACCACCAAAAGCCCCCGGAGAGACACGGATTGTGACGGACCGACACGGTTTGATACGGAGCGACACGAATCAGGACGGACGCAACTACGGATACACTACGGTCTGCTACGGTATAAGCACGGGTTAGTACGAATAAGTACGGTCTGATACGGAGAAGAACGTATTGATACGGAGAAGAACGAATTGCCACGGATCTATACGGACCTAATACATCCGTCCACAACCTCTTGCTTGCTCATTTTCAAAATGCCTCAAAAGAAAAGAACACATAGAAAACGAATTGCAGAGTTCAATGATTTTGGCGGGGAGGATTCAGCCTAATCGCGTCCGACCCCCGAGACACATCAGGTCCAATTAAAGTGAATTTTTTAAAGGACGCTGGATCCTCAACAAGTTCGGCCATGAGAGCCTCATACTAAACATAAAGCGGTCTTCGTAAAAGCCCATCTCTAGTCCACCGTCTGTCTTCTCTTACCTGATTAGATATGGACTAGTAATCATTAATGAAAAATGTTGATCAATACTGCTACTCTTTTAATTTTAAGATTTGCTGTTCATCTTACAATTACATTAATTATCGGGATGTTTATGTTTTAAAAATATGTAAAAAGCGTGTAATCTTAATATCACTGAAGGGCCAGCGTCCGAGGCTTATGAGACACTTCGTTTCACTTCAGTGTTGTTATATTTTCTGGTCCTTCGGGATCATTGATGCCAGCACTATAAAGTGTTGAGAATTGAGTACCGCTCAGGGGGCGTGAGGGATGTTGCACTAATTCATTATCCCTCATGAACAGACTCAATCAAACCGAGTCTGCAATTCTTATGTTATTTTGTTGTGATAAATGCTTCCGAGGGATCACTTTGTTTCCAGAAAAATATTATGTACATATTTACTCCAATTTCACGATCCAATGTTTGTAAAATATGTAGCATTAAATGTTATTCTATTACTTATGAATTGTAGTACGATATTAATATAAATTTACTTCTATGCATTTCATCAAGCAGCTCGACCACTGCCTACGCATTCTGAGCCATTTCAATATAAAGTTGCAGTCAGTAAATGGCAATTATCATTTATTAAATGTTCCCGCAAATATGTCTGTTATGAACAAGAAGGTAGTATTTATACCCTTGAAAAAGTACATGATACTTAATTTATCCGCTCTAAACAGTGGTGGGCTGTACCATTCCGTGTTGCAACGCAATAACCGTATAAGACCGTGCTAATCCTTGCCTCTGCGTAGTACAACGTATTACGATCGTGGCTTTCCGTGACAATGCCGTATTAATCCGTATTAAAACCGTAGCTTATACGTAGGGTAACCGTACAAATACGTAGTTCCCCGTACCAAACCGTGGAAATCCTTGACAAGTTGGTGGACTACGAATCAGTACGGACTAATACGGTTTTCGTACGGACCATTACGTATCAGTACGGATTAATACGGACTAGTAGGGATACGCTACGGTTGATTTTTCCGTAGCAAATTTTTGTGCATGTTCAAAAATTGTCAAGGATCGCTACGGATATACAAGAACTACTACGATTGATTACGGTTACAATACGGAGAGCTACTGACCAGTACGGGTAGCTACGGACGATGCCGGAATTAATCCGTGGCTCTTCCGTGGGCGTTTTCCGTGAATATGTGACCGGGGTATAAAACATTGTACAGTTATAACCATTTCACGATGAAGACTTAAAACACACTTAAAGGTAAATTACATGTAATCAATATTTCCTTACATAAACCCAGGGTCTGAGTTTATGGGCTGTTTCAACAAGAACGCAATCTTACTTTGGCTATATTCGTTTTCTTTACCGCGCCTCAAAAATATTCAAAAGCGTGTGACGGAAATTGAAGAATTTCTTTTATCATTTTGCTGAACACGAGAACGCATCTGTAATTTAACTAAATTGTTGATATATAAAAGATTGATTCTACGTATCATTGATATCGTGGTGGTGGTGGTGTTAGTTTTCACTCCCTATCACGGCTGTAAGCCATATTGATTTAACCAGAGCACAGAACTTTATGCCACCGCATTGTTCCTGGGCAGACTGTTAAGAAGTTAACCAGTACTAGCTGCCTTCACTTCCGCAAGGAACTGAAACTTCTGTACCCGGGCCGCCCGATTAACAGTCCAACGCTACATATTGAGCTAACCGGACCGCTTTGTTGATCTCGATCGTTCCTGGATATTATTATTTAAAACTTTGTGTATAATTTGATGCATTCATCAATGGTTGATACAGTCCAATTAAAATAGGGGAACGAGCAAATAGGCCGGCTTTTCAGAACTCCGTCTTTCTCCGCCCATCCACCAATGCCCCGGATACCGATATTTTAGCCTAATTTTAACATAATCTCCTCATTATATTCATTGAAACATGCATGCCATGTTATTATAATCACAAATAAAGTGACAATAATAAATATTACTGGTATTCAGTCGGTTTGTATGCTCTTTCTCTACTAACGTAAGTAATATTATTTTTCGGATGACGTGAGCGGTTCGATTGACTTCTGCTGTGGAAACAATCTCGTTCTTTTATCGGACTGCTAGAATGTATTGCTGAATAAACATTCAATAAATATAACTCCATATATTTAAGCTGAAAGAAAATAATTTCCAAAACATTTCATTTGACAAACTGCTGATAAATCTCGATCTTGTTTCTCCGTAGAAACACGGTCAGTTCTTGTCATTTTTAACCGACAAAAAATAATACACACCACTAGAATTATTTTGGTCAGCAAGTCATACCCACAAAACATACGGACTTCAAGCCAGTAAATATCTGTTTGCCGACGTATCAATCACGTTTAATACCAGGAAGCCCTCAGTGGTGTATAACAAATGTAAAATTAACATTACTGGTGTCATAATATTAAATATGTAACAAGAAAAGGGCAAATTTTCATTATAATTATAATTTAAATTATTCAAAATTTTAAGTATAAAAATCTTACCTTCTGGAAGGTGAGTGTACTGTTATACCCACATATACCACCTTCTGTTATCCGGATTTATCATAATTGTGATAAAGTCACGATAGGGAGGTCAATTTTAATCTTTGTACATGTCGGGTACCTATCATGGTTACATGTAACATGTTATCGTAACTTATCGGCCATTTCCGTCAAATTCCGGATTAGGACCACGAATACACTGAAACGGATACGGTAGTTTGGTCTAAACCTACGATGAAAAAAAGAGAAATAAACATGTAAAAACGCTGGGATATCTTAAGTAAGATTATATTTATTCGAAAAGGTACAAGTCCACATCACTTAGGTTAAGTATATCTGTAGATATAAAAGTAAAAAGAACATTATCTACAATTTCAAAACCAGCTTATTTATATCATTCAGTGATCATGGTAACAATTTTATGGGTTAATCTAAACATACTGTATATACCATACAAGAAGTATGATAGTATAATAGAAAATCACATAGTAGATTACCGTAAACGTAAATGCCCATCCTTCTACGAAGATAAATTGAAATTATTTATCAAATACATATCTATGGTGGCTGATTTGATAGTGACAACGCAACCTATATCGTTACGGCCTCTTCGTCTTGCCGCTAGCGACAACACGACAAAGCGCCAAACGGCGCGTTGTCGTGCTATCGTCTTTTCGTCCGGTCTCAAGCGAAGCACGCCAAATGGCGGGTTGTCGTCCTGCGCGTTGTCGCGCTGTCACCCTGTCGTTTGGCTTTTTGGCCAATACTTCAATTTGAACCGAGCGAGAATGTGACATCGCGACAACACGCAGCACGACATCGTTAGCGACAGGACGTCTTTAGCGACAGGACGACCAGTCGAAAGTCCGACAATGCGCCGTTTGGCGCTTTGTCCAGTTGTCTCTAGCGCCAACACGACGCACAAAAGCGTTCCAAATCAGCCACCATACATATCAGTATACACTTTCACTTTAATGAATTTTCTATAAAGCCTGAGTAAAATTAAAGATTATGACCGCTGTTATTTGTTCATGCAGAAATTTCATATTTAAATTCTGGGGAAAACAAAAATATGTTCTTATCTAAAGTAAGAAGTAAGTAAGTAAGTAAGAAGTGAGTAAGTAAGTAAGAAGCGAGTGAGTAGGTAGGTAGGTAGGTAGGTAGGTAGGCAGGCAGGCAGACAGACAGTTAGTAAGTAAGAAAGGAAGTAAGTAAGTACTTTATTATCGTGACATGTGCATATCTATAAGCGTACAAATCTACAAGAAAAAAATAACATAGCACCCGGCCCCATGGGCTTATAAGTCACCAGAAATCATAGACAATTGTAATAAGAATTATTATATATTTACACATATATTATGGTCTATATTTCAGTCCACATTACAAGCAGTCGGAGTCAGTGTAGAGCAAAAAAAAAAACGTCAATCGTCTGCTGGCGCTTAACGATAAATTTTCCATTTAAGAACTAAACGGTCGGTGCGTTCTTGTGTTAATCAGTCATTGGAGGCCAATCCAAGGAAACGTTATAGTTCCTAACCTTAACAAAATGTCAGTTAAGTTTATTTGATAAATTTAGGTATTTAAAGTAATAACATAAACGGAACAATTAAATTCATTTTGAATCATTTCGTTTATTCCTTTAGAAACGAATATACTGCTATACGAGTTTGAAATAATCGGATGAACATATGGTATATCCATGCAGAGATGACGCCGAATCAGTGTAACTCTATCGCCGAAAATAACAGACCAACTTTCCTTATATAGATAAGATTGAAAGAAGTTTACATTAACAAAACTACTTGTGTCAAATAATACTATAAGGGAAGCAGATATAATGCGGTTTAAACAATTTTATATCAGTACTAATAAGTAACCAGCGTTGCCTCTGTACATCGTTCACGAAATTTGCGTTGCCTCATAAAAAGGTGATTTTTCACATTTATTGAGGTGAGCTTATTTAAGAATTTAATGACACGGATAGTGTGGCAAAATGCCTTAAGTATACCGAATACATGTATGTAAAAAAGTAACGTAAAACATTCGTCAATATAGAAAAACTTTTTTAACTGACTCTCTTAATGATGCAGGTCAGCTTGAGTGCCTACTTTATATGCATTTCCCAGCTTGTTATAGAAATCTGACATTCCAAAATGAGATTTTGTATCCCAATAAGTCGTTAATGATCGAGAATATGCAAAAGCATAAGCCACCTTTATCTCAGATACAAGTGACATTCTCGGTAACCCTGGCTATTTACCGTATACCGGTAAAATATCAAATGTTGTATATACGGAATGTGTACCGTGGGTTCCGACAATGAAAACATGGTTGCTTTGCAATAGCAACTACTCGGCCCTTTCCGTCAGTCTTCGGACACAATAGTATGAATACACAGAACGGATGCGGTATTTCGGTCTAACCTACGCTAAGAAACTAAACATGTAAACAAATAGTAATTTAATGCTGGGAGTTGTTGACAAGTTTATTTCCAATATATGCAGTAAAAGTCTACCTAAAATAAGTGAATTCATAGGTACAAAAGCAAACAATACATTATTTATATATTTATTGATATGGTTGTAGAAACCGAAAGTACAAAAAAACCTGTTGACATTTAGTCGGATTTGTTTAAAATTGAACATCCGTGTTACAAATTGTTGTCAGACATATTTTCAAGCATAAGAGTACCGAAACAAACATTACTTTGCTTTTGGATGTCAAATATATACATTCATTTTACATTATCTCTGTTTCTGTTTACATCTGAAACCACGTGGTAGAACTACTTTCAGTCTGTATTGTTTCCGAGGTTATTATAGATAATAGTCGAGGCAGTTCCGAATGGGTTGCTATGCATTAAATGGCATAAGCAGCGGGCAGATAATCATATTAACTACCCCTCGTGTTTCTTCACAGTCAGGTTTCACTGTATTTAGTTTTTCATATAAGTGCAGTACACTAGACAAGATATTTCTTTGGCCTTATCATCGTTTATTGATATACTAGTAATTATGACAATACCGTTACTACAGTCTATTTAATACATATATGCAGAGACAATTTACGATAATTATCTTAGTGTTACTCCTGGAGTTATCTACCTTACAAATACGTAACCATGTTGTACTTTAAGTCTCCTAGTTTAAACTAAGTTCAGTTTAGAGATAAGACACGGAGCTAAATGTGGAATCATTTTGTTTAAACTATGTCAAGATGTGTCACCGTAAGTTGAAATATTACGTGTTTTCTTTTCTTTTTTTTAAATATTGTTAACGATATTACTTCAAAATAATATATATCCATAATGTAACCAAACTAATAACATTGCTACACTGATATTATTTTTATCTTGTTGATATATTGTACTATGTGAACTTTTTAAATTAGTTGTTTGACCTTAATTTAGTAGAAGACCCAAGCAGTTGTTGTAATTTATATATGTATATGAATATATTTTTGCGTGGATGCTTAAAGGTCAAGGTCACAGAGACCTTGAATATGAAAACCATTTCAGGTCAGTAACCTTAGAATCATTTGACTCACAGCCTTCAATGCTTTGAAGAACATCCTGTTTATGAAGAAGATCCGTATTGTTTTAGGCGCTAATGCGTGATGGTCCAAGGTCACTGTAACCTTGAAAGTGAAAAAAAACTAATGAACCATTACATTTGATTTATCGCATTCGAACCGTTTCTACTCATTCATCCAACCATAGATTACTTCCTACAATAAGATGATTACCCTCACTGATTAGAAAAGCCTTGTTGTTTTTTGGGCAAAGATACGTTAAGGTCAAAGGCCACAGTGACCCTGACTGCAATATTGCCTGTGCTTGAAACCCGTTCAACGAGTAACAAGTTTACTATGTTTGTGTTCAATTAATGCGTATTCTACGAAAAACTGGTGGTGACATTGAAAGGTTCACTAATTCCGAATTTCAGCTTCGTGTATTTACAATTTTAACTTGGTGAATTCACATTTTTAAAAAACGGAATTCACGAATTTACGATTTAAACTTCATGAGTTTACTATTTCAACTGCAGGAAAACATCTTCAAATACGAATACAAATATGCGTTTTGAACTTCTTGAATTTACGATTTCAATTACACGAATTCATGATTTCAACTTTATGTTTTTGCTTTATTTCTGTGTAAGAAGTGCTTGCACTACTTTTGTTGTTAAATGTTTTTGTTTTATTACTGTGTAAAAAGTGCTTGCAATATTTTTGTTGTTAAATGTTCTTATTTCATTACTATGTAAGAAGTGCTTGCACTACTTTTGTTGTTAAATGTTTTTGTTTTATCACTGTGTAAGAATGCTGACACTACTTTTCTTGTTAAATGTTTTTTTGTTTAATTACAGTGTAAGAAGTGCTTGAACTACTTTTGTTGTTACATGTAAATGGTTTAACTGTGTAGACGAACTTTATATTTCTCTTAGATAGCCTTCAAAAAAGTAATTGCATGAAAAGTACCGTTGTTTTCTTGTTTTATATTTTATTTACAAACGTGTTTGTAGGAGCGTTAGTAGTACTAATGTAGTCCTTTGTTTTTGTTTTTCTCTATTTACAGTGTTAGTAGCGCGCGTTCTACTACTGTTGTTAAATGTTTCTGCAATATCGGCCCTGCTTTGTCTTAGTTGTACGGGAGTGAATAACGTGGAAGATTGTCTTACGTTGAAGAAGTGTGCGTCAAATCAGGTAGGTGATGTCGCATAAGAACATATTCATTCATTTTAACTATGCTCCAAGACGTTTATATTGCAAAACCTATTGTACAAATACCAAGATTTTTATTTTCTGTTTATGTGAGATAAAATGACTGGGAATGGCTTAAATGCACGTCGTGTCTCAGAATTTGTTTTTTACTCATCAGAATGACAAATACGTGGAATTTAAAATGTTGTAATAATGGATTAAGAACATATGACATGTTCTAACCTAAAGAAAATAGTACTGGGTGAGAAGTTATATGAGCCGCGTCACGACAAAACCAACATAGTGCGTTTGCGACCAGCATGGATCCTGATCAGACTGCGCGGATGCGCAGGCTGGTCTGGATCCATGCTGTTCGCAAACCCATTATGTTGGTTTTGTCGTGACGCGGCTCATATGTTTTAAAGGTAGCAAAATGTAAACAAAGTAGTCTTTTGACTTCCATATAAAATACTTAATCACCAAAAACGCAAAAGAAGCAAAAGCTGTGTCAAATATAATGGCTAGTGAGTACCCTTTTTTGGAAACTAAAACAGGACATCGAAAATGAAAAATGTATGAAAAATATAAATTATAGTAGTAGTATTTCTTAGGCTTAATTGGCCTTTAATCTAATGTTGTTAGAACTTGTTGCCCAACCAATTTGATTTTTGTTATATGCTTATCATTTTTTTTAAATTATTAGTATTTGATGCAATAAAATATATTTAAATTAAAGAAAAGACTAAAATATGTCGTATGTAAGTAGTGAAGAAAGAATAATCATTTGATTGCTTATAAGTCATCATGTATATTTTAGTCACATTAAGACCACATTGCACCCCAAACAAAATTTAAAAAAAAATCTTTGAATGATGAACGATGAAGATATGCTCAACCTGGGACAGAGGATATGTTCTGTCCCAGGCTCAATTAACTTTTAATTATGTTTTTTTTTTATTTCAGACTTGTTATTCTAACCGATTCGTTGGCAGTACTGGTAAGCCTGTGTATAATTTAGGCTGCATCGACAGCGTCGTGAGTATATCTTTGACTTTTACAGAGGGATAAGAAGCTCAAATTCTTAACCACAATCCTTTGCGCGAGATTCACTAGCCCATAGCGTTGTTAAATATCCGCCATTTTGAGACTTTTTTTCACAGAGGGTTAAGAAGCTCTAAAAATAGAAAATTTTCAAATCCTGAGCCATAATCCTTAGCAAGAGATTCATTGGCTCATAGTGTTGTTAAATATCCGCCATCTTGCTTTAACATAACCTAATTTGTTTACGTTTTCATCTATTACAGAGAGTAATTTACTTCTTCGTGATCTTTATTAGTTTTTTTACTCTTTTTTTGAACTTCTTTTATGGTTAGCACAACAAATTTAAAATAACATGTCAGCGTACATATAATATACATGTATCGGAAAAAAATCTCGTGTTAAACGTGGTCTCGGAAAATCTCGCAAAAATGTGAACTTGCGTGATATACATATTTCAATTGTATGACGTCATAGCTTCCTCTTTATTCAAACACAACTCTGTGATTTTTATTAATAAGGCTGAGAATATTACATTATAAATTGTCATCTTTTTGTTGTAATACATTTCCTTACGCAAAAAAGCTTTTGTGGGTTCAAATAAGGCCTTGTAATAAGAACAAACGCCGTATTAAATGTTATTACTTCAACACGAACAAATCATTGTTAAACGCATTTAAATGGTGCTCATCAATTATGAAATTTTGTGTTGAATATTATGTTTTGGGCTTCCTTTTAGTGTGTCTTTAAAACCGCTTCCAGAAAATAAATGTTTAACGTGGATTAACACATATATTAAAACATAAAATTTCGTGTAATGTATCATACATTTTCAGAATTATTTTACCTTTTACTAAATATAGGCATGCGGTCAAAATCCACCTGGAAAAAGAGAAACCGAAAGTGAATACGATCTTACATCCTTTGACGCAGAAAGTAGTTCCGACCAAAAGCGTAGTGATCCATCATGTATGCAATGCTGTAACAATCTAAACGGATGTAATAAGAACTTATGTGGTTCAAGTAAATGCTATTTTTATTATGTATGTAAAATAATGTAAATTGACCATCGTCATTTATTGACAACGTATTTCTAAGAACATGTTTTTGTTTTCAAAAAAATAATGGAGAGTATTTTTTGTGCATTTAACTGTCGGAAATAAGATAAGGATTTTAGTTGTTCTTGTTACAAATAGAAAAAAATTAAGGGTGTTTAAATGCATGTCAATATCAAAGATATGGCGCACGCTATTATGACATAATTAAACTGTTTATTTCATTTGTTTTTATTTTTAAACCATTCTATTTATATTTATTTAAGACCCAGTCTGTTTGTATTTGTGCTAGAACCACTCTATTTGTTTTTATGCTAGAACTATATTCTATTTGCATTTGTTCTAGAACCATTCTATTTGTATTTGTGCTAGAACCATTCTTTTTGTATTTGTGCTAGAACCATTCTGTTTATATTTGTTTAGGATCCGTTCTATTTGTTTTAGTCTTAGAATCGGTCTATTTGTATTTGTGCTGAAACCATTCTATTTGTATTTATTTAAGGACCATTCTATTTGTATTTGTGCTAGAACTGTTCTATTTGTATTTGTTCTAGAACCGTTCTATTTGTATTTGTACTAGAACCATTCTATTTGTATTTATTTAAGGACCATTCTATTTGTATTTGTGCTAGAACCGTTCTATTTGTATTTGTTCTAGAACCGTTCTATTTGTATTTGTACTAGAACCATTCTATTTGTATTTATTTAAGGACCATTCTATTTGTATTTGTACTAGAACCATTCTATTTGTATTTGTGCTAGGACCATTCTATTTGTATTTATTTAACTACCATTCTATTTGTATTTGTGCTAGAACCGTTCTATTTGTATTTGTTCTAGAACCGTTCTATTTGTATTTGTACTAGAACCATTCTATTTGTATTTATTTAAGGACCATTCTATTTGTATTTGTGCTAGAACCGTTCTATTTGTATTTGTTCTAGAACCGTTCTATTTGTATTTGTACTAGAACCATTCTATTTTTATTTGTGCTAGGACCATTCTATTTGTATTTATTTAAGAACCATTTTATTTGTATTTGTGCTAGAACCATTCTATTTGTATTTGTACTAGAACCATTCTATTTGTATTTGTTCTAGAACCATTCTATTTGTATTTGTACTAGAACCGTTCTATTTGTATTTGTACTAGAACCATTCTATATGTATTTGTACTAGAACCATTCTATTTGTATTTGTACAAGAACCATTCTATTTGTATTGGTACTAGAACCATTCTATTTGTATTTGTGCTAGAACCATTCTATTTGTATTTGTACTTGAACCATTCTATTTGTATTTGTACTAGAACCATTCTATTTTTATTTGTGCTAGAACCATTCTATTGGTATTTGTTCTAGAACCATTCTATTTGTATATATTTAAGGACCATTCTATTTGTATTTGTGCTAGAACCATTCTATTTGTACTTGTACTAGAACCATTCTATTTGTATTTGTACTAGAACCATTCTATTTTTTTTACTAGAACCGTTCTATTTTTATTTGTGCTAGAACCATTCTATTTGTATTTGTACTAGAACCATTCTATTTGTTTTTGTATTAGAACCATCAGACAATTTACAATGCATGATATGTAGAGATGTTCTTGAAACAAAATTTTGTGACAAACTTACGACATGTGGACAAGATCAGGTTAGTCTTTTTCATTTTTATTTTGCAAATTAAGCTTTGTTTCTGTGTATAGTAATGCTTTGATGACTTTGTTTAAAAAAGAAAAAGATTGTAATCATCATCATCACAGTAAATATTATACAGTTATTGACTAGTTAGCCATTGAATATGATGTGATATTCACCGGCTGATGACATATTGACCGAGGCGACTATTGTTTGGACCAATGAGATTGCAGCTATATTTAGATCATATAATAACTCTTTTTAAAACGAAGATACAACACAAACATGTACATTGATGATTTTATATCAATACATTAGTCTGGTAAAGACATATGAACGAATGCATGTACATGTATTATTTCCGATAAAGCGTTATTATTACAAAATATGTTTTCATTCTTTGAACTTTTTGCCATAACTTTCTTAAACATAAAGAAGGAAAATTGACATATGTAATGGCTTTTTTCCTTTTCGAATCGAGGAATATTTGTCTTTGAAATTGCCGATAATGACGTTTAGGTCATGTGGTATTGCTGCACTGATATTGTAATTAAAGATTAATTCAAACATTTCAGTTTTGCTTCGTACAGAGAACTGTCAACTCTGTTTCAATGACACCTCGGTACGAAATGGACTGTATGGGGTTCCAAGTAAGCGTGTTTTTTTTTACTTTATATGTTGGTCAATCACCATTAAAAGCTAATCATATTTTATTTGAACATATTTGATTTGAAAAACAAAAGAAGCATATAATACATGATTAAACAGTTACACTACAAGAGTATGACCAAAAGTTTTCTCAAAATTAGTAAAGGGTCTTCCCTTATGCAGCAAGTAACAAAATATATTTTACAAAAACGAAAGTCAGTTCAATCTCTTGAAATAATCAATTCAGCTCACCTTGTCAATGAAAAGTATAGTCAGTTCAGCTCAATTCTGATCAATTAAATTGAAATTAAATGATTTATTCATTTTATCTATAAACAATAATGATCCTGAACTTCTTCAAGCTATTAACATACACGTATTGATTCACTTTTTTATCAATTTATCAATTTGTAAGGAGCTAATTATTGTACTTTTTTGTATTGAAGCAATGTGATGCGTTATTAAGGGCAAGTAGACAAGACTGTGCCACGTGTTGTAATGGTACTGACTATTGTAACTATAACGCTTGTGATAACTGGACAGGTAAGATTGTTATATTGGTGAGATAACTGGACAGGTAAGATTGTTATATTGGTGAGATAACTGGACAGGTAAGATTGTTATATTGGTGAGATAACTGGACAGGTAAGATTGTTATATTGGTGAGATAACTGGACAGGTAAGATTGTTATATTGGTGAGATAACTGGACAGGTAAGATTGTTATATTGGTGTGATAACTGGACAGGTAAGATTGTTATATTGGTGAGATAACTGGACAGGTAAGATTGTTATATTGGTGAGATAACTGGACAGGTAAGATTGTTATATTGGTGAGATAACTGGACAGGTAAGATGTAGTTTGCTGTTCGCTTACAAACCCTATTACAGGTAGAGAAACTGATAGCGAACAGCATGGATCCTGACCAGACTGCGCGGGTGCGCAGGCTGGTCTTGATCCATGCTGGTCGCAAACCCATTATTTTGGTTTTGTTGTGACGCAGCTCATTTATGTTTGGTATTTTGTCACAGTTTCTAAATAAAATACTCATTTGCCATATAGAGAAGCTATCTGTTGTTTATTTGTTTGCTTTTTTAGCAATTGGTATATTTACATTGTATTTATATAAGTATTTTGTATGGAAGTCAAAATACTACTTTCTTTACATTTTTGCTACTTTTACAACACATTACCGCACTTTATTCGGTTGTTTAACAAGTCACAACATGCTCTAAATACATAATTAAACACATGTTTAACATTTTAAAGATTTAATATAATTACGTTTTTCCGAGGCATAATGTGCCTTCAGATATTAGGTGAGTTTGTGCTTAAATAAAATTTGTTCACATTATTTAAAAAATAATTCCTTTCTTTATAAAAACGAGTCAAAGCATCCTTGCGTTTCTTTTAATCATTAATGTACATTAAATCATCAAATGTATAACAACGCTACAAAATAGTATCGAAATGTATCTTATTAAGCTTGTAAGAATAAGTTCGATTTTGATTCTAAGACTCAACAGCGGAAAATGTATTTTGAATAAATTGAAGACATTTACCGTTTAAACAAGTTTTATTTTCTTTTGCTTCATTCTTTATAAACAACAACATTTTTACATGTAGGAACTTCCCAGGCAACCACTGTCAACAAACCAACAGTGACGTCAGTAACACCTTCAACAACTGCTGCGTCTCATAGTACATCAACTTCCGGTCCAAACACTTCCGGTGCACAACTCGTCCTCGACGGACCTAATTCAAGCTCGTATAAAAGCCGGGTAGAGCTGAAATGTATTAGTCTACCCTCTGCTCAACGTTACATATGGAAATATAATCACGTAACGTTATTAATATTGTATCATTTTATATTAACTTTAACTTTAATTTTAACTTTAACTGCAATATCCGAGGTCGAGTGGTTAAGGCTTGCTGACTGCAAAACAGTGTTATTGTTTTGAGTTCATATTTTCATTGTTTCCTTTTATAAGGTTACAAACTTAAGGATAATATGCGTTTAATCTTAATTAAATCACTTTGGTAAAATATTTTTTTCAAACGCCGCCAAATAACATTTATCTAGTGTTGGTGTGACGAAAATCTAAACACTCAAGGACATGTTTGATTGACTTCCTATCATGTACCTTATAAAGATCTATTTATAGTTAAAGAAACATTGCCATGTATATTGTAATGTAATTTATTTTTAAAAATACACTTTTTATGCACTAACAATCTTGTTTGTAGGTAGAAATAACATTTAAATGTTTTCTGAAATTTTTCCCTTCTATATACTTCAGTCTACGTCTCTACCAGCCGGTGTCAGTATAGAAAAGGAGATAGTAATAAGTCCACTTGCTGGAGAAGATAAACTTGTAATTGCCGAACTTGATGAGTCCAAGGTGGGCGTGTACTCCTGCGAAGCAATCATTAATGGCCAAACCATAGAAAAGACACATTTTATAGCCATAACAAAAGGTAAACTTACTTCATCAATATATCTCAACCAATGATCAAATTGTGCATTATATAATTTTGAAAATAATAAAGAACTTAGTCGATCTTTTATTATTTTGTAAACTGTAATGTTAACGGATTTGTTTATTCATTTATGATTATTTCTAGGATATTTCATTTCATTTCTATGATTACAATATTAAAATCAATGATGAGCATAGAATATCTCCAACTATAACAACACATGCAATCATTTGTTGATATATTACTAGAGAAACCGACGGCACATATTGTCAAAACGTTTATACCACCATACTTTGCATTGGTTTGTACCACCACTGGGTATCCACCGCCACAGATCGGATGGGCATTCGTTAAAGCTGGCTCTAGTGTAAGTTGTTTCATATCGAAACGAAAGCAGATAACTTATCTTACACTCCTTGGATAGATTGATAGATTTATTTCTTTTGTTTGTTTGTTTGTTTGTTTGTGTTTGTTTGTTTGTTTCATTTTACGCCTTTTCCTAACAGTATTTCAGTTATATAGGCGGGTAGTTTCCTAACCATCGTTCCTGGAGAGTAACAACAGTACTAGACTACCTTCCTCCGTACTAAACCACCAAAGCATCTCCCGGGGATCGAACCCACGCCAGAGAGGTAACTGGATTAGAAGTCATCGACTTTATCCCCTCGACCTCGGAGGCGGTCTGATTTATTTCAATATTGTGTAATAACATGGCAATACATATATAATATATTGATAAAATAATGAAAACAAATATCAATGTATAAGAAAAGAAATCGTATCATAAACACCGTACCTAGGATAACACCACATTGTATTATTTTATTTAACAGACAGGCTCAGTGGGACTTCCGGGCGATGCTGACGTCACACGTAAAGGACTCGTCTCCATAGTAGCGGTCGATCACTATAAATCGGCGTCTCATGACGGCTCCTGGTATTGTGCTGCCACGAACAGCCTTGGTGACGTCATAACTGAAATTGATATTCCCTAGGTTAAGGTACGAATCTTGAACAATATCTTAAACAATTTAATGATACTTTGAAGCAAAACAACTGACGTCTGTTATAAACCAATATAATTTTTATAAAGACTTTTAGAATAGACTCATAAAGTTTTATTTTAAGGAGTGTTGACAATAAAAAGAAACACCTTTACACATACTGCTGCAAAATTGACCTATTTAATCAACTGAATAAAGGTTGGATATTTCGCATGCCCGACCAAACATTCTAGTGTATGCTAATCAATTTCATCATGTTGGAATAATGCACGGAGGGGGCCATGGAATCTCTCCTATACAGGTGCCCGCTCGTTCCTGAAATAATGCACGGAGGGGCATTTGGGAGTTGCCCGCTTGTATCTAGAATAATGCACGGGGTGGCACCTGGGATCTCTCCTATACAGGTGCTCACTCGTGCCTGGAAAAATGCACTTAGGGGCACCTGGATTGTCTCCTATACAGGTGCCCACTCGTGCCTGGAAAAATGCACTTAGGGGCACCTGGTATCTCTCTTATATACAGGTGCTTGCTTGTGCCTGGAATAATGCACGGAGGGGCACTGAGATCTTCCTTCACCAGTAAAGCTGGAAAGTCGCCATGTGACCTATGAATGAGGTATTGCATTTGTTTTGATACATTTAGGTTATGTTTAGGGTAAGTAATGTGGCAGCTACAATAATATGACATACTGAATAAAAACTTTTTTTTTTGTGTTTTAGGTTAAGTCCATCCGATACCTACAAAGTAATTTAATGTTGTAACGTGTATTTTGTTCAGAATAAAAAGTTTCAGACCTGTTTGTTGTTTTATATTTCCTTTTGTTTCCTTATGTTTGAGTTTAATACGTTTTTGTAATATATTCGTAAAGGACTGAATAGAATAAACTGATATTAAAAAAATCCTTATGAAAAAAAAAACAGTTAATAATAAAACTTTCTTGGATAAATCAGATTTGTATTTAAAGTACTACACTCAGGATGTTTTTTACATGATGGGCATGGGGAAGGAACTGTTACACGAGGGATGGAGTTCTTTTGATAATTTGTCAAGGGTTCTTGGTTCTTGTAATAACTGTCACGGAGCTAGTCGGAAAACTTTTGTATATACTACAGAAACACTCGTCAAAAATGGTCATTTTAATCTTTAAACAAAGAGTTTTAGGTTGTAGGTGCTTAATTCAACTTTAATATAAAAGATAGCCTTACATCTTGTATTTTGTGTCAAAAACTAATTTTTCATCGTCTCTTGATTAAAATCTGGTTGTTTTAGGAAAATTTCCATTTTTTTTGCAAATCGCACATATCGACTTGTTCATTTGCGATCATCTTCATCCTTGCCATACATAATTACCCAATCATGATGCAAACATAAAGAACAGAACAGAGCAAAACAGAATATTTGACTTAAGCAGATACAGCTTATCATCAAGCCTTGGCTAACAAATTAATGTCCGATTTTTCAAATGTCCTGGAGTTCTTGTGATAACTCTGAAGATGTCCTAGAGTTCTTGAGATAACTATTGTTACTGCCAGTGTGCTTCTTGCACTATATCACGACACGTTTTAGCGTTTTTATTAATCGATAAGGTTGTAAATCATTATGAAACGTATGAAGAATTTGGTAATTTTACTCAAAACTACCAGATGTTAAACAAGAGGCGACGAAAAACGGACTATAAATTAGTTGACACATAGTACAAGATGTAAGGCAAGCTTAATCATTAAACGTTACTTAAGCGCCTAAAACTCCCATTTTAAAAATGTAAACGACCATTTTTGAAGAGTGTTTCTGTAGTATATACAAAAGTTTTCGTACGAACTCCAGGTGACAGTAATCAGAAGAACTCCTGAAAAGTAATCATAAGAACTCCATCCCTCGTGTGACACGTTCTCCCTCGTGCCTGGCTGTATATATATTCTCACGAGATTTTCATACACATTTGTGTGCGAATTCCAACGCCCATGTTTCCAGAAAAAAATCTTTTTTAATGAGCAAAATGACATAAAAATGAACGTTATTTACCCAAATTTCAATAAGATTGGCACAAATAACGTTATTGTTACTGTACAGAACGATTTAATTGTGAGTCCTCCATAAAAATTTAGGACTCGCAAAAAACGCTAATTTCCAATTATTAAAAAGATAAAACATGATTTCAGAATAACATATTTTATGTCTTTTGATTTTGTTAGGTCTTGATTTTATACGGCCATATATTTTAACCAGTCTAGAATCTTTATAACGAGTTTTCAATACTGCAAACTTCCTTTTTTGACAAGAAAATTGAGGTTTTGTTTGTTTTGTGTTCATAATTTTTCTTTTTATGTTCAGCGCCGAGGAACTTTACCGCTTGCATTTCTTTATCGACGATGAGAACAGGTCTACGGAATGTATGTTCTGGAACTTAATTAGATATTCGCATAATAGTACCATTCTTCTTCATTCAAAAGCTTTAAATTTTCAAAATTGAGATACAAATGATAAAACTACAAACTGTCTTTTTTTCTGTACAATAGAGTATTGTTTGACACCTGGTATTGAAAGTAACTGTGAACTCCAACGTTGATCCTTTTTGTTAACCTGAGTGACGAATTTATGATTTTCGGCAGTCACCTCCGCGAATTCAAAATAGCGCGAATATTTGTATAGACCCCCAAAGTGGACCTTTCCGCGAATATTTGCTTCCGCAAATTTAAATACACATACAGTATTTTGTGAAGTAGGTGTCCGTTTCGCAAAGGTATCGATACACATATATGCGCGACATGATGTTCCAGTAGTATTGAAGAAGTTTTCCTTATACAGAATTTAAGCCGGGATGAGGAAATTAGGTCAGATTATCACATTGAATTTTCCACAGACTAGAGACATGGCATCTTAACATAACTTCATACTAAAGTGTGATTTGATAATGAATTGCCTGACACATAAAACATTTTTTTTCGGAAGATGACTTCAAAGAGGATTACCCTCTGTTTACATTGAAAATTTCTCTGCTATTCACACAACTGACACATACATTTTAACGAAGTATCAAAGTAAAAAGTGATCTTAGAGAGTAAGGAAATATTTCATATCATCAAGAAATTTCAATGTTATTCTCTTTATAATTATTTCAAATATTTGTAATCTAAAAATTTCATTTCAGACCATTGTTAACAAATTTTGTTGAAAAAAAATCGGACAGGTGTGTCCAACCGAGACCGAGCTGTTTATGTTTACTGACTTCAAATCACTTGCACTGGACTGCTGTGAACTTGAAAACCACCAGGAACTTCTAATTTTGTTCGAGTGGAAAACCCATACAATTTGCATTTTTCGATATAATCGTAGATTAACTGAAAATTTGTAAATTCAAAACCTTCCAGAAAATGTATTTTACATTATTTCGATCAATCACAACCTTTTAAGAATGTTACTTAGCGGTTTGTGCCAGCTTAAAAAAAAACAAAAATACAAAAAACAAAAAAACTGGAATGATTAAGAGATTGTGATGGATTAGAAGATCTTCTTCACAGCAATAGAATGCTCAAGAATTAGCTACCGCAAGGTAATTGATAGCAAGAGGCCCGCATAAAATTGTCGCTTTTTTGGACTGGCAATTAGTTGTCTATGTAGAAATAGTCTAAGAAATTTAGTTAAAGCGTCCATATTCTACAGCCAATCGTTTAAACACAATTTGTCTGATTCCGTTGCAAATTCGTTTTTGTACAACCTCAGAGTGTCTTCTTTGTACAAAAAGAGTATCAAAGCTGTAAACCAAAAACTATGACTGTGAGATTTCCGCATGGTATGCTCATTTTTTTGGAATGGCGTTTTGTTCTTTCTCTATATAAAATGCACAAGGTTTCTTAAAATACACCATATTCTAGAGTCAACCGTTAAAACATCTTTTGTCTGATTCCAATGACGATTCATTTTTGTACAACTTTGAAGGGTCATCTCTGCACAAAATGAGAACCAAAGCCCTGACATAAACAATATGTCCTTGAGATTTCCGCAAGGCATGGTCATTTTTTGGACCGGTGGTTTGTTCTGTCTCTATATAAATTTTCGTAAAAAAAAACACCATATCCTAGAGCCTACCATTTAAACGCCATTAGTCCGATTCCGTTGCAAATTCGTTTTTGTACAACTTTGGAGGGTTTTCTATGTTCAAAATGATCGCAAAAGCCCTAACCCAAATAATATCTCCTGGAGATACAGGAATGGACCTCTAGCATAGTAAGCCATTGTAAAATGAACGCTAAATGAATGCAGGTGCAACATTTTGCCTGAAATAATGCACAAAGGCGCACCTGAGGTCCTTACCCCCAGTAATGCTAAAGCGAATAGTGTAAGTTTGAAATTAAGCTACAAAAAGCAGTCATTACCTAGAACATGCAGAACTACAGATTACTATAAGCGTAAATGTGTTTTTTTTTGTTATTCAAGGTCATAGACTTCTATATTTTTGCAAAAAATAGGGATAATATGGAACAAACAGGAAAATATAAGAACATATATATAATGATAAAGAAAGTTACATGTTAATGTATAATTAAAAAGTAGCTTCCGCTATGTAAACTTTCAAATTAAATGTTATATTGGACATGCCACAATGCATTATAAATAATCAAAAGCAGGTTATTCGGTAGAATAGACATATATTCCCAAAATTATCTATGTTGAAAAGACTGCCAAAAATACAACTGTGTCGTATCATATTTTATTTTCAACTGCGCGTCGTATCATTTTGTATAAACATCTCTTTCTAATGAAATTGAAATAAATAATGAACTTTGAAATGAGTATATAATTGATTTGAAGAAAGAAACGATGGATAAAGCAATATGAACTGCGTCGTATCCAAACATAACATCATTTCATAACAATTCTGGCCCGCTTCGAGTAACTTTTGTTTTACAAAATAGTTGTACATGCAACATATATTGAACGTAGCGGAAAATATTGGAACGTGTTAATACATATATCTGGTTTTCAGCCATTTCCAACAAAAAGAGTCACAAGTAGCATTTCCAAAAATGCTTGGAATCGCCGTTCAGTCATGAATATATAAATAATATTTCATTTCGTGCCTTTGTGTGATCATCACATGAAGCCAACATAAATAGACGTGCTCAGTTATATTCTGAGATATCTTTGTGTTCTAGGTCAGAATGTAGGAGATATTGGCCATAAGAAAAATATCACAATTACTAAACGCGTAATACAATTAGTTAGACTACATTGTGCTACTTAATCAGTGCATCAATCGACAAAAATACTAAGCTTCATGCGTAATTAACAACAGTAACTTGCTACACATTAAAATGATGTCTGTGAACTTTCTTCAAATGGAGTTTATGTTCTATACTCCCTCGACTGCTTTGCGATTTCCTTTCTGAAACAGACTATAACTGATTTGCTACATTATAGGTCTGATGCAATAGAAAAACTCGCCCGGGATAAAGCATTTATGAACTGCCAGTTTTGGAAAGAAAACAAAATGTACTGTTACATAGAGTGTTATTAAGACACATGCACGAGTATCAGTCCTGGGAAGAAAATATGACCACATTGATAAAAAAAATCCTCTGTGTTCATCTTAAATGTGTCAAAACAAACAAAAATTGTGAAATATGAGCCCCCTTAAAAATATACTATAAGTTAAGAGAAGGACGAAAACAACTCCGGATTCTTGTCTAGGGGTTCATTTCCCTGGCCGTCAGTAGCATCTGATACACTCGAAATTCGAGTTTCAAACCTCTTCACCGTTATTTGATTGGTAAATCAGCTTTTCGATATTTTGTAAGAAGTCTTCTGATTGGTCGATAGCAAGGAAACCGCAACGTTTCGCACAAGGATGCTTGATGGAGGATAGAACAATCGTAAGACCATGTAAAGGTTTGAAACTCGAATTTTGCGTGTATCAGATGCTACTGACGGTTGTGATGAGTTGTCACATTTAATGTATTTAGTGATATTATTCAGTAAATTCAAGTGATTTTGACCCGTACTCGGCTGACAAACATGCATTAGTCTATGTTTACGTACCGAATCGTAGTGACACTTTTTGTCTACCAGGGATTTTTAGCACGAATGCGCTCGTTACCTGATAGATATTTCATGAACAGTAAAGGCTAGAAACTTAGGGTTGATCTCATTTAGAAGCTTACTACAAACGTGAAACAGTGATAAAAGTTTTTTAATTGTCTGGACAATTGTTTTCACAACATTAAGATAAACACAAAGGATTTTTTATCAATGTGGTCATCCCGGGTCCGATACTCGTGCCTGGTTCTGAGGTCGTACATTGATGGTATTTTCAAGTTTTACGAATAAGGAACCCGACAAAACATGGCGGATGGGCGAGTTCACTTACGTTTTTCCCTTTGAAGTTTTTTGAAGACTATTTTGTTATCACGTGATATTGAATTATTCGCTTTGATTGGCTACAGGCATGCGGTGTACAGATAGACTTGTTCAAATCTTCTCAGTTGTATATATCGCCGTCCATGAACGGCGATAATAAAAAAAAAACATACCTTTTTCGTTCCAGTATGGCGGGTTTACTTTTTATAGAATACGACGCAGTTTTGATTCACATCCCTGATTCTTATCATAACAGATCCAAATGAAATTCATCTGAATTAAACATATTTTATTTCTTCCTCCTCTAATATACACATCTTTAAAAGAATGACGACCGAGTCTAATATATAACCTTACACGGGCAATGACGGAGATAAGCTCGGCGTGGTGTAACTTTCTTTTCTTCAAGAATTGTTCGTTTTAATTATCAAAACAAGGGACAATAATATTTTTTGTTTAAGATAAATAATATCGTCGCCATTTTAGATTGATACCGAACTTATTTTTGATCTCAAGACCTCGTATTTATGAGAAAATCGTCCCTAAAAGAGCTAAAGGGCTACAATTTAAGATTGAAGAAATTTCATTTAAACTTGATTTAAGCATATAATAAAAAAAAGTTGTTTCATTTGTTGTGTAAGATAGATGTAATTTAATTTCATCTCGTGAACTTTTAAAACAGTATTCCACTTGTGGCTCGTGAGAATATTGTTATTAAAGCTCACGAGATGAATTAAAATGTCATTTTACACACAAACAAACAAAATATCCTACCTATCTTTTCCCTTCGGTACGTCAACGTTGTGGAGAAGGCACAAAAGAAAATTTGAAGTACTTTTAACGGCGATTCTAAACGAAAATCGCGGGCAAACTGCAGATGACCTGACTAATGCCGAGATGAAAGCCTGTATAGACCACGATGAAATGTGCTATGGTACATAAGCCCTTAGCACGCAGTGACGTTTGAAAGGTAGACATTTTCTTGGTACCAACAGTCATTTTTAGGGATACCCCTTTTTTATTGTTTATGGTTTTTGTACTTTTAGGTTCTTATTGATTACTGTACACTGACCTACATTTGGCTCAATTCACAGAATTTAATAATAATAATCCAATATCATTGACAATTGCATGGGGATAAGTTATCTTATATTAACTCTTTAAGGGCTTAATTGTCGACATATCGGAGCACAGACACGAGTATCGGACCTGCGACCAGATTGATAAAAAACAGCCTGTGTCCATCTTAAAGGTGTCCAAAAAAACCCCAACAAAGCACAACTCATCAAACTTAAAGTATATGTTTAAAGGAGCTCACATGTCACCATTTTTGGCACATTTAAGATGAACACAGCGGTTTTTGAAGATAAGAGTTAACTTGCCCCAGTTTTAACAGACGGACATATATGCGATAATAAAATTTGTAAATCACCAAACATACAAAGGATACACGCTAAGAGATGGGATGTATTCTTAAAAGTAAGTAATGCAACTAATTCTTTTCAAGTATATTTTTTAATTATATTTACAATTAAAAAAATCCAAGGAATATAGTTATTAACCATAACAGTAAAAAAGATGGTTCAGATAATTGACCATCGAGTTACTTTTTGAAAACTGTAAAAGTACATAAATAAAAAATAAAAAGCTTTTGAGAAATAAGAATAGAAGCACGTCTGGGACGTCACTGTCCTTGTGACGGTATTTGCGAAAACAAAATATCGATAGCAATCAGTGGAAGTGTTAGTAGTTATTTACCCGCAAGTACCTGTTTCTGATGCGGGTGTTGAACTGTGCTCTTGAAAGTTCAATGTGGCTTACTGTCAAACTACCATTACCACCACGAAGCAGTTTCTATATCACATTTATACGTCCTTAAGGTCGCTAAGTCTAGCACTTCCAGTTAAAATAACCTTGTCCAAAAGTGTGTGTGTGTTTTAAGCTTACCTAAGCTTGCTCAGGGTGAGCTTTTAGGATCGTTGAATGTCCGTCGTCCGTTGGCCGTCCACACTTGTTCGTTAACACTTTTGCGGTCACACGTTTGCCTCAATCATCATCAAACTTTATCATGTTGCTTATCTACTTGATACCTCGGTTGAGTTCGAACATGGGTTATCTCGGATGAAAAACTAGGTCACAGGAACTAAAAAAAAGAAAAACCTTGTTAACACTGTAGCGGTCACATTTTTGCCTCAATCATCCTCAAACTTTGTCAAAATGCTTGTCTTGGTAATAGCTCGGATGAGGTTGAACATCTCGGGTGAAAAACTAGGTCACAGGAGCTAAAAATAGAAAAACCTTGATAACAGTCTAGCGGTCACTTTTTTGCCTCAATCATCATCAAACTTGGTTAAGATGCTTATCTAGTTGATAGCTTGCATGAGTTCGAACATGGGTCATGTCGGATGAAAAACTAGGTCACCGGAACTAAAAATTGAAAAACCTTGAAAACACTTTAGCGGTCACTTTTTTGCCTCAATCATCATCAAACTTGGTTAAGATGCTTATCTAGTTCATAGCTTGCATGAGTTCGAACGTGGGTCATCTCGGATGAAAAACTAGGTCACAGGAGCTAAAAATAGAAAAACGTTGTTAACACTCTAGTGGTCACATTTTTGACTCAATCATCATCAAACTTGGCCAGGATGCTTGTCTAGGTAATTTGAACCATAGGCCCTGGGCCAGTGTGAAATTTGCGTTGAAGATGTGCTAAATTGACCTCTTTACACACCAATCTTCCTAATATACTATATTCCAATTAAAAATTCCAATTTCAAAAACAGTCCATAATATGCTATATAGTTATAACTATATAGCATATTATGGACTGTTTTTGAAATTGGAATTTTTAATTGGAATATAGTATATTAGGAAGATTGGTGTGTAAAGAGGTCAATTTAGCACATCTTCAACGCAAATTTCACACTGGCCCAGGGCCTATGATTTGAACATGGGTCATCTCGAATGAAAAACTACATCACAGGAGCTAAAAATAGAAAAATCTTGTTAACACTCTAGTGGCTACCGTTTTGATCCAAATATCCTGCAAATTGGTCTGAAAGTTTGTTTTAATGATTTCTAGGTCAAGTTTGAATATGTGTTACCTGGGGTTAAAAACTAGGTCATACAGCCCAAATATCAAAAAACCTTGTTAACATTCTAGTGGTCACATTTTTGACTCAATTATCATCAAACTTGATCAGCATGCTTGTCTACGTTAATGCTCGGATGAGTTCAAACATGGGTCATATCGCATGAAAAACTAGGTCACTAATCTTGTTAACACTCTAGTGGCTACCGTTTTGATCCAAATATCCTGTAAATTGATCTGAAAGTTTATTTTAATGATTTCTCGGTCAAGTTCAGACATGGGTCATCTCGGATGAAAAACTAGGTCACACCGCCAAAATATGAAAAAACCTTGTTAACACTCTAGTGGTCACATTTTTGACTCAATTATCATCAAACTTGATCAGGATGCTTGTCTAGGTAATTGCTCATCTCGAACATGGGTCATCTGACTTGAAAAACTAGGTCACCGGAGCTAAAAATAGAGAAATCTTGTTAACACTCTAGTGGTCATTGTTTTGATCCAAGTTTCCTGGAAATTGGTCTGAAAGTTTGTTTTGATGATTTCTAGGTCTAGTTCGAATATGGGTCACCTGGGTAAAAAACTAGGTCACACTGCTCAAATATGGATAATCCCTGTTAACACTCTAGTGGTCAAATTTTTGACTCACCTGCCATGAAACTTGGTCAGAATGCTTGTCTAGGTAATTGTACGGATGAGTTCGATGGGTCAGGTGAGCGATCAAGGCCCATCATGGCCCTCTTGTTTTTTTTATTATTTTACAACTTGTTTCAGCGGACATGCGTATCATTTTGATTCTTCTTCATGTATCTGGTCTCGACGCACTGGCATGTTACAGCTGTCACAGTGTAAAATATGTTGAACAGTGCAGACACATTGTAAATTGTGGCCCAGGTGTAAGTTATACTAAATTCTACTGCAATTATGTTGAGATCTAAGGTATAGGTTTTACTACAATAATGTTCTAAGATGTAAGTTTCACTAAATTCTAAGCTATTAACATTCTCTAGCATCATTTTCATGTTTTTTGCTCCCTGAAAATTTCGGGGGAGCATGTAGTCGCCGGGTTGCCCGTCCGTCCATCCGTCCGTCCGTCCGTCCGTACGTCCCGAATCAGTATCTCTACTTGTTATAGAGTATGTAAGCGAACAACATGGATCCTGATCAGACTGCGCGGATGCGCAGGCTGGTCTGGATCCATGCTGGTCGCAAACCATTATGTTGCTTTTGTCGTGACACGGCTCATTTATTTTTTTAGAACAAGTGTTATTATAACCAACTGTTCGAGTCGGGCATTAAAGTATGGGAGCTTGGTTGTATGAGAGAAGTGGTATGTCACATTTTGTTTTCACGACTGTTCACTTTTGTCTTCAATCTGAAATAACCTAAATAGTAAAATGTTTCTAAATAAATGATAAAAGAGATGTTTTTATTTTATAAATTTATTTGAAAATGATTGTAGATATAAAATATTTAATCAAATATGATATTATATAATTAGTTTTTATTGTGTTTTTTTTTTTTTTTTTTTTTTGTTATTAAAGTGTTTTGAAAGTATTTTTGAAGTATTTAGTGAAGTACATAAAAAATAAATATTACAGAAGCCGCATCATAAAAACAGGATATTGTTTGGCAATATTGACCTGAGACATTCAATGATCTTTTGTCTGTAAATATTGGATTCCGAAGTAAAGCATACGGATTTTAAAGTATCGCATAAGGGTGTACATATACGGTTTATGTGTAACTTAAAGTTGCTTAGCAAGCCTCGGTGATAATGAGTTAAGACTCTTAGTTTTAAATTGAAGGTTTTAGGTTCGAATCTTAATGGAACATTCATTTTATTTTGCGAAACTTGACTAGTAAGTTTTTGTGCATGCAAATCACCCGCTATACGACTGTACACATTAAAATTATGAAAAAAATATGAAGTGATATCTTTTTAAGAAAAAAAAAACCAAAAAATTAAATCCTTTTATCCTGCATATGATTAAGAAAAATAAAGATATCTAAAAACATATTGATGATTCGAAATTGCAACTTCGCGATTGACGTACTATAAAACTTATCACTGGGCTTGAGAACTTTCCAATTTTTAAATGTTATAACTTACTGAAAGTAACGAAAAGGTTTTCGAAAATTAATGAGTCTCAGGTCAATATTGCAATACAATAACAGATAGTTTAGTGTTATGTTTTTTGTTGTTTTTCTTTCTCTAAAACTTAAAGCAATGCGCTGCATTGGAACATTATCTCGGAATTTCTCCAGTACACCGTCCTTTAGGCTGTTGTGACGACACAGATTTGTGTAACCGTCTTCATGCAAACATATCCACAAGTAAGTTATGAACTATATACGTTTTTCGTGTCTGCAATTTTCATATTAAATGGTTGTTTTCATTGAAATCCGAGGGCTCATTTCTTTCCACTGAGGTCCAATAGCCTAAAATAATAAATTTTGAATTTCTTTTTTAAATCAACTGTTACACTTAAATATTTAACCAAGCAATAGATGATATATAGATATACAAGTTTATGAATTTGATAACCGGTTTCTATGCGATTTTGGCACATTTGAATGAACAGCGTTACAACGGTTTTTATTTAATGGGTTAATTTGCACAATAAAATTGGATATTTCTGGGAAACTGTTGGTTCCCGTAGGTTTACCATATAAATGTACATGAATCTTTAGATTGTAAAAGAAAGAAAATAAAAAAATCTTCACAAAATTTAGTAACGGAAGTCATAGGTCAACTTGTTTACTAATTTAAAGAGAGTACAGTATTTTAAGTAACAACAACCCCGCACCAGTTCTGGCGTATCATACTTTTGCCAGTACAAGTGAATTATTTGTGCACCATTCCTGATGAGTAATCTATTTCTGCACCAGTACAAACGAATTATCCCTTCGCCAGTACCGATGAATCATTTCTACACCAGTACTGGTAATCATCCCTTCGCCAGTACTAAAGAACAATTCTTGAGCAAGTACCGATGAATCATCCCTTCGCCAGTACCGATGTCTCATCCCTTCGCCAGTACCGATGTCTCATCCCATCGCCAGTACCGATGAATCATCCCTTCGCCAGTACCGATATCTCATCCCTTCGCCAGTACCGATGTCTCATCCCTTCGCCAGTACCGATATCTCATCCCTTCGCCAGTACCGATGTCTCATCCCTTCGCCAGTACCGATATCTCATCCCATCGCCAGTACCGATGAATCATCCCTTCGCCAGTACCGATGTCTCATCCCTTCGCCAGTACCGATGAATCATCCCTTCGCCAGTACCGATGAATCATCCCTTCGCCAGTACCGATATCTCATCCCTTCGCCAGTACCGATGTCTCATCCCTTCGCCAGTACCGATGAATCATCCCTTCGCCAGTACCGATGAATCATCCCTTCGCCAGTACCGATGAATCATCCCTTCGCCAGTACCGATGAATCATCCCTTCGCCAGTACCGATATCTCATCCCTTCGCCAGTACCGATGTCTCATCCCTTCGCCAGTACCGATGAATCATCCCTTCGCCAGTACCGATGTATCATCCCTTCGCCAGTACCGATGTCTCATCCCTTCGCCTGTACCGATGTATCATCCCTTCGCCAGTACCGATATCTCATCCCTTCGCCAGTACCGATGTCTCATCCCTTCGCCAGTACCGATGAATCATCCCTTCGCCAGTACCGATGTATCATCCCTTCGCCAGTACCGATGTCTCATCCCTTCGCCTGTACCGATGTATCATCCCTGCGCCAGTACCGATGAATCATCCCTGCGCCAGTACAGATGAATCATCCTTTCGCCTGTACAGATGTGTCATCACTTCCCCAGTACCGATAAATCATCCTTTCGCCAGTACCGATGAATCATCCCTTCGCCAGTACCGATGAATCATCCCTGCGCCAGTACCGATGAATCATCCCTGCGCCAGTACCGATGCATCATCCCTGCGCCAGTACAGATGAATCATCCCTTCGCCAGTACTGATGAATCATCCTTTCGCCAGTACCGATGAATCATCCCTTCGCCAATACCGATGCATCATCCCTGCGCCAGTACAGATGAATCATTCCTTCGCCAGTACCGATGAATCATCCCTGCGCCAGTACAGATGTGTCATCACTTCCCCAGTACCGATGTATAATCCCTTCGCCAATACCGATGCATCATCCCTGCGCAAGTATTTGTAAAGCATCCCTACGCCAGTACCTATGAACAACTCTGGACCACTTCTGGTGTACCATAAAACCAGGACTTGGTCTACAAAAAAGATGATTTCCCATATTTGTATCAAAAATTCCCTTTATAGGCGTCATAATTTAAAAAAGGGTAAAATTGCTGATCAATTTTCCAACATCTTAAGTTAAGTGTCATGATATATATATATGGAGGTGAACGAAGATAGAACGAAAACTATTGAAAACAAAGTGAAAAAGATGGCAGATGATATGTGCAAGAAAGGATCAATTTCAAAAGATTTAAAAGGATATTTGACGTCGTCTGGTGGTACATCGGGTAAACTGCAAGGTAATCCGAAACTGCATAAAACAGGGGTGCCATTGAGAACAATAGTAAATGGGAGAAATCATCCTACGGAGAAAATGGCAGAAATAGTAAAAATGGAGCTACGCGCCCATGTGACATCACTTCCTTCACATATTAAAGACACCACTGATTTCTTAAGAAAATTAGAGAATATTAAACAACCACTTCCGGCAGGAACAATTCTTTTCTGTTTAGACGTGAAAGCTCTGTACCCGAGTGTCCCACGGGCAGAGGCACGAGATGCGGTTGCACGTGCATTAAATCAACGTGCTAACCCTAACATACCCACAGAAGATGTTCTTAATATGATGGACACTGTCCTTGAAAATAACACTATTTCATTTGATGGAAGAAAATTTACGCAGACAGAAGGAAAAGCGATTGGCTCACGATTAGGGATGAATTACGCATCTACATATCTAGCATCATGGGAATCACAGCTGATGACGATAACAGATAAACTTCCGCTTGAGTATTTCCGGTATGTTGATGACGTTTGGGGCCTTTGGACTCACGGTATCGAGTCGTTAAAGCATTCCATGAGCTTGGGAATAACCTTCATCCAAGAATAAAATTAGAATTAAGATATTCAGCTGAAAAACTTGAGTTTCTCGACGTAATGACGAAGATTCAGAATGGCATTTTAATAACAGACCTATACACTAAACCCACAGATAAACACCTGTACTTGCATAAAAATTCGTCTCATCCGGAATCGACAAAAAAATCAATACCATATGGACTTGCCCTCCGTACAATACTACAGAATATGTACTAATGAATCGACTTACAAACAACATAGAGAAAATATTAAAACTCAGTTACAGAAACGAGGCTATGAAGATCGACATATTGAAACAGAATTAAATAAAGTAGATAGTAAGAAAAGAAGTGACCTATTACAGTATAATGAAGATAAAGAAAACACTGAAAGAATCCCCTTGGTACTGACATTTTCCAGAGCGCTCCCGAATGTAGGACAAATAGTACGAAAACACCTACCTGAATTACACACCTCAGATAGAATGAAGGAAATATTCCCGAATCCACCAATTGCAGCATTTAGAAGAGATAATAATCTACAAGACATTCTCGTTCATAAGAAACACAATAAACTATTTTTTAAACAGCCGAATTCCTGTGCTCCTTGCAGATCCAAAAAATGTGCGATTTGTCCGTACGTTATTGAAGCAGACACATTCATTGGTGTGAACGGGGCCTCGTATAAGGTTCGAAATCAGATCACGTGCAAATCTACGAATGTTGTGTATGCAGTTTATTGTAAGCGTTGCGAACGTTATATTTATGTTGGAGAAACAGGGGATACGTTGTACCAAAGACACCTTCTAAATTTATCCAGAATACGAACCAAGTACAACGATCCGTTAGCGGCGCATTTTTACACGAATGACCACACAGTTAAAGATTTTTCGATAATGGGGCTGGAAAAGCTATACGGGAATGACCAATACAGAAAAACAATAGAAAATTTGTGGAAAAATAAATTAAGAACCTATAGACCGTATGGAGTTAATACAAAAGAATAACGCGGCAGACGGCAACCAACGCCACGGCGGGCGTCGTTCATTGACGTTACGTCACTTCCATTGTTTTGTTTGATATATTTGTATGTGAAATAAATGCTGCTGAAGAAGGCCGCAAGGCCGAAAGCTACGGCAAATTTAAATAGCGTTTTTGCTTATATACGGCAAGTTAGAGATTTTACTTATATATATATCAAGAATTTCAGCCATACATATTGCTAGTTTTTATTGTCTCTGATAATAACATTATTCTATTCCCTTTAAGCTAATGCCCATGTAAGCACAACGACCGGGCCAAGAACGACAACTCATCAACCTAAAATCGTTATTAACGCCCCTGATCAAGCTGTTTACCAGAGTACGGTACAGTTGTCGTGTGTGACAATACCGCCAGCTGAAAAATATTCCTGGACATTCAATGGGGTAAGCTGTATAAAAGGATTATAATTGATTAGTTATCGCACGTGTAATTTCTTAATTTCTCGATTTGAACGTTCATTATATATGTTAAAGGCCTATTATGTCTCATTAATAATAACAATTTTATGTCTCAAAAACGTTTTATTTTTAGTATCTTGTTACAGTTTTAAACAAAACTAAATTCATTTGCCATTCACATGAAATATATTTTTTTGCTCTGTTGGCGATTGATGCAAATAAAGTGAATAAGTATTTTGTATAGAAGTCAAACTATACTAATTTGTTTATATTCACACATTACTGCACATTTAGCGTACCTTTTTTCAGTCATAAAACATCTACTGTGCTCCTTATCTATTATTGGAACATTACTTAACACATGTTTGACATTTCTAAAGAATAAAAAGAAATATGTGTATTTTTAAGAATTCTGATTAAAAAAAATGTGGATTTAAAGCTGCATGCCTCCAGATGACCCAAAATATTTCAAGAAAATTAAGCTTGGAAATACCATACAAAAACTTTGAGAAAAGTGATCAAATTAAAGATTCAAGTGATAATTTATATCTTATGTGCAATTAATAACTGTAATTTGACGTATTTATCACCATATTTCTACTGCGTTACTAACGCAATAGGGACTATTTATGCATATTTTGACCTCTTTTTGGTAATTTACGGGGATTTTATGAGCCGATTGTAATGTGTCAACTATTTTCTTTGTTCATTTCACAATATTTACCTTTAAATACTTTTTCAAAATTTTCATGAAAAATAAGACGAATCTGGAGGCGTGCTGCTTTAGCTCACTACAGTGTTGGAGCAGTACCTATAGACGCTTGCAGAAATCATGATCACAAAGTAGAAAATATCGCTCTTTACGCCGATTCTTATATTTTTCATTCATTATCGTATAAAAATCAATGTGAAAGTGAAGAATTAGACGTTATAAAGTTCATTTCGTGAAATGGCAAGAGTTTAGCATTTCATCATTTAAGCGCCTCGTCCGGTATATAACGGAATACTGTATTTAGTGTGTGCAATCTTACTCCAAATTTGTTTCGCATTGTAACACCTCCTTTTTTTATTTTAGTGGAATTAATTGTACTGGCGTGGTGTGGTTGAAAAGTGGGGCTTCATGGGTCCCATGTTGTGGTTACACCATGTCGCTGCATCACTTCATTTGCATTTTGGTCAAGAACTTTCATTGTGCGGTTGCATTATGTTTCATTCTAGTCACTCATTTGTAATGTCATTCATAAGTATCTAGTCTTATTTTGTATTTATCATGCAAATTATTTTGTCTCAAGCTTTATTTACACATTTGTATTATATTTTTGTTAATGCTCATTTGTATGTGAATTTTTAGTGTTTATAAAACTGATGCCCATATGGGCCTAGTGAAAATAAAAACTTGAAACTTGAAAACATATTCATATTTATCTTTCAGACAACGACACTTCCTTCCTCTGTGACAACAGTACAGTATACCCCTACCACAGATGCACGTGCCGGAACTGACGTTTTAACAATTTTGAAAATTGATTTGACATCATTTGGTTCATATACATGTACCGGAACCATTCATGGCATCTTGGTTTCTGCCTCCCATTTTATTCACATAATGCCAGGTACCAGACATAGATTTATACATGTATATAAATGCATTCTCTTAAACAATTAAGATGTATTCAGTTGAGTGTTCAAGTTTTCTGAATATTTTTGCCATGAAAAGGTATCTTAATGGAAAATGGGCATAAATTACATTTTTAAGTAGATTTAACTTATTTAATATAAGAATCGCGCTGTAGATATAAAAACAGCTTAAACAACATGTCTCCGATTGCATACATTATTTTCATGAATATTTTGAAAATGAATTTAAAAGTAAAATGAGCCGCGTCACGACGAAACCAACATAATGCGTTTGGGACCAGCATCAGTTTCTGTACTTGAAATATGGTTTGTAAACGAACAGCATGGATCCTGATCAGACTGCGCGGATGCGCAGACTAGTCGGGATCCATGCTGGTCGCAAACGCACTATGTTGATTTTGTCGTGACGCTGCTCCAATATTGTGAAGAAACAAAGAAATTAATTCACACATTCGAAAAGGCACTAACATTCTACGCCAGTCAGCAAAAAGAGGTCAAAGTATGCAAAAATAGCCCTTACTGCGTTAGTCACGGAGTAGAAATACATGAAATATGGCGATAAATACTACATGTCGGCCATTAACTACACAAAGCGTGAAAATAATGACTTAAATCGTGAATCAATATTACTTTCTTAAAATTTCAGTATTTTTTTCCCTAAAATTCAATGTACTCTAAAAAGTTTTGCCTCATCTGGAAGCATGCAACTTCAAGTATTCTTAAAGATCCTGTACGTTGTAATTAACGTTGTTACCACACTGAAGTGGAATTTATGTATATATGTATAAAGTTATGCTTCTAAAACAATTTTCAAATATCGAAGAATATGTAAAATATATACTGCAAATATTTGTCCACATTAAATGTAATCATTGAAATACATGCATTTATTTCTTATTGAAAAAATTGATTAAGACTTTATTGAAAAAAAATCTAATTACCTCCCTTTGTCAACATGAAGGTGACATTTGGAAATATCTTTACAAATAATGTTTTTTGGAACTTACAATATTGATAAATATTCATTTGAGCATTATATGTACAAAAAATGTATAATATTAAACCATAAAAATGTGAGTTACAGGATCTTTTATTAATCTAATTACGAACTAACGATGTTGACACTCAACTTAACCATATAATATTATCATATTTCAAGGTTAATATCGTTGAACTGACTAACATCTTTTTGTCAAATATTTTTGACTTGAAAAGCACAATTTTAATGTAAGATTTTTGTTTTTTGAGTATGTTTAATATGTGTTCATTCATATTGTTTATATTTCAGAAACAGTACCTGTCGGGCTTATAGGATGAACTGCTTCAGAAAAGAATTGAAATGAATAAACTGCATTAAAACTACTTTAAAAAAAGTTTTGTTCATATATTTTGTAGCATGATTGCGTGTAGATTAATAGTCACCAGTGAGTATTTACAAAATTAAATTGAACAATTAAAACCGTTTATCCCACAATACAATACATCCGTATATTTACATACTTGATATTGATAATGGCCGTGATGTTCCGATTGGGAAGGTTCTTGTCTTGCTTCTTATTACAACACTATGAGGCAAAATTAGTCGGTTAGATGAAAACAGATTTCTGATTTACTCGTACAACGTAAGTTTATTAAGAAAAAATAGAGTATTATGCTCATTATCAGTAATATGATGTTCTACAAACGTCGTTACACTTGATATTAATCAAGCATCAGACACAAAACGTGTTTCTTACTAAAGACGTATAAACGGTTCCTTCATGTATAGTTGTCGAGACCATAGAAACTAGCCAGTCCTGGCGTCAAAAGGGCTCAAACCGATGCTAACTTAGTTGAGAGACAAGCATCTCTGCTGTGTTTGGCGGCGTTAAACCAGAGGCGCGGAATTTAAGCAACAAACAGTAGTCAACGTATTGAGCCATTGGCTATAGCTCAATGATTGTAGAAATAGACAAATGAAAGAACACAACTGTCAGGTTGTTTTATTTTTTTTTATTTTATAAGCACTTTCGCTATATGTTGTTTAACAAATTTATACGAAATTTTTCATCTCGTTGATCAAAAATTGTAAATGATTTTGCTGTAAAGAAAAACGAAAATATTTTTATGACAAAATTAAAACTAATTCAGGTATAAACCATAATTATCAAACATCAGTTTAACATGCATGTACCTTTTACAGACCTATTCCCATAACTAAAGTAGCAATTAAAGTTATTAATTAAGAAATTTAGTTTGGCGATAGATGGTCGAGTCTTGCGATGTAACATTAATTTAAAAAAAAATATTTGTTTCTACTTTCTTCAAGAAAATCTGTTGCATTTTGGCTTCTACACTTTTATTGTCTTATTTGGTTTTTAAGGAATCATTTTGCAGTTTAATATTTCAAAGAATTATTTGGTTTTAGAGAGTACGCTACATATCTAGGTAGAAAATGAGGTTGCTCAACAGTGGACTGACTCGAACTTGACACGGAGTTTGTCTTAGTGACAGACGCGGAGGAGAAAATGTCGTCATAAATCAGCTTTCTCCGCCGTTGTTGTCTCTTTGTTATAACGAAGAAACAGCAAAATCCAGTAACAGCACAGACTATCAGGAACAGTAAACTGAAAGTAAAAACGTCATGAGTTTCAAAGTATTACAACATTACATGTAGATTGAATTGTAAGAGCTTATTGTCAAACCTATGCATATTACAAAGTGAGAATGAATACGCGCTAAAACTAAAAACAAATTATAGAACTTCAAAAAGTGTATATGATAAAGTACACTAGTCAGGTTCAAGTGATTATAAATCAAAGTTAGTAAGAAAGGAAAGAAAAGGTGAAATATAAAGTATGGGAGATCAATTTTAAAATATTAAGTGTATAAGACGAAGTTTTTTTGTAAAAGTCGAATTTTCCGCATGTCGAAAAGTTAGCGAATTTAAAATTCTAGACATTTCGCGAGAGAACGAATTGTGGAATGACAGGTCGGTTAATATTTACGCTACAAAAGAGGAAATATTAACGATTTTCGTCATTTCGAGATCTCCGTCAATATTTTCGCGTCGCTAACTTAACCACTTATACAGTAATTATTTTTTATATATACATGTATATTCTTTTAATGCGTTTATTTAAGGTCGCCGCCGGAAAGCCCATATGGGCGACCGTACACTCAAGTCGGGTCATCCTAGAGCGTCCCGCCGAGATTTTTCGTCGACTTTTTTTCCAGCTTTATTGGTGGAGGAAGACCCCTGGTGCCCCTCCGGGCATTATTTCAGGCACGAGCGGGCACCTGGGTAGAACCACCGACCATCCGTTAGCCAGCTGAATGGCTTCCTCACATTAAAGATTTCGACCCGAGAGAGGATCGAACCTACAGCGGTGAGGGACCTGTGTTTTCAATGTTTACGTATACTGCCAATAACGAAATATTTATACCTCAACAGTATACCCCAGAATTCCTGTTTATTCAAGCATATATCACTGGTTCCCGGTTCTACAGGTAACAAACCAACACCATTAGTCCCTTGTTCTATCTGTGTACTTTTATGATCTCCTGGTAATGTATAAAAGTAATATACAACATAAAATAATGACCAGCCATGTAAATCTGATTTATATGATAAACAGTAAAACAACCACAATACTAATAATAATAAAAATAAAAATAATAATGATAATAATAGTAATAATAATAATAATAATAATAATAATAATAATAATAATAATAATGATGATGATGATGATGATGATGATGATGATGATGATGATAAAAATGATTATAACAATGATAATAATAATAATAATAATAGTAATATTGATAATAATAATGATAATTAAAATAATAATAATAATATCCACTGAAAGATCATCATGAATTATGTACAAATTGAAACATCATTGTACGAGTATACAGCTGCAAAAATCACTATCATGTATATAGCGCCTAGTCCAATATAGTCGCATATAGTCCAATATAGGTTTGACATTTGGAGCGGTGTGATATGTAATTATGGTCCTCGCTCATGCGGTCGGTACTGGCAACGCGTGCAATATTGTTTTTTTTATATAATTAAACTTGTAATTGAACCCAAAATTTAATTGAACCCAATATTTACCATCTTTATTATTTAAAAGACAAGAATTGTTTACCTATCTGCATTTTGAAACCTTCATACAGCCATATCTGGGTGTTATTGGCAACTTGCCCGCTCGAGTCCGCTTCATCTGCACGTTTCTTTCGCGCGCCTCCGCACGTGGGCTATAGTATTGGTTTTAACATATTAAATTTTATTTAAGCTCGATTGAATAAAAAAGATCTTGAAACTTTTATTAATTACTTTCGAGCCCGCTTCCTGGAAGAACAAGGACTGGTATCATATGAAGAAACATGGTCGTGACCCGAGTAGGGCTCAAATCCATGATCTCTGGGTTGAGAGGCAGACATGGCCACCGCTCCCTTGAATTATAAAGTAGTCCCATGCTTATTGTTATAAGAATCTTGAACCCAAAGCAGCAATAAATGCAAATGAACTAGTATAAAGTTAAAGAAAAAATATAATTACTGAAATATTGAACGGAATCTTGTCTGCATGACATTACGTAACATCATACAAAAGAAACGATACATACAAATCTAATTTCAAATCAAACAAGGATACAATTTAATCCATTGAAAACAAAAAAAAAACTTTTGACTTAGAACATTAATACGTTATAATAGAAAACATGTTTATATTGTACGCTTGAGTCTACTAAATTTCAACAAAAAGTTTGCCAATTTAAATACATTGTAAATGGTTTCATAAGCAGGGAAATAACTCGAAATAACACGATTAAAAGAAAATTTTCATAAATTTAAATCCATGTGCAAAGAAATCAAAAACTCAATAGTTTGGCACTCATTTGAAATGTCGCAAAACTAATTTGAGTCACCTCTGCCCTCTCATTGGTAGTCTTACGTAGCCTCGAAATATTTTATACCCTATAAAATTATTCCCCCTGACTATGTGTTACTTGTAATCAACCATGTATTTTCGGTTAAAAAAAAACATAGCTACAATATCTTACCACAGTGCAATCGTTGCTTCCACTAAAACAAATTGCGACTTTACAGCCAATTACGAGGTCAAGATCAACTAGTGCTAACGCTTTTGTTATTGTAATTGGGATAAACGCCGTAAATGACGTCACGGCATACGGCACTTCAAACACGTTTCCACCGGAACTTGTTATCGTCATCGTGGAATGTACAAAGTCAGGGAATATTGAATATTCAGAGCAACTGTGAGAGAAATATCAAAGTCATGGTAATATTAATTCCATGTTCATAATCTATTTATCATGAAAGTATTTGATTGAAAGCTTCGAATTGATAACAATTTATAGCAACAAGGTAGTCATATAAAATCTTATTAAATGCTTAAGGGTCATTATATTTCAAACAGGCTTAATGTAGTTGGATCTTATAAAAGATTGTCTGCGGTTGGGTTGTGAAATATGGGTGGGTGTTTGTAGTTTACACACTGAATGGATGTCAAATCTAATTTTGACTGGGCGTAGATTATCTGAAAGTAATTTCACTTTTTCGATGTCGAATAATATAGAAGACTCACTTTGATTGGATGTTAAATATTATAAAATACTCATTTTGATTGGATGAAAATATTTAAAAATTATTAAAGACTAACTATGCTTGGATATCAAATATAGATTTAATTGGGTGTAAATAATCAAAGACAATACACTGTTTCGATGTCGGATATTATGAAAGACTCACTTTGATTGGATGTTTAATATATTAAAGCGCCCACTTTGATTGGATGTTATATATTATAAAACACTGACTTTGATTGGCTGAAAATATTTAAAAGACTTACTGTGATTGGATATCCAAAAGCTGAAGCATTGAAACACTCATGCCTGTTTGTTGATCCTTTGCTTCAAAGAAACATTCGTCTACACGCAGTTCATAATTGGCTGAAATTTTTAATAAAAATTAGCGAATTCATGATTCATAATGGCACATCGTTATGTTTGTATTATTTCTAAATATGTAAAAAACATCGTACCGCTCTTTACAGTGTAGACTTCACCATGAAATTGTGTCCTATTTTGCAATAAATACGTAAAGTGTAATTTAAAAGATGTCACTTTTTTTTTCTTATAAAGCACTTCCAAGGCAAAGATAATTAAAAATTATTACAAAGTAACTGCTTGGCATATCAAAATGATTTAATTTGAATATCAAAACAATAACTGTTTCGACGCCGATTTTCCACTTTTTTTGAATATATAAGACGCCCAAATTGTGTGTTATTATTATAAAACACTGATTTGATTCTATATTTAACAAGGACTACATGATTGATATCCAAAAGTGACGAAACCACCTTAAATTGTTTACGCGCTGTCATAAGTTACGCAAACAAGATTCAGAGGCAAAATTTTTAAAAATTAAATTCATGATAAGGCCATCGTTATTTTTTATTTTCTGTTAAATTCTAAAATAATATATCCAAATCGATGACTTTTAATTGTTGAAAATTTTCCCATTTTGTCGGTCATGCGCATCATTAAATAATCACGGATACGCCCTCTTCACAAAGAAGGTATTTGAATAGTATTCGGATAATTGTTTCCAATTCAGATACAAAATTAATAATGAATAAACAATACCGAGAAATGGCCTTTTTTGCTTAAATATTGTCAATCCTAACACAACTGTGCGTATGGCAGTCGAATCATAGTTTATTATAAACAAGAATAGAAAGCATCTTCATGTTCGATTATATAATTATATTATTCCTCGCTCATTTATGTGAGACGACAAAAAATAAATAAATAAATAGATAAATAAACAAAATAAATAAATAAATAAGAAAGCCAGATAAAAGTGGTAAGTAACAAATAACTTACGGACTTGTGGAGATAAGTCAAAACGCAGTGTCAGTTGGTCTCCCATAGTTACTGTGTTAGAATACGTTACTGGGTCACAAGTTCCATTTAAAGTGCTCCTACATAGTGAAATATCAGCATATGAATCTGTATTGAACCGTTTCTCGGTACCACTTTTATCAGCCGTCCTACAAGACAAGATATTTACTTATTTAGTGTGTTTATATAAGTTAAAGTATATATGTAAAAAGAGGATAGTGGATTAGGTTATACGTTCAACACTAAACCTTTTGAACGAGTTGAGAGGCTTGCATAATATAACCTTATTCATTCAGTTATGAAACTACACGAATATTACTATTATAGATTATATGACCCTATACATGTAAAAACGGCTGTTTGGTAATATAACCCGAGCCGCTGTCAGAAATATTTACAACAAGAATATTTTTTAGAGAAAAAAGTGACAGATGCCGAATGTATAAAACAATATGAACGTCCCTATTATCCTATGTAAAGAGACGTTAAAAACGCACAGTGCGTTACAAACGTGCAGCTTTATAAAAAAATCAAACATGTATTTATATAAATCACATTTCCAAATTCAAAATAACGGCGGATTTTTTTTTCTAGAATTACACTAGCGTTTAACGCAACATACACTCTGTTTACAAAAAATCGAGCACATGACGTCAAGGTCAAAATACATTGCGTGGATGGTACGTTGCACTTTCCAGTACCCGTCCATGAGACAACTTCGACGGAGTGGTCCACATTTGCTTCGCTACAATCAAATTACTGTGCGGAGTTTGGTCCATGAGCAGGCTCATTCAAACCAAGTATGCAATATTTGCAACTGCTGTTTTGGACGTTCCTAAGGGATTCTATTTCTCTATAATTCATCCCCGCATAATTGACATTAAAGTCGTAGAACAGCTTCACAGGATATAAGATTAAATGAAAAAAGACAAACATACAATAATGCTTACACTGACTCCACTTGTATATCGGCGGTGTGTGTAGATTCCTGAAATGTGCATCGAACGTGGAACCGAGGATCTGAGTTAACATTAACGAACTGGTACTGTGTAACAACAACGTAGAAATCGATCGTGTTCTGGAATAAAGGAAAGCACAATTTTGTCTTAGTACTATAACTTTAGCTAACAAAAATAGACAAACTTTTCCTGGTGAAGAGTACAGAAAACATAAACAGTTTAATTATGCTAGTCTTAACTGTAATGCTTTCCTGTCAAAGAATTCTAGGATCGGCCAATATCGGTATATATCGGTTATTTCCGGAGCGTTAATTAATTTTCCAAATCTTGAGCATTAGATTATTTACAATCACTCATCCTTTATCGCTATATACTTAATTCTAGTGATAAACGGTTAAATATTATTGAATACTGAAGACTGTAAAAGAAATAACATTCCGGAAATGGCCGATTTATTACGATATTGGCCGATATTAGACATTTTGGGCGGGAAAGCATTACAGTAAGTCTACCTTAAGGTTTATAGTTGTATATCATTTGTTGTGGTATGAGATATATGTTATTTACAAAAAAGTAAAAAAAAACTTAACAAAAACGAATTATTTAGTTATTTCTCTGTCATGTTTTGTATGCACTACATGGAGCACGTGAATGTCACGTGGTGTCAATAACATTTTTGAAAAAAGTAATATAACATCATACCGACGATGCAAGAAAACCATACGTCACACCACATGTTTCAAAGGTGAGCTGGAAAACGTCTGCTGTATTTCCTGCTAGAGTATGATGACAGCTGTCAAAGTTTTGTGTCGTTCCCTCGATATAAACCGTGCCGCCAACGTACCCGTTTATTACCGTAAATTGTGTCTCTAGTGTTGTACAGGCGCTGACCGTCAAATCTATGGGTACAGAAATAAAGGTTAGGTACCAAAATAAAATATTTCAGTTAAAGGGTGGTTAATATGCACTATTAACCTGAGAGACACGTGTTATTTTTTTATACCGAACCAATATATTAATGTATGTGTAGTTAATGTTTTATGAGGATCCATCCGCCCGCAAGGGCACAAAAAGCAGCTCTCGCTGTCGAGTACGGACCCCACCAACATATTGATATTGTAAAACATTTTAATATACGCGAGCAGTGTGGCCAGGGGAAAGACTAGAACATTACGTTTTCTTAAGTCTATAAGTCGATAATTCGTGCATTATTTCAGGCACGAATAGGAACACGAATAGAACCACTGACATTCCGTTTAAAAAATTTTATGACATATACAGTTAAATCATAATGAATGTGTACTGCTTGTAAGGTAACTAGGTCTTGTTGTTTTATTATTCTATTTATATTAGCATGTGCTGATACAAAACCTATTTAGCTTTGTGGTTCATATTTTTTTTTTGTTCGAGCAGAAAGATATGTTTATCATTTTGCACTCAGATTGCAATATAACCCTGGCCTAGCGGTTCGGGTAATATATGGAAACAACCATTTACATAGGGCCATATAACCTTTAAGAAAATCTTAATAACCACTATCGTAAAGGTAGGAAACTTTATATATGTACATATAATGTATAATGATAAAGTTTGAAGACTTACTAGCTGTCTGGCACCGGACATTGACCACCATTAGTAACATACCCGGGAGTAACAAAACCGGAAGTAGCGTTCCTTGAAACTTTGACATCGTAATACAAAGGCAGTATACTCTAAAAATATTTAAATTTATTACTATGTTGAAAACAAAACTTTTCTTATGAAATTAATCAAAGATTTTGAATGAGTATAGAATTAAACGAGTTGAATAAGATATTATGCGAGTCTCTGGCGAGCATAATACAAATTGATTGTTTTATTCAACGAATTCAATAAATTTAGTAATGAAGCTCTATACATATAGGTTTCTTTTTTTTCAAATATCCAAACTCAAACTGTTAACAGAAACAACAATAATCTTTTTTTTTTTTCATTGACGCACTTATAGTTTAACGCAACCATTTAGGGCGTCTTTACGCATTGTCTATATAGCGCAAATGACGTCACGTCAAAATATTTGCCCGACCATTCAATTCCGTTTTTACGGAGTCCCAAAAAAGGCACGGGTATGTGATGAATATATACTAAATGACAATAATAAGAGTAAAAACCTATATTGATAATGATGATGTAGCGTTGAAAATATGAAGCAATATCTTGAAAATTAGTATAGAAAAGAATACAGTTTCATCCAATAAAATCGACCCAATTCATCATAATAGACAAGTTATGTTTTTTTTTTCCAAAAGGAAATTTCATTGGGTAATAATTTAAAATACAAATAAAAATGTCAAGAAGTAAATCATTTTGGCATTTATTTAAGAAGAAGAAATGGATAGAATAAATCACTAAAATGTAATGACACTCATTAAGGCAGTTTCAGGCATATAAATATATTTTCCTTTCAAAAAATATTGATGAAATTAGTTCGTTATTAAAGCATAATCTCTCATGTGCAATATGGCAAATATTGCCAAAAACTAGCAGTTTGTAAAATTACCAAAAGAGGAGATATATTGGGAAGTTCGCTTAAATCTTGAACTGAATTTAATTAGTAAAACAAAACAAAACTAAAAGATATTAATGTACAAGAAAATATACGGGCACTGGTGGACGAGTGGCTTCGAATCACGTGCCCTAACCGCTGTGGGTTCGAATCCCGACAACGACTTTTGATTCTTTCATGTGCGAAAGCCACCCAGCTAGCTTACGGAACGTCGGTGGTTCTACTCAGATGACATTTTCGTGCCTGAAATAATGCTCGGAGTGGCACATGAGGTCTTCCTCCACCATAAAAGCTTGAACGTCGTCATATAACCTATACTCTGTCGGTGTGACGTAAAACCCAACAAACAAACAAATATATAAAAATATCAAGTTGAAGTGTAACTTACCTCTTGAGGATAATCTGAAGCCGTCTTGACTGTTAATATGACTCTTACTGGGTATTTATATACCTGCAGAGATAGGTATACCCGCGCTAATGTGGAAAAATAACCCTTTGTTCATTATTCATTATAAGTGCGAACATGACTTTACATTACAAGTTTGTACCCAAATCGGAAATGATAATATACCGGGACTACAGCTGTACCAACAGTTTCAAACTATTATTGAAATATTTGAATTCAATAGAATTAATTTTATACAGGATTCTATTCAATTTACAATTTACAATTTTTTTTCTTAAACGATATGACAATGGGAAATGATTTGTGACGAAATATGTTCTTTTTCTCCCATAATTGAAACAACAAACGTGAACGGAAATGACAGTCAGTGAGACCCTATATAACGTGTAATATGAACTGAGTCTTACTAATGATGTAAGATATTTTTCTTTTACGGACAACGAGACACCATGACATTGAATATGATTACATCTAACTTTTTTGCTTAGTGGTCTCGTGGGCCCTATGACATGGAATAAAATGGCATAAAATGAGTTGTATGATATATTTTATACTTTTCGGTCAATAAAGAGCCACTCCTTTCAAATTAAATTAAGTAACATAGTTATTAAGATATTGTTTCTTTACGGTCAGTGGTGCCTTTTATATTTTATCATATAACAATAACTAATTGTAAGATATATTTAACGTTCGAATAAGTTCTTGGACTGCGGCCGGCTCTACTGTTCACAGTACATGTATATGATTTTACAAGAGACAAATATTGAACATGTCTTTGAATCAATTAAATATGATTACAAATAACAATCCTGTATTTCATTAAATGATGAGATACTTTTACTTTAACATCAGCAAGGCCTAGTGACATTTAATAAAAAAACAGAAAAGAATGGAAGTTTTATTTCGTAATATCACAGTCAATGTGTATATGTATGGCTATAAATTAAATATTATTATGACTATTACACACAACACGATTAAAGACCTGTCACTCATAAAAAATAACTATCAATTTGAAAATCATTTTCGTGCATTTTCATCCATTCATCTTTAATGTATTTTAAACTGTTTTAAATGTGTGCGGAAACATTATGGAATTTTATTTTAACATAAACACATAATGGTAAATTAACCACAAATATTCAATCTTCCATGTTTAAAGTGCAGTTGATTGATTCAAGATAGCGATCAGTACATTTGTATTTGGTATGATTTAATTTGAAAATTTGTGACACGTATTTTGGTGTAATGATTATGATGCACTTTTAACAAAAAGGGATCCTTGGTGTAAACATATTTTATTCGTCACATAAGTATATTTACATACATGATATTTACAATCAAAACAAGAAAAGGATTAGACTGCAAGCAACCTAATGCTTATTGAAGTCTTTTCCGTATGTATGATAAATATATGTGCAAAATAAGGCGACAGAAATTGTCGTTTGTTGACTAAGAAGGCTGATGTGTTACAACTTGCGTCGAAAAATGAATAAATAAATATAAGATATATCAATTATTTAAAGAAAAGCAAAATAAGACTAATAATGATAATAGTTTGATAAGTTCAGATAGAAAGAAAAATGAGATAGAAAAAAGAAGAAAAAACAACAGAAAAAATGACCTGTGATTTAACCCTTAATGATATTTGAAAATTGTTTGAGAGTCAAAGCGATTCGATGTTTAGATATATTTATGAACTTCATGATCCTTGTTTTGTTTATGTAACATTCGGTAATATATAGTTGTCGACATCTTAAAGTCAATATTTATAGTAGGGATGGTTTTTATACTACCTCAGACAGTATTAAATATAATAAAATTATACAGTTAAAACTAGAGTGTAAAGTATGAAAAGTATAGCATTTACATAAGCATTAAGTTAGGTGAGAAGTTTTATACAATATTTAAGGGTATTTCGCCATGTGTTTAACAAACATATATTTTTATAATGACATTACCGTAAGATGACAAATACATTATATAATTACCTGTTCATCGACATAATTATGCTGACTTACTAAACGCTATAAACAGAGAATATTAATATACTAGAACGAATAACCGTTAACTGAAATTGGTGTTAAGGTGAAAGTCTACTCGAACCTTTATGTATGAATATCAGCTTTGTCTGTAAATAATAGTTATGACGCTAATTAAAAAACATAAACGATTTATTAAACAGCTTAAAAGAAGAGACGTACGTCTTTTTCTTCGATTTTGAAAACATATATATATATTTATTACCCCTCACTTTTTTCGTAATGTTAATTTCCCATAGGCCTCTGGGAGTTATTCTTACTGTTAATGCAAGTGTACCGAGTGACTAAGAATTTTGTACTCTTACTTAGGTAACAGTATTTTTAACAGTTTAAAATCTGGTCACGTGGTCTATTTTCTAAATAAAATGAAATAAAATGGCCGCCATTTTTTTTCTCGATTCATTCTTATTTTCGACGATAGGGCATCGCCGAAGTAACTATTACTGAAGAGACTTCAGCGAACATCAAAATAAAAGTGACATAAAAAGTTAAGGAAGCCAGTTCTCTCAGTTTAACAAAGAGGAATATGAGTATATATGAAGATACATGTAAACAGATAGAATGAAGTCCCTATGTCTATGCACATTTACTATATGGTCTGTTGACCTTGACCAAAAAAATATTAGATAGGTAGAATTCATATAGATGTCTCTTGATACGAAGTTAAGTTGTAATATGTTATTTAGTATTGGAATGAGTGGCAGACACAAGTCCTAAAGTAAACACAAGTTGTCAATCAATTCAGCCAGAAAAGCCGGGATCGTATTAAAAAAATATAGGGATCCCGGAAATTGGCCAGTCTAAGAAGATGTTTTTCAGATAAGCCGGGATCGTATTAAAACATATAAGGATCCCAGGAATTGACCAGTTCAAGAATATAATTTTTAGAAAAGCCGGGACCGTATTAAAATATATAGAGATCCCAGGAATTGGCCAGTTCAAGAATATAGTTTTCAGAAAAGCTGGGATCGTATTAAAACATATAGGGATCCCGGGATTTGACCAATTCAAGAATATAGTCTTTGATTTTTCCAATTAATTAGGCATATAATTATAAGTATTGTGATTTCCGAATTTTAAGTTTGTTAATAAATAGCTCTAAATATATCATTCTATATCCTTAGTTAAATTAATTTAACGTTCATTACATACAATAAAAAAATAAAAACTTAACGTTTAATGGCCTTTCATTACGACAATAATCAACACAAATATAGTTGATAAGTTTTTCCTCTATATCTAATACGATCCCGGATCCCGGGATCCCCCCCCCCCCACACACACACCAGTAAATACATACACTAAATACCGGAAAGGATAAAATGACCGGGAAAAAAAGAAAAAGAAAAAAATCAACAGAACCAGATGTACACTTATGTTAATTCACCAAACGAAAACTTACTACAGAGAAAACAGGTGAATTCGCTAAATCAAAAGTCAGTGTTAATATGATTTATTGAAAAGAATTCATGAAAACAAACATTTTAATCATCATTATATCTTTGCGCTCAAAGCAATACTTGCTGCTTTTAAAAATGGCGTGAAAATTGAAGGTTTTTTGACGCTATGTAAGATTAAATTTGATTGGCTAAATAATTTTGGATTCCAGCCCTGACAGATAAATTTTGTAGAAAGCTGGAAGCCAAGCTTCGATTAAATTTTTGGATGGATTCGGAGTTTTAGGTCGTTTCTCAGTAAAATCCTAACGTAATATCGACTCGTGTAGCGCCGATATATGTCCAAACGTCGAAAAATGTCCAAACGACGATAAATGTCCAAAAATTGACGATAAATGTCTCAATCGCCGATAAATGTCCAAAACTCCTTTAACGATAAATATCCAAAAATTAACTAAAAATGTCGCAACAAATTAGGTGCTCATAAATGTCCAAATCGGTTCACGATAAATGTCTCAACTTTTCATATGTTAATTGCACTTGTTTCTATGATCAACAGTAATGCATCAGCCAGTTATAAAGGTTTCCATAGGGATTAAAAGTATCGATTTAAGTAGCGTTCTCACATGCATCCCGGCAAAGCCCAGGACCACCCCAGACGATCCGGGATGAATATATTGTTGCAGTCACAATAACCCCGGTAGCACTACGGCGGTACCCAATTTCCATACTTATAACAACCAGGATGAACTCCGGGCCATCCATGCAGAGTCCAGTTGAAACTACGGATAATGCAGATAGTAAGTGGACGACGGATGACCTAACACGATATTCAAACGCTGTTAAGTCTTCGATCAATGAGATCATAAAAGCTGAGATCCATGCTAGCACAGCCCCGGATGATGTCGGCAGAGTCCCGGATGATCCCGGCAGAGCCCCGGTACGGTCAGATAGAGTGCCGACAATCACCGGAAGAGCCCCGGCGTGTGTGTATTTGCGTTTATTTATACTCGCCACCGGTTGCCCATATGGGCGAGTCCTCCAGAAGAGTATTAGTCAATTTATTTTTTTGGAGGATAGTGCAATTACAGATACAGAAAGATGCCCCAATTCCAGAAGCTTCTCCTGGTTCTTTAGCGTGCCAAGTGTTTAAGCACCCATACATGGGACCTCGATTTAAAGTCTCATCCGAAAGACTGATTTAGTAATTTTAGTTGGCCAGCCCGGGAATCGAACCCACAATGTCGAGATTACAAGTCTCGCGCTCTAACCGATTGAGCTATGCGGGCTGGCTAAGAGCCGGCAGAGCCCTTGATCATCCCGGACGTTGCCGACAGAGTTACGGACGTACCCCGGTCGTTCCTGGAACACCCGACCGACCACCGGGACTCTAGCGGGATGCTTGTGAGATTGTTAAAAAGTTTTAAAAATGTATTTGAAAATAAGTTGATTGTTGGATACAGTCTATCTCCCTTACTATTAAAAGGGAAAAAAAAGTAAGTTAAACCAAGGTACATTGTACTGGTGCTTTACACCGGGCACTTAAAAGAACCAGGGTCGCTTCTGGAACGGGCGTCTTCTGTATCGTGCACTATCCCCCGAAAAATAATATACTTACAATCTTCACGGGACGTTGGTCATATGGGCAACCGGTACCAACGATAAAAAAGTCAAATAAAATAAGTTATTATGCCCCCCTTCGAAGGAGTGGGGGTATATTGCTTTGCCCATGTCGGTCGGTCCGTCGGTCCGTAGACCATGCCATTTCCGCTCAATAACTAGACAATGCTTTGGCTGATGGTCCTTATATTTGGCGTGGAGGTTGGTCATGACTAGTAGATGACCCATATTGATTTTGGGGTCAGTATGTCAAAGGTAAAGGTCACAGTGACCTCACGATGAAAAGCTTGTTTTTAGAAGATATTTTGTGTGTAACATTGTCTCATTGGCAACTACAGGGTTTACTCAATTCATGGACCCATGGGTCATATTGGTTCTGCCCCATGGCAATGATATACATGTATTCCATAACATATTTACTATGCATTTTTATACACATTTAAAAATCTAATTGTTATAATATTAAATGGCTGTGTTTAGGGGGGGGGGGGCATACATGTTTTACAAAACATATCTTGTTAAACATCTGCATTGCGCTACTCTACACTTATAGCTATATTCAGTGTCGTCACTCGAACTCAACCTCCACTCAAACTCGGGAAAGGCTTCCTTAAGGACGAATTGAAGGACGCCTTGGTCAAGGTGAACTTAAGTGTAGAATTGGTATTCATATTTAAAAGTCTTCCATTCGACTTACCCTGAGGAAGGTTTAAGTAGCAAATCACCCGTAAAATCACTGTTATAGGTGATCTGTTCAATAAAATATACAATAATTACATAATTCATTATGTATATTGGTACGAGATTGCAGATATATGGTACAGAAGACCGTAAGAAATGGCATCAGTACATTACCGAAGTTGCAACCAAGACAAAACCAAGTGTAAACCAGTTAATATATGTGTAAAAACAGTTTAAAGATGAAAATATTCATTGACAAATTGTGATAATTTCTAAATAACGTTTGTCGAATGGAGAAGAAATGTTAAAAGATTTTGTCAACAGATTAAAAAAAATAGTACACAGTATATAATTGCTATATGATGGTGTCATTTAAACATTTATATTATTATACCTCAATATATCCTTCAATGTAAAACTCCCATAGGCCTACAACGTGTTCTGATCGAATATCACCCTCCTAGAATATATTTCCCGGGGAATATTTCTTATATCACCCTGGGGTACATATCTCTTACATAACTCTGTATTGATAAAAACGATAATGCTTTAGTAACCAGTTAGCATAATGTAAAATGACAGCCATGTGTTATTTATATAATATTGTTAAGTTAATATTTGACATATAAGTAATTTTTAAATGTACATGTTTGTATCCAACCAGCACAGCAAGAAAACATACTATTACGTCAAGTGTCTATTACGGTGGCACAGATGTGACACATGGGTGTCTTTATTTATCTTGTTCACACGAGATATTATCTTGTTCCCACAAGAAATTATCTTGTTCCCACGAGATATTATCTTGTTCCTACGAAATAATTATCTTGTTCCCACGAGATAATACCTTGTTCCCACGAAATAATTATCTTATTCCCACGAGATAATATCTTGTTCCCACGAAATAATTATCTTGTTCGCACGAGATAATATCTTGTTCCCACGAAATAATTATCTTGTTCCCACGACATAAGTATAGCCAATCAGAAGCTGTAAAATGGTAATATTGCAGTTACTTCCCCTTATTTAGTTGAACATTTACTTGATTATATATATATACATCTATTATTTTCATGTATAACCATGAGGTTGAATCTTGAAAGTGCCACACTGTAGGGACATACAAAACCTTAACTACCAATTACTGGTGTTTAATAGCGCATATCCTCATCTGGTGACGCATTTTGCGTGCAAACTGATCTGGGTCGACACTTGGAGGGAAACATGTTAGTAGCCTTTCAAAACTCTGTATTTATAAAGCGGTGGCCCGCAGTGGCGTTCAGTCCACCACGCGCGAATGAGTAATAATCAAATACAAATGTCTTAAATCAATGTAGCACGAGAAGGACCGTCTTCGCAGCACTTAAGAGAAAAGTCACAAAAACCCATTAACACGTGTTGCGTATATTCTTATAACGACCATTGTCGAACCATATCCCCCGACAAACAAATGCGTCATCCTGGCAAGGTCTGCACTGTTCGCTGTTGAATCAGTAGGTCAGATTTTAACTGTCAAAGCAGTTAACCCCTTGATTAGCTCATATGCTTTATACAGGTTAACTGCTTTGTTTGCCAGATAGAGTTGCATATTTACTTAACTTTTGACCACTTGATAGTAAAGGAATATGTAACTCTGTCCACGCCCCTATACCGTTCACAAACTTTTCGGGACGGACACTTAGACACTCGGACGGACAATGGCAACGCTATATGGGGCACAAAAATATTGAAGAACACAAAACAATGCTAAAAAACGTATTGCTTTGGTGAATTAAGAAGGCACATGCCCCGCGCCCCATCCGGATCTGCAACTGGCCATGCCACAATAATGTATGATACATTTTACGTCGGGGGTAAACAGAGGGTAAAATCACGGGTTAGTTGGATAGTCTGTAACGGTATCCAATACAATAAATTACAAATTAACATATGAAAAGTTGAGACATTTATCGTTAACACCGATTTGGACATTTATGAGCACCTAATTTGGTTGCGACATTTTTCGTTAATTTTGGACATTTATCGTTAAAGGAGTTTTGGACATTTATCGGCGATTGAGACATTTATCGTCAATTTTTGGACATTTATCGTCGTTTGGACATTTTTCGACGTTTGGACATATATCGGCGCTACAACTCGCCATGGCGAGCCTGCAAAAATGTAGTTCTTTGCAGCCTAGAGTTCCTTTCGCGTATAAAATATCTTTTTGTTGAATAGTCAAAAGGAAACATCCGTTTTCAACGGAATTAATTGTAATGTGAATAATTTTGTGTCAACCTGGAACATGCGGACGATAAAAGCATGCTAACAAGTTTAACCAGTGAAACGTTACAGATAAAGTTGGTGGACAGACATCTGTAGGGTATCATCGTTATTTTCTAAATGCACTTTGTCAAAAACCATGCGAAGAATATTCTGGATGCAGAAGGATCAGATTTCACAGATCATAACCTTACAAATGGGTTAGTGTTTTGTTTTCTAAATAAAACACAGCTTATGGTAGATATCATCACTTGCCTAAAGAATAAAAAAAAACAGCTTCTCAAGTAGGCCTACAGTACACTTAAAACTTGCAAGGTAAAGACAGTTTAGTTATTGCTTCTCTTGGTTTATTTTTGTTACAGTTAGATTTAGTTTACAAATTCAGATCATCACAGTATTTGTTCGAGGCTACGCCTCGGGTAACAGTATTTTCCTCGGGATGATATTTTTACTGTTACCCACAAACCCATGTGTTATTTATATAATATATTGTTTGTGGTTTTTTTTTTTGAAAAAAAAAAACCCCAGCGATAATGATTGTTTATAGACTCCTGCAAAATTAAATCGAATTCAGCAAAAAAGACATACAGTACAAAACCCACTACATTAACCACTTATGGGACTTTACCGGAGTGGTCTTTATTTAGAGGTGGTCTCATTAGTGGATATCATCAAGGCTTATGCATATACATATTTAAAATGATACTTTAAATGGACATCAAATACTGATATTAATAAAAGTGTAAATCGATAAGAGTAGTTAACAATTCTAAATAAAATTGAAGTGGTCTTGTTTAAATAATAAATGAGGGAGGTACAGAATTCATCGATCAAATATTTTTTTATTTTAAAAAAAAGTGTGCAAAAAGCAACTCTGAACCCAACTTTGCTATAGACTTATGTCCCCTCCTTTCGAACTGTTATATAGCTATGCGGATAATATAATTGTGTTATAGAGTTATGACCCTTCATGTCGTTATTGCCCCCCCCCCCCCTCAACCATTCATTCTAATATCCCCACCTCAACCATTCATAATGTCCAAATTACACTTCTATACGGAAGCCCATTGAGGCCGTTTTGAGATAGAAGTTAGAACTTAGATGTTAGATCTTAGAACTTAGATCTTAGAACTTAGGTCTTAGCTCTTAAAACTTAGAGGTTTCGTATAGGCGGGAAAACGCCATATTTACTGCAAGATAGACAAGGAGATGTAAGTAAGATAAACTTTTATTCTAATTCTTTAATTCTATTTTTTATTCAAAGAATTGCAGAGAAATAGCTAGAACGTTAAAAGATTAAATGATGATATATTATAAATAAAAAAACCAACCAATTTCAATAGGAGACAAAAGTCGAACAAGCTATCTACAACAAGCAGGGACAAATTAACTCCATAAGTAACTATTTTAGTCAGTTCTAGCTATTCTAGCCGAACCTGGTTACCAAAAAAATCTTCGATGGCGGACAGAAGCTTTGAAACTGATATAGCTGTTGCCTGTATTTATATGATTCCCCAATTAACAAATTTGAAACGGTATTTAAATTGTGTATCTAATAGCTTTATAATAATTAAAAAATGTCGCTTTTCTAATGTGTATTAAAATAATTTGATTATTTTTCCTATTGCAGAATCTTCTTTATTCCTTTTCCGGACGACGAAAATTATTTCTACATGGGCATGGATGTTTGGAATTGGCTGTTATAACACCAGTATCTAGTGTTGTGATCATGTATTTAGCTGTCATTCTCAGAGGGGCGCATTTAAAAAGACTAGAACTGATTAAGAATTACTTATCCATAGTTTATCTTACAATAATATTTAACTAATACTGAAAGCAAACAAAATTATCCAACGCAAAACAAGTACACTAAAGGACGATGGAAGGGATCCCATTATTGTTGTAACCCAGAGGAATACCAAGTGTGTAGGTATAGATCGATGTAGCACAAACTGCTGACAGACTACCGGTTGCAATGTGTTGAGATTGATGAGGCTATTGCCACAAAGCGATCCCAAAGGAACTAATAACCACAAAGCCACCGATCATCTCGGCGAAGATATGTCTCAAAAGGTCTTTACTTTGTGTGGCATGTAAATGGTTACGATAAGTTAAAGCTGTGTGGATTCTGCATCCACGGAGCGATCGACGTTTTATGTCTCGAAGTAACAAACAGCAACAACTCGCCCGCATTGATAGCGTCATATTGCCTTGACACATTAAACTAATTTTACAGAACTGTATATCCAAGTTCTTAGTTCATCGTTCTGGTTTAATTTCAAGTTCATGTGCATATATGTTTTGAATATAACTGACGGATTAAGAAACGCTATATTTTTTAAACTATTAACAAAACGTTTAAAAAATAAGTATTTTGTTCATTCGATTTTTTTCTATGAATATTTGATGTAGACCTACAGATATCATTGATCTTTACAAAAAATGTAATTGTGACAGAGCTGAAGTATTAATGGTTTCTGAAGTTTGCACGCTATTGACATGTTCTTGTCGAGACTGTGATATTCTTATTTGTGATAAATGAGATAAGTGCCTTGTTTCATGTTTTGTAGTTTACTGTTACTTGAATTAAGTTTTATGTATGATTACTGTTACTTGAATAAAGTTTTAGGTATGATAACGGAGTTATGTTTCCTTCTTTTACCTCTTTCAAAACAGATTTTTTTAAAATTTAAGTTCTAATGTCTAAGTTCTAATAACTAAGTTCTAATGTCTAAGTTCTAATGTCTAAGTTCTAAGAACTAATTTCTAATGTCTAAGTTCTAATGTCTAAGTTCTAAGAACTAATT